GGAATGTACCATATGTACCATACAGACATATGATACATATAGATGTGTAGTGCATGTGAATCGGCGGTCGCGGTTGGGCACGATGTTTGGTTTGTCGACTTAACTTACCTCCCGCTCCCTACATAGACTATTATGGACCTAGTAGTGAGGAGGCGGCGGGGAAAACGTGGAAGCGTGGAGCCGGGCAAAGCTTGGAGGCGGGGGCGGAAGAGGGGCGGGGGACCGGGGAGTGCGATAAGGTGAGCGGCTCGATGATCCATCCGGCACATACCGTAGATACACTTGACTCCATGACCGGCCCGCCGATGACTTACCTTTTTTCCTACTTCCGTTACCACCGTCCGTTATAGTAGCTACCACCGTCCGAGGCCCGGTCCAGTCTCCAGCCCAGTCTCCAGCCCAGCGGGACTCCACTGCAAATCCCCCCAGGTACCCCACGGACTAGACTAGACGGGGCGGGCTGGACGGGGCGGACTGGATGGACGGGATGTGCCGGACTGGACGGGAGCGCGGTCATCGTGAGTCGTGGTCACTGGCGACGAACACACACATGGTACATACCGAAGTACCTTTGTAGATAGGTACCTGCCCACGTGCTCCAGCGGCGGATATACCGAGCTCGCCATTTCCGACACTTCCGAATTTCCGACGTTTCCGACGTTTGTGGGCAGGTCACATTGTGAGAACTATTGAATCCTCCAGTATGTATGAATTTCCGATGGTTGCGAAACCAGTTACCAGCTACGACACATTCGGCCATCCGGACCCGGACCTGGCCCGCGCTCGTGGCTCGTGGCCCGCGCTCTTGGTCGTGGGTCTTCTTCACCATCATCGTCGTCATCATCAGCATCTTCATCGTCGATGCATCGTGTTGTTTGCCATTACCCAGGTACCTACTCTAGGTATTCCAAATCCAAACACCGAAGACCGAACGTCGAGCGTCGAGCGTCGATTTCGATTGGAATTGTGGCGTCCTTTGCGGGAGCTTTGCGGGAGGAGCCCTTTGCGGGAGCCCTCGAGCCCAGTGCTTTGCTTTGCGCCTCCTCAGCCAGCTTGCTCGCGGCGGGAGGGCACGGGGGCACGGGGGCGGGGGGCGGAGGGCGTGTGAACCATCTCGATCGTGGGGACGGAGCACGTGCGTAGCAGCGTAGGTACCTACTCACCGAAAGAGACCGCCTACCAGCCGCCTACCAGCGGCTGACGAGTGGTCTGTCGCCTCCGCCTCCCGCCTGCTCCCCAGGCCCCTCCCATGCTCCTCCCCGCGGCTCCCCATCCCCCGACGCCCCTCGTCCCACCCCGAATCGAATCGAATCGGCCTAATGGGGAGGCCGCACGAAACGCAATCGGGCCATCGGGCATCGCCCCTTCCCTTCCTGGCAGGCTGGCACCCCCATCGCATCGCGCATCGACGGCGACCGGCGACGGCAAGCGACGGCAAGCGGTCCCTCCCTCTCTCTCCGCCCAGGTCGCCTCACAGGTCGCCGGACGCTTGCCGACGTTCCGGATCGCCAGGCTGCACATGCTGCGCAGCTACGCGGCGCACACGTGATGATGATCTGCATAGGTATGTAACCTATTACTCTGGCTATGCTACTCTGGGCAGTAGTTAGAGTGCATATGTATGTAAGTACATACAAAGCGGGATCGTCGATGATGCCGTCATTTGGTGGTTGTATACATATGATATGTATGATATGTATGAATGATATGTGCATAGAACCCAGATGTGGTCTTGCGACCGCGGATGATATGTATGAATTATGTATGATATATGGATGAGATGGGTGATATGTACGGTTGCTTTTTGTGAGTATTAGGGGAGATCGCGAGATCAAGATTTGCATTGTACGAGGTGCAATGTGCACTGGGGATTGCTTCCCGTGGTTCGGCAGCTCGTGTTGCAGCTTGCGTGTACTCTACTATACTATGATTACATAGGGTGGGGGACGTAATGGGGTACACTGGGCAGTGGGTAGGCTGATATTCGGCCTCGCCGCCACCTCTGGTAGGAGATAGGTACTCGTCCGGGGAGTCGGGGGCCATACCTACTCCACCTACGACTCACGAGGGATGGGCATTGGGAGCAGATATGTAGATCCTCCGGGTATCTACATATACTTGCCTAGATGAGTATATCTATACTTACTCACCAGTCTCACCTCCCTCCATACCCCTCCCTCCGTCCCTCCGTCCCTCCATCCCCGTCCGTCCCTCCGTCGGTCTCACAGACGTCAATGTGCGACACGTACGAAGGCGTCAGGCATCAAGAATCACCCAGCGCCGCGCGCTGTGTTACATACATACCCTCCCCTGCGGTTCGGCGCCGGAAGTCTGGCGATCTGAACTCTGAACTGAACGATGGGCACGCTTGTCCGACTTCCGGAGTGTGTACCGCCACTACCATCCATGACATACTCTACCGGAGACGCGCGCGGAGGGACCGTGCCTTGTGGACAGTGGACCTCCGATGGGAACGGGAGAGGAGACGGGGGGGAAGGGGGTGCAACGGGTCAAGGACGCGACGCCTGATCGTTGATGTTGATGTTGATGGCCATGACTCCATGTCATGCCTTGCCATGCCTTGCCTTGTGCCCGAAATTGTGAGAATCTCTGCCTATGTAGAAACTCGTGATACCAACCGCCGACCGGCGAGGGCGATGGGGCAAGGAAATTCAAATACAAGTTTCCGGTATCTACACACCACACACGCTCTCTCTATGATAGAGTAGAGGGGTAGGCACTCTAGGTACGACTCACGGTGGTCAGGCCGTATCTACTTACCTAGCTAACTTCGGTACTCCAGCTCCCCGTTTGAGGAATCCAACGTCACCGTCACCGTCACCGTCCTCGTTCTTCCCCTTGCCGCCGTCACCACCACCACCACCACCACCACCACCACCACCACCACCACCACCACCACCACCACCATCCTCACCACCACCACCACCACAGCGACGAAAGACGAAAGCCGACGTCTGAGGGAAATACCGGCACGTCAATGCATTAAGTATACTATATTCGCGACCGGGGGAGCGGGGGGGCCGGCGGGTGATCGGTCAGGTCGGGTCACGTCTCTCTCACTCTCTCTCTCTCACAAACACTCTCTCTCAAGAGAGACATCTGAGAGACATCTGACGCACCCTCAATGTCGCAGACAGGGCAGACTCGTAGACTCGCAGACGGAGAGACGGGCAGACGGACGGACAGATCGTCATCCATCGATGTCGTGGGACGTGCATCGATCCCATCCCTCCATCCCTCCATCCCTCCGTTCTCACCGCTTCGTGGCTCCCTCCCGAGTCATAGTCGCGCGAGAGCGGGTCACACGCGCGGCTGGTGGTTCGATGCTCGTGCTGAATGCGCCAGAGAGGGGGAGGGGAGGGGGTTAACCACCACTACCACCACTCCATTACTAGCACCTAGGAGTACATAGGAGTGTCACGGTGTCACCCTCACCCCATCGCGGACTATTAGTAGAGCATACATAGTATAGTATAGCAGTACCTACCACGGACTACATATGGGGGCCGCGACGTCTCCAGCTCGGGCTCCGGCCCCGCCGCCGGCTGTGGCTGTCTGTCGCTCAGACTCCGTGCAATCTTGGGTCTGATCATTGCGGACCATGCGACCCGTCATAGGCACTCTGGGCAGATTGGACACGGGGAGATTGCTGCCTCTACGTGCCTCTGCCTCTGACGCGCGCGCGGGGAAGAAGGCAAGGGAAGACAAGGGAGGACAAGGGATGGGAAGGGATGGGACGGGACCGCGTCCATGAACTCGAGTCTCGCGGGTTGGTATCTACACACTAGTATCTGTACCCATAGTGGAATGCAAATACGCAATCTGTTCTGCCAGCTAGCCGGGCATGCACTACCTGGAGAACATAGAGTACCTACGTAGTTATCGTATCGTATCTTCCGCTCACCGCCTCCCTTGACGTTGTGTTGTGTTGTGTTGTGCTGTGTTGTAGATATTGTGTTTTCATTTGTTTCTCTCGGTGGTGGCGCCGTGGTGGGGCGGCGGTGGAGGTGGTGATAGTGGTGATAGTAGCACCGAGTGTCTCGGACTTGAACTTGCACTTCAACTTGCACTTCTCTTGCACCAGGCAGTCCGAGACATGAATTTATAGTCTACAGGAAGTATTTCGATCCAGCCATCTCCTGCTCTACATACACATCTACATATCCATCGTATACTCCACATATGTAGGAGTCTAGATATGTAGGTAAGATGTAGTTAGATATTCCACAGCGATCGTCAGTTCCCAGAAAAGAAAAAGAAAAGACACGAAAAAGAAAAGACGACGAAAAAGGAAAGATACAGCGGACTCTCGAGTCTCCCATCTCATCTATCTACTAGTAAATCACATTTCCTCCATTTCCATTTCCATTTCCATTTCTATATCCGCATCTTCCTCTAGAACCCCGCGTGGAAAGAAAGCAAGAGAGAGAGAAAAAAAAACGTTGCACCCATCATCTCTCCATCTTCACGCTTCATCTCTTTCTCCCCCATCTCGGCCAAGATCGGCAGGGCAGGGCGCACCAAGATTTTTCCCTTCCCTTCCCCTCCCCAGTGGTGCGCACCCCCCGGACCATGGGTCATGATGATGCAGGGTCCTGTCCAGGCCAACAGGGCAGGGCAGGACAGGGCAGGACAGGGCAGGGCAGGACAGGGTCCGCAACCATCCCATCGCGTCTGGCATGGAGCCATGGAGCCATGGGCAAGGAGCCATGGGCAAGGAAAACACCCGGTTTTTTTTCTGTTCCCTTTTTACCCCACAAAACAGATATCTACATATCTGCAAGGAGTACCTTCCTGCCGAACGCGGAGGGAGGGGCCAGTACATAGAGTACCGTAGAATAGTAAGCAGAGCGTAACGTTAGTCGCAGACGTCAGCCTCCGTTTTTCTTGTTCTGTATGTATGGAGTTAGTCACACTTGATGATGATGAGCGAGCGAGCGCGCAAGGCAAGTATGTATCAACACCAACTTCTCCAACTACCCTTGAACAACTCCATTCACGACCGTCGCCACTATCAGCCAACCCGCCCGTCTCGACGTCCATCACCCAACATCCCCGCCGTCCATAGTACTGGTACATAGGAATACACGAAAAAAAAACTGGAATGTAGAACAATCCCACAAGTACAAACCAGAAAAAAGAAGAATACCCTCATACACGGCCTCAGCCCCAGTCTCACACAAACAAACGGACCAGGTCGGTCCAGTATGTAAATCAATTAAACAAAGCCCCGGCAGTTAACGGATGACGCAAGGAAGTGATATCTCCAGCACTAGCTGCCCTCCTCGTCCTCCTACTCATCACTGCCATCTTACAAACATCGCGCAATTCCTGATCGACATGGCCTTCGGGGTATCTGTTGACGCAATCGTACGTACTCCCCGCGCCGTATCTCGTGCTGCTCTTGCTCCACGTCCTTGCTCGTGAACTCGTGCCCCGCCGTCTCTTCGAGGAGCTGGTGCTGATCTTCGACTGAGATTGAGCATCCGTTTCGAACTCCTGCATCATCTGCAATGCCGCTTCCCAGTGGCCACTCACGACCACATTCTTGGCTGCGATGCGAGCGGGGGACGGAGAAAGATCGTCCGCCAGTACCGCAGCCGACGCCGTTCCCTGGTGGGAATCAACCGTATGTGTGGTGATGATCTCATTTAGCGCACTGGCGGCCTCGAGACTCCAGCTGCTGCTCCGCCTGATCCCAGCAGATGTCAGCGGAGGAGGAGGAGGGAGCAGAAGCTGATGCTGAAGATCCTGATCGACATCCAATAACTTCCTCTCCCCCGAGACGTGCACAGAACCGAGGTCCCCTTCGAACTCCACTATGCTCTCGGTCCAGCCGATTGTGGAAACCGATGTGCGGCGCATAGTGGTAGGCCTGTGCTGGTTGTACGGCCCGGGTAGAGAGCTGATCCGTGGAGGGATTTCTATGGATGTGTACTTGGATGTGATACGTCTCTGCGTTGTCGGCGGCAGGAAATCTGCAACACGTTCCGTTTGTCTCAGATGTGCCATGCCCTGAGAGTCGGAAAGGGAACCTACCGGCCAAGCGCAACCCTCCCAACCCCATGGGGGGTCCGTTCTTTCCTCCTGCCTGCGCAAACTCCAGCAGCTTCCAGTTCTCACCGTGCCTGTTCATGAGCCTGATCTGACTAGCGCTTTCCAGCCGGGATCTCCGCAGCGACAAGAAGGATCGTTTGCTCTGTGCCGGCAGCTTGCCCCGAACACTCCGTTCACGCTCCGTCTTGAGATGTCGTGAGGATAGGATCAGGGGGTTGATTGGGTGGTGGATAAATGTCTTATGCTTATCTTCCCTGGAATCCATGGTAGGGAGAAGCTGCTTCTTCACGGTGTCGGTACCATAGTACCGTAGAAGCTCTGATACCAGAGATGGATGATATCCTGCGAGCTCACGTGAAGCCCGTATACGTGTAAAACGCCACCAGGGAACTCGAGTGACTAGCTCTTGAGATCGCTGCTCCTTCATGGCCCGGTTCAAGATCCTCAGGAACAGACTGGGACGCTTCTTGAGGCGAGCAGTGATCGCCGGGTCCGCAGACAGCAGCGGCGGCTGGGAATCCGCTGCAGTTTCTAGACGAGTGATACGACGGTGACGACGACGAAACGCTCGGCGGGCTTGTTGGTGGAGAATTGACCGACGGCGTCCTATAGTATGTGCAGTAGCGATCGTGCCCTCGCCATTCACCTCCTGTACTCTTTCACACTCATCCATCTTCAACTCCTTCTCCAATTCGATTTCCAACTTCATCACATGCCTCATCTCCATCTTCAGCGCATCACCCTTGTTCAACTCATAGCTACGATTCCATCAATTCAGCCCTTCTTTATCCTCCTCCAGAGCAAGGAAGTACCTATGAGCTGTCTTGACCAAGAGCCCAGGAGCACTGGCACACCTCTGCAGTGCGGCTCCCTCGACCTCGTGACGTTCAAGCTGTTGGTAAACGAATGACACTATTGAGTGGCGGTGGGCGGGAGGAGCTGCATCTCCGTAAACGTCGTGCATGACGGCAGTGGAAGCGGAGGACGGTGTGCACTGTGCTAGTGATGGCCGTATTGTACAGTGATGGTATTGTTCAATGTACTGTCGATGTGGAGAAGGCAGAGAGGAAGAGCGAAGAAGGGAGTGTGAGAAAGCGAGTGACGTAACCATGGCCCAATATGGACGTGCGCATATCGAGTTGAGTATTATCCTTAGACTCGAGCTCGTCTGGTATGGTTGATATGTATGTACGGACCAATGAAGCCAGGACTGTGCATCATTCCTTCAACTGTCTCGAACGCACACGCCTCTGGTCTTAAACTGTAGGGAGAATATTCTCACCACACTTATGATTATAACCTCAGGGTGAGGTTTGTCGGTCGTTATGGATATCTATCACAGCCCATCACTCGCTCTTCTCCTCCGCCCCTTTGAAGATCGCTGACCAAAAGTCCCTTAAAGCATCCATCCATCGGGAAGATGAATTAGAAAGAGCCCAGACCCGTCTCAACAAGGAAGAATGATTGTTTCCACTTCTCATCGGCATCGTCTGCTTCCATTAGAAGCAGCCAAACCGCACTCTCAATACGTATGGCTCACCTGCAGTGCTCACCTTATCACGAAGATTGGGATTGAGCAATTTCAGATGCTCTCGGTATCCGTGAGAGGACTCGGAGCCTGGAGGATTAAACGATACAAACAGGAGCTGGGGCGGGCTGGCGGGCTGGCGGGCTGGAGGCGGGGATGGTGCGGACATGGCCCTGTAGTAGTGGTCGCCACACTCGGGTTCTTGACTGAATGGAAGGGTTAAACACTTGCAAAGGTTCCAAAAAGTGGGGTTGGCTGGGGGGGATAAACGTGACTTCGTTGCCCGCTGTGCATGTAGCGTATGTACATACCATGGTGGAATTTGTTGCCTTGCGCATTCGATGTTCCTCGGGCTAATGGAGGAGGACAGTGTGTGTATAAAGTGGATGTGATTCAGAACAACTTTCGTCCTTCCAGCGCCAGTGGAGAGACTTCGTCCTACTCCTGAGTCTCGATCGCTATGTATCGTACAAAAAAGGAATCTCATTGTACATACGCAAATCCAACCGTTTTCAACAAGGCTACAGATAATGGTGGTACATATAGAGATTTAATATGACCTCTACGATCGTCCCGTCGGCTCCATGGATCCATCTCCGGGCCCGTGTCATAAAAGAGCCCGGCCAGCCATGACAGCCGCATGTGAAGATGTGCAAAACGGCGGGATTGGCAGCGGGAGAAGGAATCGAAGCCGTCACCCACACTTTTTCTCATACGTACGAACTTGGCCGAATCCCACTGCCGTACATACAGTTACATATTCGTTGTCATCATGTAATAGTATCAGTGAAGATAAGGGTGGTACAGCACATCTTTCGTGATCGTCCCTTCGGCCCCGGGCCTTCAGCGCTATAGATAGATCCACCGCTTCTTCGAGTGCCGAGCTCGAGTCGCTCCTACTAGGTAGTAATTGTACGAACTCACAAACTCGATCGGCATGAATGCATTCCCCTGTGACCGGTCGTGGGGTCAACTACCAACGGTATTCACCGTCCAGTGACCAGTCACAGCGCAATTGGAAGTCCTAACGTCGCGAGTCAAGACGACCGAGTCCGTGAGTTCCGTGTCGTCTTTTTTCCTTCTTTTTTTCAGTGGTCAACCGTCAAGCTCGTGAAGATCCCCACACATTCCACAACTACTATGTATGAAGTACCGTTGTCTGCGGGTCCCTGCCCCAGTCCCAGCCCCTCGAGCGAGCGTAAGCTTTATGTCTATCAACAAGCTATATCATGTATGTATGTATACCCCCTAGCCCAACTACATCATATGTATGTCTACTCGTATATATCGTCATGTATGTATGTATGTATGATGTTTGCGCTCCGCTCCGGAAGATATTTCCGTCCGTCGGCAGATGCGGCTATCCAACCCCCGTCGCGCTCATGCGTTTGTCTGCACGCAATAACTACGTTTAAACGCGGTCTGCAGACATAAGGCATTCATGTGCCGCGTGGTACAGAGACGCGACAGGCATGGGGGGAGCCTGGGGAGGAAGGAGGCTGTGCATATAGGCAGGCAGCAGGTCATATATATCACTCGACGACGATGTCGATGGAGAGGGGGTGTGTGGATGGGAGATTGTTGCGAACCGGCGGGAAATGACGGTAGGTACATACTCCGGCTTATTTTTTCCATCCCTCGGAAAAAAACGTAGTCTCAGCCTACGGTACAGTACTCGGATGTCAATTGCACTGGCGTTTGCAGATCATGCATATCACTCGCGTGTTGAAAGCGCGACACGTCACCGGGGGAGGAAAATCGTCACAGATTGAGTTTGGGTTTGCGGGGGATCATTTACTAGAGCGGCCGACGGCGGGTGGGAACTTCCGCTGGGGAGATATGGTGGGCTGATCTTTTCGGCCGTCGGAACGCACGGGCGGAGGAGCGAGTGGGCTTCTATGCTTCTTGGCTGAAGCTTCTCCTAGATATGTAACCCCGTCCGAAGACTCCCCCGAGAGATCTTCGAGAAGATCTTCATAGTAAAATTAATCTACAGCGGGCTACGTACGTACTCTTAGCACCTCGGCCTCGGTAACTAGTGGATGGCACTGAGAAATCGTGGTCGCAAAGCAACACAAACTGACATACTGATACATAACGAAATCGATGGATCAATAAATAACTAAACATGTAAAGAGCTAAGCCGGACTACATTGAAAAGGAGAAGGAATTGACAAGAAGCAGAATCAAAATGAGGGAATACATTGATATACAGAAAAGACGGCCCCCTGGGGGTGTGGGTATAAAAAAGACCTCAACGCGAATCAAGGCCACAGACAGAAGAGAAGGACGGAAATGGCGTGCAAAAAAAAGACAATGACCTCCGCGAATAACGAAAACTACCATTCAACAATCTAATAGGAAAGAACCATCATAAGAAATTCCCATTTTGACGTCTCACTCGAGCGATACCCCGTTCTCATCCTCGAGCAACTCTTCAAGAACGGCATTACCTATCTTGACCTTAGTCGGGTCTATACTCCTAGTAGCGCTCTCGACCTTCCAGACCAACGAGTGGAACTTGTCATAGAATTCATACGCATCCTGATGTTTTTCCAGTCGGTACTCGAGCAGATCCCACCACTCCCTATCGATCCAGATCGAAAGCCCGGCCCGGAACTTGACGTACTCCCACCAGCACGGGAAATAGCCGCTCCACTCCCAATCTAGAATCCCCACGACATGGCCATTTCTCACAATGATATTGCCGAAGCCGAGGTCGCCATGCGTGTAGGTCCAGGGCAGACATTCGGGCATTTGGGCCCGCAAGCGAGAGAGAGCCTTCCGGGGGATCTGGCCTTTGAGCGTCGCAACCATCGCGTTCCAAAGTTCGTCCTGGGTGGCGAACGGGCCCTGTGGTTTAGGCTGCGGGTAGTTAAACATCAGAGTATCGACGTTGCCACTCTCCTTGACCCTTCCGTAGTAGTTTGACGTCAGCCCCCGGAGCTCCTTCAGATATTTGGCCGTTTCGTCGGCCATCCTCTCCTTCTCCCGCCAGGTGAGCGTCGGCCACAACGATTCGAGCGACTCGCCGGGAATCTTCGTTTTGAGGGAGAAGTGCACCTGGCTCTCCTTGTCGAGCCATTCGTGGAGTCCCCTCTGCACGGGGATCCTGGTGTTCTCGCGGAGGAACTCGAGGATCGCAAACTCGTCGTTGGGCGTTTCGACAGCCGTGATCGGCCTCTCGCGGCAGACAACCTCCGACCCCAAGCCCCAGATGCGCCGGTTGCCCGACCGATGGAGCAGGCCCACTTGGCTGCGGACATCCCGGAACGTCGCGATAGGCGCGATGTGCTTCCGGTAATGCGCGGCCATCGCGTGGGCGAGGTTAGGGATCGAGCTCGGACGAGAGACGGGACGGGGGATGGGATGGGATGGGATGGGAAGGGATGGAGAGATGGGCAGCAAGTAAGAAAGAAGTGTGGTAGTGGTAGTGGTAGTGGGTTGTGGCTGTGGCCGTGGTTTCGGAGCGATATCGATCGTGCGCGCGCGCGGTTGTTTGAGCTACCTCGAATGGGGAAACTATGCTGGCTGGTGCTGCTACGCGCCACAGGAGGATCAATATTGCTCGAAGCGCGAGGTCGTAGAGTAGAAAGGGACGGACCGACCCTACTTCTTTCCGAACCCGGAGAACCGCAACTTTAGGATGCGGGAGATGGCCGACGGGAGTTTGCGCGGTCGCACACACGCCACGCGCAGGAGAGGATGGAGAGGAAATGCGCGAGAGAAGCCGCAGTGTGTCGGAGGAATCCGAACCGAATCGAATCGAAGCTATTGTTTCGCTGCTAGCTAGCTGCTCAGGAATATCACGGCATTAGGCGGGGCTGTCGATATATAGCGGATGCATTGAGACTACCTTACGCTCTGTTGATGGCCGGTTGCTGTCGCATAGGAGGTTGCACACGCTTTAGAATCGGTGTTCTGCGGCGGCGGGACTCGAGAGTGCTTGAGCCGTGCTTTATTGTCTGGTACTTTGAGCATTCTTGACTCCCTTAGCGCTGCATGAAGCCATGGGGGTTCTTCTTGGTCCACCCTTTGCCTCGCGAAATCGTCCCCAAACCCTGCAACCCCTCTTTGCGCTCCGCCTTAGCTCAGTCACCCGCTCTCAGCCGCGCACTCTGCCTCGACCATGGCTGGGCTATGGGTACCCTACACGACTCCGATCCAGTGATACTGAGACAAGCGGCCGATTGCGTCGCGCCGCTAGTTTCATCTGCATCGGATCCGAGCGGCTCACGCGCTTGTCCCAAATCAAGGCGCGGCCCAACTGCAACTTCTCCCTCGGGGCTCTTTCGGTATCTCCAGAAAACGAACTCGTCCTGATCGATGCTGATTCCAAGTGTACGAGCAGAGTCCGCTCGATGGGCATTCCGTACCGTTCTAGATGATCTGGCCGCGTGTAGGTGACGCTTCATGCGTACGGTATGCATCGAATGAAGATGACCGTCACGACGGCCGGCCACTCACCCTCCACACGACACATGGCATACGATCCATCATCTCACCCCTTGGCTGAATAGGTCCATTGTCAGCCGAGAGCCACCTAATCTCGAATTGCCGCCCACGACAGGGAAGACAGGAGGGATAATCGACAGCGAGTGTTCAGAGCTCTCGGTCGTGCTATCCGAAACAATGCCTCCCAGTTGATGGCCTCACAGCATCACAGGCTCCCCTCGATGCCCTATATCATCCGCGCCGACGTGGGCATCGTGAGCTTACGGATCGACACCGGAGACGTCACTGTGTGGCGGCGACAGCAGCAGCAGCAGCGGAGACACAGCAGCCATCCCCGAAGATCACGATATGTAGCCATTAGGCCACCATTCACCGGGGGTGGATGGGTGTGCGTCACAGGAACATTACAATCTTGACTTGCATCGGTAGATGCGTGCTGAACGAATCAACCCACTCGATGGGCGTTCGTTGGCAGCATTTTCTCTTTCCGGGGGGTGGGGGTTAGTTCCTGAATCGAATCAGACACACACACACACACGTTCCGGAAGCCGGTTAGCAACCAGCTGTCATTCTACTTGCTTGACCGGTACGACGTTGGAAGAGGTCATCCGGGTTGATGATACACGGATCATTGGCCGGGCGATATTCTTTTCGCCCTACAAAGTTGAAATCGGGATGGGATGGGCCATGGAGTTACTGGGCATCACCGTCAAGGATTTCCGGGTGTTTGTTTTGTTTTGTTTTGAATGCCATTTTTCCCGTTTTGAGCGGAGATAGGGGGGGGGCCCTCTTATTGTACATAGAGGACGGTGGTGAATGCGAAGGATTCTTCAAGATTGCCGGTTTTGGAACTTTGACACTTGGTATCGATCGACAGCAAAGAATGTTCCTTTCATACCCATAGTTGGCTGAGTGTCATCATGATCAAGACCAAATTGAATGTGCTATGACGAAACCGAAAAAACCATAGGTAGTGGACTGAGGATGGTGCTGAGGATGTTGCTGAGGATGATCGCGATGATGACGGTGGGTGATGATAATCTCAATGCGATTTGCGTGTTTCATGGTACGTACCTAGTCAGGAACGCACACGGATGGTGCTTCGTTGAAGAATTTTCCGAACTCTGCAATCGCGATAAACCTCCGCGCGGGGGAGGGGGGGCGCTAGAACCCATACTATCCTGGCGGTTCACTTCAGGGCTGGCGGCAAAACTGGCGCAAACCGATCATAGTGCGGTAATTGCTCCGACCTTTTTTTCGGCTTCAATATTTTTTGTTCGCGGAAAAGTAAAAAACTTGTGAAATCTATGCCCTACAGCGACGCGAGTGAACGAGCGGCGGAGAGAGAGAGAGAGAGGCTAGGCAGCCACAGACGCCATGACTATGCACAGACGAACAGCCAGACCCTTACCTACTCCGGCTACTGCGTAAGTGGCTGCGCCTTTCCCGCGCGCACAGTGCGTGTCGACAAACACAGAACTCACCGCAAGCATTTAACGGAAGTGCAATCGATAAGATAATAAGATAAGCGAGTGTCTAAGATGGAGAAGCGAGCTCGCGTAGGCTGTCTGTTTCGGTTTTATTTTGCCACCCCCCCCTCCTCTTCCCCCCCCCCTTCCCCGCCGACGTTACAGGGAATGTAAAACAGATTCGAAGGGGGAGTTACAGATGTTCAAGTGCGTCCAGCGAGCCTGCAGCTCCTCCCCGCGACTGGCCACCCCTCCCAGGAGCGCAAAGGAAGGCAACGGAGTCTTCCGTACGATATGCGACGATGGAGTCGAGCAAGGGTGGTGGAGGAGGGAAACAATGGAAAGGAGCGGAAGTGGTAGTTTGTTTCAAGGTTGTTTTGATAGAATGATGAACTGATGCCGGCGCGGGCGGGTGTTGCGATTATCGTCACTAGATTAACGGTGAGGTTGAGTATGTAGGACGGTGAATGCTATGATCGTGAGTGCGGCACGGTGCCAGCAAGCAAGCGATTTGCAGGCGAACGAGCCATTGCACCTCTCACGGCAGTTACCCCTCTCCTTAACTGCTAGCCATCTGGCCGCACCGTAGTGCGATCGGTCCTAAACGGTCGCCCAATGCAAAACGGGCATTCGGTGGCGGTGCATCTCTGCGGAGGGAGTCGCTAGTCGGCTAGCCACCAACCGCGCGCTTCTGTACCACCACACCAGGGCACGGCCCAAGCGTGCACGGTCTCTCTGCTGCCAACCGCTGACCATGACTGCCTGCAGCTTAACGAGCGAATTTTCGCCTCCGAAAAGCTCTGACCACTGCTAAAGCCTGCATTACCGGATCCTCTGCCCACCCCCTCCAAAGGCATGGAAAGATTCTGCACAGCTTACAGGCCCGGCCGCAGCCCTTCCGCCGCACGTGCCTTAGCCGTAGCGGGAGAGCTACAGCACACAGCCCCCATAGCGCTCAAACCATCGTCCAGCGTCGTTGGTGCAGACTGAGATTGGATGGAGCATGGTGCATGGAGCATGGAACCAACGATGGAAGGCAGCCAGCCCGTGCAGCCGTGCAGCCGTGCAGCACATGCTCCATGGAAGCTTCCGCAGACCTTCCACACATGACGCTCCCTGCATTTGCCACAGCGGTCGCTTGCTAGGCTGTCGTTTGCCGAACCTCCTGCGTTATCTGGTCGATACCACCTCCAACGATCCTTCCGCCCTACTCGTTCTCATGCACGCACGATATCCACAATTACTCCCAGTATGTGCGTCTCACCAGTCGGTGCTCCATGCCAGAAAAGGAGGGAGACCGTTCCTGAGCGATAGGGAAACGGCTGTGCAACATGTCCCCCAGACCGCTGGATCCTTTGGTATAGTGGGTTCGCATTGAATGGAGGTGGAGGTGGAGGTGGTGGTGGGTATGGAGCAGTTCAGGGGACAACGTCCCACTAACTTCAATCCTTCAGAGGCCTAAAGAATCATATATGAGGACCAGATCCAATTGCCTATGTTCGAGATATTCACCAACACTCTTCAGCAAGCTCGCCAGACATACATATTCCAAACCAACTCTCCCGACATCATCCAAACACCTCAGCATCTTCTCTCTCAATCCTCCTCACCGTACTCTATCGCCTCCTCCTTCGGGTCTTCCTCGACTCTTTCCACTACAAACACCTTCAATCAATCAACGCAATGAGATTCACTTGCCCTAGCTGCGGTTACGAAGTGACCTCGCAGGTCCCCGTCTGTCAGAAATGTGGGCTTTACTGTGGACGAAAGATGACTTCCGCGTTCCGCTCCACCAAAAAGGTTTGTAGTGTCCTCTTTGCTTTTGCTTGTTTGTACACATTCTGACATTTGCTTTTGTTTAGATTTCAACAATGGCTGCTAGACTGTGGAGCAGTCGGACCTAAGTCAGCCCTCGACACACGATCTCCGGCTGTGCCTCGAACTGGACGCCCCCACCAGCTGTGATTGGCTGTGGTGGTGGTGGCTTCCTCCTCCTCTTCCCTCATCCCTTCGGATTCGCTTTCCTTCCTTGTTGTATCTGCACTGTACGTGCCTGTCTGTGTCTGCCGTACCTCTTTGTGTTTGACTCTTTTTACCTCTCTTTCCTTCCTGAGCTCGGCCATCTATTCTTTCCTTACATATTTCACTTGATCGATTTCCGTTTGTGCGGTCAATAGATTCTGTTTTTTCATTTTCTCCTTGTCTCCTATGTATGTGTTGATGGCTTGTGGAGTCTGTACTTGTACTGTCTGTGTTGCGGTGGATTCTGTACCAGTATTGTCGAAGGACTGTGCGCTGGGGATGGATTTCCTTTGCTTCCGAGCTTGTGTTGTATGAGTCTATTCTACTGTATTCTAGCTGTTGCTCACAAGTCAATGTTGGTCACCATCACCATGATGCTTCCCTTTGGGCAATCCAGTCCGTCCATACTACAGTGAACAAAAGCGGCACCTCATGGTCCAATGCCCATAGTTACATCTGTACATTGATTCATGCCTTCCGACAACCACTACAATCCTAGCTCCAGCATCTTCATCACCCCATTATCCTGTTTGCCAGATCAATTGTCAGACTAGAATCCAGAGTAAACATATCCCCACTAGGCAGAAGTTGCTACACTTGGAAACAAACTACAGCTATCATACAAGTAACTGCTTACATACTTACTGTACCAAGTACCAAGGATGCATGCAACCGTCAGCCACTGTTCCAAGTGCTCTAGAACTTCATGGGCAACGGTCATGTGAGCCACAGCTGTCGTCCGTACTCTGCACTCTATGTACACCCTGCATCCTGCAGGCGTCAGGCTCCCCAGCCCACGGCCGGGCTTTCGAACGATCTAATCACGACTGAGGGGATAGAGATTCGAATCGGAGTTTGGAGGTTCATGCTGATCGACGACCCGGGGAATCCGAGTTTATGGCGCTGGGATGGGATGGTACAGTCAGGCGGGGTCGACGGCCAGTAAAGTTCACGGCGTCCCCGCAGCCAATCGTTGTCAGCTCTGTTCCAGGCTTCCAGCCGTTCCAGCCCGGGTACGTACTTTTTACACCCACGATCCCCGTCGCACATCGGTCCTATATATCTATCGCATAGATTCGAACCCTGATTCTAGGAGGAGGGAGGTGCATAAACGCCGGTATCCATCCATCAATCCCCGCCGTTGCGATCCTGGCCACTCGGTTACTCGATATTAGCCACACCTTGGGCTGGTAGATGTGCATAATCCACGCTCACGGTTTAGCATTACCCGGTGCGATGCATGGTGTCATTGCTGATCCGATATGAGCATATATATGGGCGGGGTCCCGGTGGACATAGAGTGTATCTGACAGCTTACCAGTTGAATCAACAGATCTATCTATCAATCGGCACGGCGCATCTGTGTGTTACCGCTCCGGAAGCGTTCGGCGAGCCGCGCTTCACCGGCGCAGACGCTGGGTTCTGGACTTGGTCGAGATACCTAAAGGCGCGGGTGGCGGGTTGTATAAACATGAATGGCATGAGTACCACTCTGCAAACAGGCCTTCAGTCGAGCGCCCGGTCAACGCCAACTCGGAAATCCCTCTAGCATCGTGCTCCGCGGTAGTCCGCCCCACCCCAACAGCGCATATCGATCACACCTCGATCGACCTAACCCGCACCCTGAAAGTGCCGCGCTTCTGTAGCGTATGTATGTACCCTCAAGCGGCACTCTTCGCTCGATAGATGCGCTTACGGGATATTGGATGTGGAGACGCGAAGTCGCCGGCATGTATGTACATACGATGCAGTTTCTGGGAGAGCCACTTGTTTTGCCTCGTAGGAACATGTGCATGAGTAGGCAGAGATGTATTGGGCAAAATTTACCGGCCACCGGTAAACTCATCCCTCTACCCCGCACCCACGAAGAGCCGATCGATGTAGCTCCTACAGACGAAGCCGTACCCGAGATGTGCTGCATGAAAAATCCACCGGGGCAATCCGGGGTAATGATTGCCCTACCCGGGCGTAGACGGAGATAGTTACACTAGTCGGCGGGTCGGCGACCCCGGCACTGTCACGAATCATGCCCCGCGATTCCTGTACACTCCGCAGCCCTCGGTACATATCATCCAGCCACACTTCAACTCTGCATCACCACTCGAGCTCACTGACCCCGCTCTCGAAGATGTGCCTTGTTTGGACCTTCATATGTACGGACTCCATTCCACCATCCCACCATCAAGCGAGTGGCACAGTACATACATGCGGGGTTTTAGCACCACATGTAGTTACTCATGTATGTAATGTGCATCACCGGCCCGCCTTCACGCCTCGTCGGCAACCCGTAAATCTTCATGACTGTGCTGTAGGCTGTGGGCTGTAGGCTGTAGCTAGAACTGATCCGGACAGGCGACGTGGAAAGAAGTACCGGACGACGGCTCCGGGACCGATCTTTTCGCAGGACGGACATACCGAAACCTTCAGAATATGGCACAACACGGCTCGGTCCCGACCTGAGCCGTGGCACCGCAGTTTTCCCGACAGGGGCCGCATTTCGGGCATTTAACGGATCGGATTGAATCCATGGTGCGCGAAGCCGAGCTTGATCGGTGATTCCATCCATCCATCGGCACATCCTCCAGGCGCGACCGAGAATCTCCACGGGAGCACGGGTACCTGCACCCGCACCCGCACCCGCACGCTTAGCGCTTAATCCGTCCCCCCCCCTGGCTAATCACGGTAAAGTCTGTATGTAATTAAGCGCCAGCGGCCGCTGCTGCCAACCATTATCCGGAACAAGCCGAAGTTCCGATAAGCCCGATAATCGATAAGCCACAATGCCAGGGTGCGCTAGTGCGCTAGTGGACGAGCACGCGGGGTGGGGCAGGACAGAGCCTGGTGGTGGTGGTGGTGGAGGGCAGACACGGCGTCCGCGCCTTCTAGACGGATGCCTCATCGGTGATGTACAGGCCTGGGCTTTGCGCCGATTGGTAGAGGACTCAGGAGATGTCTCTGATACATATCTACCTCATTTCGTTCGCCCGACTGGGGGTTCAAGGCGTGTGCGCACATGAAACTAGAGGGCTGAAGTTTGGACCACGGAATGTGTGAGAACCGGGAAATGAATGCATTGTTCGGAGATTCAAGTGGTGGCAAGGCCGCAAGGTACCGATCTTGGATGGAAAATGAGGCTGGCGAACACTGGACTCCCAGCCAGCGAACCATCATGGTTCTATGCTTCTCAGGCATAAGTAGAGCAACGGCGAGCAATAGCACATGTGTATATAACAAGATTCATTTCAGCACACACACACACACACTCCCTCCCAGCCAGCCTATAGCTTCACCATCCCACTACCCCTTCCCGCCATCAGCCCAAAGTCTCTGGCCATCTGGAGGGTGAGTACCCACTAGTTTTTTAAAAACTTCGCATGGTAGGCCACATGGTCCTCACCAAAGGTGGAGATGAAGAAGTAGCTGTGATCGTAATCCTGCACAGTCCATTAGCCCTCTCCCTCCCTGTTAATTTTCGTAGGAAGGTAACTCACAGGCTGATATCGAACCTCGACCTCGGCACCCGCCTCCTTCGCCGCCTTCTCAAAGTTCTCTGGCAGCAACTGTCCCTGCTTGTAGAAGTTGTCTCCAGTGCCGACATCGATCAGCGCCTTGAAACCCTTGCCCTTCCACTCCTTGAGGAGCTCCGTCGCATCGTGCGCCTTCCACGCCTCCTTATCCTCGCCCAGGTATCCGGCAAACGCCTTCTGTCCCCACGGGCAGTTGATAGGGTTCGATATGGGCGCGAATGCGGACACACTCTTGTACATTCCGGGGTTCTTGAGGAACAGCGTCAATGCACCATGGCCGCCCATGGAGTGTCCGGTGATCGACACGCGCGAGGAGTCCAGCTGGTCCTTGTACGCGGGGAAGAGTGTTGACGGAAGCTCCGAGGTGATGTACGAGTACATCTTGTAGTTCTTCTCCCACGGGCCGTTGGTGGCATCCACGTAGAACCCGGCGCCGGTACCAAAGTCCCAGCTGTCATCTTCACCAGCGATAGAGGCCCCGCGGGGTGAGGTATCGGGGTACACGATCGCGATTCCGTGCTGCGCGGCGTGGCGTTGGAGGAAGCCCTTTTCTGCGCAGTTGTCGCCCGTGCAGGTGAGTCCAGAAAGGTAGATTAGGACAGGGACTTTGGTGGTGTTGGTTTGAGGTGGAAGGTAGAGGTTTAGGGCCATGGGAGTGCCAGTGGATTTGCCTAGGGAGAGTTAGAGGTTATTTGGGGGCGCGGACTCAAGAGGACGCACTGTCGTGTTGAAGCTTCAGCAGCTTACCGCCGAAGCTGGCGATTGTAGCTTTGGTTTCGAAGGTCATTTTTGCAAGAGAGTGGTGGTGGGTGTGATAGTGGTGGAGGTGTACTTTCAGCGATTGATTACGGGTAAATCGCGAAGGGTAGAGGTGGAGATGGAGATGTGGATTGAAAACGGGACGATGATGTGGGAGGAAATAGAGATGGATGGGCTTCATATACGCACAACCTAAAGCTCATCCGTCGGGAATCGGAACGGCGGGGGTATATAGTGGGGCATCGTGCATCTGTTTGTCTGGGCGTTTTTTGGCGGGGAAATATCGGACATGTTAACCTTCGCTTCCGCTTGTCGCTAGATAATGAACTACCGCCAAATCCATGTGTACGGATACTATATGCACGGGGTATGCAAATCGAGAATTGTGAGTGCTTCCTCAGCATCTTACATGGAATACTATATCGACAGCGTTCGGATGGAACCCCGTAGATATGCAGTGACTGTTTCCCCATCTAAAGGAATCTGGCTTCTTCCCGAGCCCGTCTTCGCTTCCGTCTCCCTTCCCGCACTACCTCCTCGCCCTGTTCCTCCTCTGCTAGCCGCCGTATCTCGGCCTGCTTCGCGGCAGCCTCCTTCTGCAGTTTCTGTGCCTGCCAGAGTACATCGTCCGCTTCAATCTCCTTGATGACTGTAGATTTGCCGTCAATATCTCTTCCCTGGCCTGCAAACGAATTGGTGGGATACATACCCTCCTCCCAGGCCTTTTCCTCCGCATCCTCGCCCGTTCCGAGCATACGCTCCACATCCACCTCCTCCCCTCTGCCCAACCTCTCAATAACCTCCCTCAACACCGCAATCCTCCCATCCGCCTTCCGCAGAAAATCCGCATGCTCCTGCTTCAGGGTCAACTGCTGGATCGCCTGCGAACCGATCATGAGAAAGATCCACTGCGTTCCTGTCAGCGAACCCGCCAATCTTCGTAACCCGTAGGCGGCACGCACTATGAAGAACGTAGCCGGATTCCACGGTTTTGGGCCTTTCGTTTTTCTATCTCCATCCTTCTGGACACCACCCGCGTTCTTGTTGTAGTTTGGTCGGTAGGTGGATGGCTGCAGGAATAATGGGAGGAATGGGATTTGACGGGGCTCCGCGTAGTGAGCGGAGATTGCGTGGAAGCGGGCGGCGCGGAATGGTATTGTCGCGCGTAGGAGCGGTCGTAATCGCGGTATTATTGAAGACATTGGTGTGGACAGTGTTGTGTGCGGGGGAGAGTACGGACGCGGCTCCGCAGAAGAAATTATTTTTGGCGGGGAGAAAGTGTGGTAACTTTGTTGGCCGGCGGGTCCTAGTTGCTGTGGAGATGGCCGGGGTTTTGGCTGTGTACCTGAAGCTTCATCGAGACAACAACAATTGCCGCTGGAACTCAGGCACCAACCAGCCACCCACTCAACTAATAGCCACCACCACCCACCCCTACCTTCCTTCGCGCGCTTCTCTTCATCATCCACTCCTTTCCTTGTCGCGACATCTCTTTAGAAAGAAAACAAAAGCCGGCCAATTGCATCATGATGGTAAGTACAAGCTCCATGTAAAGTACTCTACCTTTGCATGTTACCCAACTCTTCACAACGGTTCCCCCACCATTCACATTGGCATATGGTCAAACTAACAATAACACCGTTCAGTCATTACAGTCAACACACACGCGTACCTCGAAACCCTCGCCCCTCTCGTCCTACCTCTCCCCCGCAGCGCACCCCTCCGGAACACCTCGATCGCTCCGGCGCAGCGCCAGCGGAGCTCTTAACCAGCTCTCCGCGGTCCAAATCAGCCAACTCAAAGAATCCTTCACGCTGCTGGACAAAGATGGTGACGGTGTGATCTCGCCGGAAGACCTTGGAGCTATGCTCGCGTCTCTCGGACTAGACGCGTCTCCGGCTGCCGTATCACAACACCTCTCCTCCGCGCCGTCGCCTTTCAATCTCGCTTCGTACCTTACACATCTTTCGCAGCACCTGAGTCTTCTCTCGCCTGTGGGAGACCTAATGGCCGCGTTTGAGGCGTTCGATGAGAACGATGATGGGATGGTTGACGTGGAAGAGCTGAGGAGCGCGTTGACCGGGATGGGCGAGAGGATGAGTTCTGAGGATGTGGACCGCGCGCTCAAGGGGTTCACGAGAAGGAAGGGGCTGAAGCGTGGTGGTGGAGGCGGAGATGTGTTCAGGTACCGCGAATTTGTGGATCTCCTTGCCGGAAAGTCGGCGGATGATGAGGATGATGGGGAGAAATAGGGTTCTTCTCGCACCGAAAGTGAGGCCGACTTGGAGAAGATCAAGAGTAAGGTGGAGGCGATAATGAAGATGGGGTGATTAAGATACACATGATGGTATGACTACGGGCGTATTCAAACGGTTTGTTTACTTCGATTTTGTTTACACTGGGGTTATGGCGATGGATGGGTTTTGGATCAGCGGGAAGATCGGTGCTTGCTTTTGTTGTTTTTGCGTTTCCGTTTGCTTTCTTATCTGTACTTCCTTACGTCCTTCCTGTCGATGATTATGATGATGATGACTGTAACTTTGTATGTACAATAGTCAAGCACCCGGTTGTGCTTTTACTGTAAAATTCAGTTCCTTTGAACGGAAATCAATACTTGTATCATCTGATCCTTGTCACATGCACGTAGAGCCAGCATTGTCACGACCACGGATATGCCACCATTGTTTCGCTACCTTCAGCTCACCTCTCTACACCGCCACCACCACCACATCACCCTACTTCCTGCGGTGACCCCACAACGCCCTACCACCCATCATGGCGCGACGAATAGTGCGCACGATAATCAAAGTAACGCTTCTCTCGTTCCTTCTTGCTGGTCTTCTCTTCGTTCTGGAATCTCGTTTTCGCGTGTTGCCGCAAAAGGTCCATACGGGGGTGCACTACCTCCTTCCCGAACATCATGACGGCACCATCATAACCGACATCGATTACCTCCAATGCTCGCCGTGGTCTAATTGCGAGTTGAGCGCCGACGACGGATGGACCAAGATTCCGAAGGACCTTTTTCTTGGCGGCTCGTGGTTGCAGAAGGGCTTCCTTCACTTCAAGCGCAAGAAGGAGACCGAGTTTACGCCCGCATCTGGGGAGAAGGTTGTATTGGACGTGCGGCTTAGTAGAAAGCAGCCAGAACCTTCGGAGGGCGCGGGAGATAAGGAAACAGCCTGGGAAGCAAGACCGGGAGGTCTATGGATCAAGCGACAGGCGAAGCTGAGCGAAGTTGCCATCACCGCGGTGGAGGTGCTGTTTGGTCCCGACGCAGTGGAGGTGCGGGAGGGCTGGCAGCTGAAGGAGGGGTCAATGAGCGTTGGCGAAACGCCGAGATTGACGGTGAGGAGGGGACAGAAAGTAGAGGTCAAGAAACCGCAGGTCATGATGCCGAAGAACCACAAGCTCAAGATCATTCAAGTTGCTGGTAATCCTCCTTCCCTTGCTGGTTGATGATGGCGGACTGATTGGACAGACCTTCACCTTTCGACTGGCGTTGGAAAGTGTCGCGATGCAGCCCCACCGGAGACTGCAAAGAACTGCGAGGCCGACCCCCGAACTCTCGACTTCCTCCGCAAGATCCTCGACGACGAGAAACCCGACATCGCGGTGCTCACCGGCGACCAGATCAATGGCGACACAGCTCCAGATGTCCAAACCGCGCTTTACAAATTTGCTGAACCGTTTATCTCGCGAAAGATCCCCTTCGCCACCATCCTCGGAAACCACGACGACGAATCCTTCTTGACGCGTGAGCAGATCATGAAAATGACCGCATCGCTCCCCTACTCGTTGTCCGAAGTCGGCCCGGAAATGGGTCCTCTAGTCAAAGACAGAAAAGGCCGTCTCGTGCATGAGGGCGGCGCGGGCAACTACCGAGTCGAAGTCGTCGCCCACAACCGCGCTGAGCACCAAGCGCTGACCCTGTGGTTCCTCGATTCTCACTCCTACAGTCCTGACCCAAACGTTGATGGTTACGACTGGATCAAGGACTACCAGATCGACTGGTTCAAAAATACAGCTGAGAGCTTAAAGGAGTCGCATAACAAATACTCGTACATCCATATGAACATGGCGTTCATTCACATTCCACTGCCGGAGTACCGTTTGGCCGGTGTTCCAATGGTCGGTGAGCGTCGCGAGAACCCAACATCTCCCAGTCACAACTCTGGCTTCCAGGATGCTATGGTCGCCGCGGGAGTCACTGTCGTCTCTGCTGGTCACGATCATGCGAACGACTACTGCCTCTTAGACAAGATGTGGCTCTGCTACGCGGGAGGAAGCGGGTTCGGTGGGTATGGTGGATATAACGACTACATCCGTCGTGTCAGATTGTTCGAAATTGATGCGACCGTGGCTACAGTCAAGACGTGGAAGAGGGTGGAGTGGGATGATAAAGGGAAGGTGGATCTTCAGACCATTGTCGAGGGCGGAAAGGTGGTGGTACCGCCACCGGCAGCGTAAATGCGAAGTCTTGTTTTATTTTTTTCCTGGGACATTGGTTTTGTTAATGCTGAAGGCGTTATTTGCTGTTGAATTGTATTACGATATCTGTTCTTGGGATCTATTTTGCCATTTTTCTTTAGAGACGTGATGATTATCACTCGTTTGTATTTTACCAAAACGGAGTGACTTCCTATGAAATCACGTGCACATACCATCTCCCATGAAATACCGACGTCTCGTCGCGTCTCCCCACGCGCCCAGCACTCCACGACCAACACCACTTTGAAATGGCAGAACTTCCGCTGGCCGACGCAACCCCCTCAGAGCCGCAACCCCTGCAAGAAGAGGCAACCCAACCTCCGCAAGACGAGCAAACGCAAAACGAGCAACCACAAGACGAGCAACCGCAAGCTGAGCAACCGCAAGATGAGCAACAACCAGAAGAAGACGACGAGCAGTCTCCCGACGTCCCTCTGATCGAAGGCGCACGAGCCTCAGCGCTACGCGCCGCCTACAACCGCGCGCTCAGCAAAAGCATGTCGCCGATAACCGTTGTGAACTTCAGCAGCTGTTTTCCGAAGCTCGCGAGCGCGAATCCGCGCAAGCTCGAAATGCTACACACGGCCATGACCACACACATGGTTACCCGCGGGCCGTCGGAGTTGGACCTCATCTTCCACCGGCGCAAGGTCGTGCAGAGCCTCAATGCGCTCGATGAGTTGATGGCTGAGGCGATCGAGAGGAGGAGGGCCGCGCCTGAGGGCGCGGTCCCAGTCACCCCGTCGCTGTTGCCGCCCAGGGATGTCGTCGAGGCGCATCTTAGGCCCGTGCTTAGGATGGCGGTGGAGAGGGAGGAGGAGAAGTTGGCGGAGACTAGGAGGAGGAATGACGTGATGATGAGGGAGATTGAGGAGCAGAGGAAGGCTATGAAGGAGTTTACGGCGATACTGGAGGAGAGTAGGGCTGCGTTTGAACAAGCTGTTGAAGAGGTTGTCGGTGCGGCTAGGGCGATAGAGGACGAAGATATGATGGCATAGATGTGCGGTGCTGGTGCTATATCTGTGCGGAGTTTTGCTGGGTTTTTGTCTGCTCCGTGATGTGTGTGGGATACCAATTGTATGATGCTATGAATGAATTTTGGTAATTTATGCTGCACGGTGTTTAGGATGTCACTTGATCTGTTATTGGCATGTTACTTTTGCTTTATCGCTCCATGACCTTGGGCAATGGACCGGGCGGAAGGCAATGGGGTACACATGTCGCGCTGTTTGGTTGCGGGCAGGACAGTGGGATGGAACTGAGTTGTAACTGCCATGATCTAGTAAGGACGAATGCAATGATGATTAAACAAAAAAAAACTTTATGATCTTGGGCTACGGAAAAGACAAGCATACTCTGCTGCGGGGTCCATGTTGCGGGCTACTGCCTTCGTGAACACTGTATTGATAGACTGGTCTCGAGCTTATCACTCGCTTCTTTCATTTCGGAGTCGAAATTCAATCTGCATGAAAAACCATTATCTCTCTCGGTTACCTTCTCAATAGCCACTGAATATACTCTTTGAGCTTGCAAGCCTTTAATCTATGCATTTTTCAAGCTGCTGCAGTTGAGGGCTTCGAGCCCTGTGGGCTCTTGGCGTTTCGCACACATCGCACCAAAGTCACACTAGCGATCGCACACAAATCGCAGCTGAGCTTGTCGCCGCAACACACACGGATTTCGAGATACGACGACTGACGACGACGGAACGAACCTCCCCACCTTGAACGCCAGCCGCCACGCCGTTTCAAACAACAAGCTACAGCAATCATGGTACGTTTTCGCGATACCTCCGGAGGGCGGCACTTGGGAATCGAAGGGGAAAAGAGGAAGAAGGATAGTGGGCTGATTTGGATTCGACGATAGGCCCCCGCCGCAGCTCAAGGAGGAAAGAAGCAGAAGAAGAAGTGGTCCAAGGGAAAGGGTATGAACTGCCCCACCGCACGCCCACGATCTTGCGAATTGCGACGCTGATATCGACGCGCGACTATAGTCAAGGACAAGGCCCAGCATGCCGTCATCATGGACAAGCTTGTCCAGGAGCGTCTTAACAAGGACGTCCTCACCTACCGTCTGATCACCACCGCTGTTCTCGTCGACAGACTGAAGATCAACGGATCGCTCGCCCGCAAGGCGCTCGCCGACCTCGAGGAGAGGGGTGTCATCAAGAAGATTGTTGGACACTCTAAGCTTTCCATCTACAGTACGTTTTGCCACCACGAATTCAACAGCCACCACAAAGGGAGATTGCTGACGGATATGCGTGTCTTTAGCGAGAGCTGTCGCCGCTGCCGAGTAGAAGGAAAAGATAGGACGTTAACTCGTGTTTTGTTCTTTCTTTTGGGTGGAGGGGAAAATACAAAATTTCTCTTCGTGCCTTTTGCTTTGGGTGTTGAGGGTCTTCTTCTTTGTGCATACTGGGAATGCGAATCAAAACAAAATAACGAATTCACGTTCCAAGTCCACCATCTGTTTCAAAACGCGTGCTCTATAACAGACTTCATGACGCTCTACTATCATTCATTCGTCCTTATATCTGCGCAATCTCTCGATAGACTCGATGCTCGCTGTCATACCTCAAGTGCTGCGTTGGTTTTAGATACGGTATCCTACCGTGCGCCTGCTGAGTAGACATGAATACGAATATCTCAGCACGGTTCTTGATACACTTCCACTCAATGCCCGCTTGAGTCCACTGACGTACGTAGTAAATAAACAAAACTATCTTCCCACTTGCACTTATAAATAGACAGAGAGACAAAGAGACAGACGCATACAACATCGTACACTCTACCACGCCTACCTACTCCCACCCGAAGGCGCTTTGCCCGCCTTGCCACCCCTCTTCCCCTTCCCCTGCTTCTTGCAGAGCTCCCTCACCGGCATGTCCTCTAAACTCTCATGCAACACCTGGCCGACATAAAAGTACTTATCATGGAACCTAAAGAAATTATCCCAATGATCAATCTGCTTCTTGACCTTCAGCAGCGCCTCCTGGCGCCTCTTCTCGCGCCTCTTTCTCAACCACCTAACGCGGCCCTGGGTCTCCTGCCTCCCCTCGGTGACCAGCGTCTCGATCTCCGCCGCCTCGGCATCATCCTCCACACGAGCCGTGCCGGTGATATACATCTCCTCGAGCCCGCGCAGGTCGTGCGTCAGATCCGTATCGAAGCACCCAGACACGAACGCGCGCGCCGCGTCCCGCCCCGCGAAGAAGCTGTACCCGCCGCCGGGGCCGTACATGCCGGGGTTCGCGGAGACGTCGAAGACGGAGCCGTTGACGGCGACGTAGATTGGCTGCCCGGCGTCCGCGCCCGTGTACGCACTCAGCTCGTGCTCGGTCAGGAGAACGGAGGGTTGCTAGGGGTTGTTAGCGGCCTCCTCCGGCGCGGAGAGGGCGGCGGGAGAGACGTACGAAGATGGATTTCAGAGTGCGCCAGCGGCTGATGCGGGGCCGGTAGTTCCACGTCAGTGAGGAGCCATCGGTTATTAGCCAGCTGAAGACGCAGCTGAGGACGAGGAGCCCCGAGAGCACGCGCAGGAGGTCGACGAAGCTGATGGTTCGTGGCAGGGACTCGTCGTCGTCGTCGGCACTTTTCTTGGAGGACTTTTTAGACCCTGGGGAGGCGGGTGGGAGAGGCGGTTTGCGGTTGCGGGGGACGCCGTCGGACATATTTGGTTTGTTTGATTGTGTTGTCGGCGGTGGTGAGGTGGTGGGCGTAGTGTGGTGTGGAGGGTGAGAGGGACACCGTTGCGTGTTTCATACGCTGTTCTGGCTTGTGCACCGGAGAGATAGATTTCACGGCCCGTCATGGTGGAACTAACACTGATCCCTGACTGTCGCGTCCCACCAATTCGGGATCCGGGAAGGCTCGCCGATCGATGGAACGGAGCCCCGCAGACTTCATCCGGTCACACAGATATATATATGGTAGGACTGGAATTCATCACATTGCCATCATGGTATTGTAGAATAACAATTGTGGCATTATGATATATAACCAATCGAGTAAAAAACGCCAAAGACGCCGCCCAAACGAAAGCAAATTCCTGCAATCACCGCCCGCCTTTCGTGACTTTCCCCGCAATCTCCTCGAGTCTCTGTACCTCCTCGGAATCCTTCCTATCGTTGTAATTATAATCCCCGCCGACGACCTCACCCTGCGCATTCAACCTCAACCCGGGGATAACCTCCAAATGTTTCCTAGTCATAACCTCGATATACTTCCTCCTCTCAGCCTCAGGACCCAGAGCCACGTCTGGCTCCTTCTGCAACCCCCGCTGCATCTCATCCCACTTCGGAGTCACATCCGCAACAAGACTCTTAATCCCGCTGAACTGCGACGCCACAAACGTCGCCGCATCTTTCGTCCCCTGTGCACCGGCGATTAGGGAGAATGGCGTTGGCTCGCCGGTGTACGAGGGGTTCGTAGATGCGACGAGAGTGCGCAACTGCGCGATAAGCCGCTCGTTCTCAGCTTTTTCGGCGTGCAGCTTGAGGTTGAAAGCGTACGAGGCCAGGTTGCTCTGTCGGAGTTGACGGAGTTGGAGGCGCTCGCGCGGAACTGGGTGGGCGTCGGTTGCGGAGGGGACGTCCGTGTCCGTGTCAATGTCCATTGCGGTGGGTTCAGGAACCTTGGCTTTGTCTTTGTCTTCGGCGTTCTCGGGTGAAGGTTGCACGGTGAAGTCGATTCCCTTCTCCTGGTCAGCACGAGTCCCCAACCCCCATAGACACGCAACCCCACCTTGTGATGCGCCAATTGCACCCACGGAACCAGATCCGGATCCACGACCATGATGTTCCTCATAGCGTAGATCTCCCACTTATCGAACGCTTTATCCACAGCATCCGTCCACAGGGTCTCTAGCTGATGCAGTCCATTTTGGAGTTCCCCCATCTCCTCTTCCGTAAGCATGAGCTTCCCGTTATCGTCCACATCACGGATCATTCCCGGGGCCGTCTTGAAGCCCAGACTTTCAGGCTTCATCTTGAACAGGGCGTTTTCGACGGACATCACCGCGCCGAAGACGAGCTCGTTGACACTGTTGATGACATCGTCGACAAGCGTGAGCGGCGTGTAGCCAAAGTGTTCGCTTAGCAAAGCGTTGGAGGATGCGGTGGGAGGGAAGGCCATTGTGTCTGCGGTCGGGTGGGTTGGCGGGGTGCTGGTGCTGAGGGAATGGTGGAGACGCGTTTCCTTGCGGACTGCGCAGGAAGTTACCTGGCCATCACGTGATAGAAAAAGCACCAACACAGCTGCAGCCGGAAAAGAATCAGTTGAATTCTGGTGATGTCTCCACAAGAATATCATCTCGATTCACTCTACTCTATCTAGCTCAATCAAGCTGACGTCTCGCCTTGTCTGCCTTTGGAAACTGTGTAGGGTATTGTGGCTATATGTATCATACAGACAAGAAATCGTACGCTTATGATGAAGAGCTACGGTTTCACAAACGAAACTTTGCTCACGAGCAGATGCATATACGAAATGTCTGCTCGATCGGCCTCGGTGCCGCGGATGCACGGCGCGGCTATGTGAAGTAAAGTGCTTCGCCAGCGGCTGACAGCCGCTCCAGACATTTCCCGCAGATCCCATAAACATCGGGAACTCTGAATGTGACGGATGATCTGCGGAGTCCAGATGCTTCCCACAGCCGAGCAATAAGCTCGAGTGCTGAGAAACGTCATCTCTGGACGGGAAGAAGCATCGGGAATCGGGAATGAACCCTTGCCTCTGGTGCGAGGAATAAGTCTGGCTGTATGCATTCAAGACTTTCCTTCTGAGGGGTATCGCCTGTGTGCCTGCGTCGTCTCGGAGCTTCCATTCTTCCATGCTCATCCACCGGCTTCATGGCGCGAAAAGTTCCGAGATGAAACACATCTGCTGATGATGACGGCTCGGCAGTTAGCACATATATGTCTCTGCAATGGCCCATCTCACTTGTTTGGTGTTTGCCTTGTTTGCTCCGAGAGTGCTAGGTGCAGTCGTTCGGCTCAGTGATGGCCGATGGGTGTGGGGTTTGTGGCCGTTTGTCCGTGGGTTGATGGGATGATGATGATTATGGATAAAGTTACTGGTACTGTACTAGGTATTAGTTCGTGCGGCTCCTTTGGCTGCTGGTTGGCTGCTGGTTGGTTGCCGGGTTGTCGCGTCCTCGTCATGGAGACGGAGAGGTCAATTGCGAAAGAAAGGCGAATGGAGTTATGACTCTGTCTGTGTACCCGTGCCACCAAGACGTCTTTCTCTCCCTTTTCCAACGTCAGTCCAGAGAAGAACAATCCTTAACTATTCCACCAACCACCAACCATCTCGACTCCACCCCGACGAGCCCAGCCAATCCGCCTCCTCCGAATCCACGAACAAGTAAACGCGACATCCCATCAATCGCTCTGGTCGCGTCGGACCTATTCATCCATCCGTCCCATCGCTGTTAACTACCGCCCCGGTCTGCTAGCTGTGAATCAGCACTCCCAAGTCCGCTGATTGCCTGGAAACTCGAAACCTCCCTCCTCCTTTGCCGCTACCGACCAATCTACCACTCACCGCTCACCCACAGCTCCTACACCCTCCTCCAAACACCAAGCATCCACCTTGATATATCAACCAGGTCCAGCAACGAAAAGCCCGTCAGCCCAGCTATACCCGCTAGTTTCGAGCCTGCGGTTGTGACGTTCCGTCCCTACTCTCCAAAAAGCAAATAAGCAAAGACGACCAGACGGACGGGGTAATTGGCTGATCCTGACTGCCGGGAAAAACCAAGGTTGTGGGTAATAGGGTGCGGTATTTTCAGCGCCGGACAGAGCAGAGACAGACAGCTTCGAAAAAGGCACGCCGTCGTGTGATCCTTTCTCGTCACGCCTCGCCTACAACCGATCGACTACTGGGAAAGCAAACAAGCAAGCTCCTCCGCCCACTCCTCCTCCCCCACATCGTCCGCACAGAATCTGTTGCAAGCAAGCAAAGCACCCCCGCTGCGCACGTTAACCACTATCGACCAATCCAAGCTTCAAGATCAAAGTCAGGCAGGCGCACAGTCAAAGTAGGCAGCAGGCAAGAAGCTGCAGATACGGCGCTGCTTATCGAACAAAGCACCAAACAGCAGCAAAGCAAAGAGTGCAACGCATTCATCTGCAGAAAAGTGAGTAGTCCGCCCAATGAACGGTTGATTGATGCGATGATGGGTGTCTCTTCCTATACAGCTGCACTTTCTGGCTCTGACTCTGACCCTCCGAAAGGAAGCTGATACAGACCAGGTTTTCTTGCACCGAGGAAGTTGGTGGGGTAAGAAAGAAACAGCAGGAGAACCAGCAGGAAACAGTAAGATTCCCGGCACCGAGACCGAGCTTCGGATGTTGAATTATTGTCAAGGTACCTTCAAACATTATCTTCGCACATACACACACACAGATCTACATAGAGGCAAAGTCAATACATACCGAGACCTAGGTGGAGAGAGACATAAGACTACAAACGGTACGACCTCAGCCCCGCCACCCACCATCTCTTCATCCTCAATTCCCTCCGGTCCATTCCCTAAGTTTTCCGAGAGGCTTGTCTTTGTTTTTTTTCCTCGATTTTTTTTCTTCACGCCCTTCTCTTCCCTTCTTTTCCCTCAGGCCCTGGCCCCTCGTCTTCGCTGCCGCCGCAACAGCCATATGGCATACTTATTCACGCCGGCCGTTCGTCTCATTTTTTCTCATGTCATCTTCTGGTCTCCGAGTCCTTGAGTCCAGTCCCGCCTGCTCCAATCGCTCTTCATCAACTATCATGCGTAACCTTTCCCTGGATACCCTAAGGTTAGACTGTCTATCTGCATAAAAGTTTCTCCTTCCCTGGACGGCAGCCCCCACCGCAACCACCACCACCTCAACCTACCAGCCCGCTGCATCCACCAACAAATTTTATACCTGCCCCGCGCACGGACGCGTTTGGGAAGTCGCCTACTACATCCCTAGCCTCCGGCCTCAATCCCATACCGTGGACCTGGGTACGAACGAAAAGCAACCCTCTCCTAGCGGGCGGTGGCTCCCTTTGTTTGCCCAGGCATTGAAACAACCAACATACCGCCCAACACGCATGTCAGCCGGAGGAACATAGAAGGAAGGAAGGAAGACAGAAAGGAACACAAAGGACTTCCAATCTCATCGCAATTCCGCTGCCGGAGGAGCAGAAGGACCGTCAACGATCTTCGCTCTAAAGACTCCACGACTCGCGAGGATATTTCGCAGCCCATACAAATACAGACATACACCCCACACCACAACAACGGCTACCATCTCACGACAACACCGCGCTCCCTTGCCTCCCGGAGACTGGGGCGCCGCTGCTCTGAAAGGACCTTTCCGCGGACCTGCGCTGGGACCATGGGAGAAGCAACTGTTGCTAGATAGACAGTCTTTCCTTGTTTTCAACTGTACCCTGCTCGCGGACTTGCTGCTCTTTATACCATCAGACTCGCCCCTACCAATTTCCCCTTTCTTCCCTCTACCTCTCACGGACCTTGCGAGCCTTTCCCATTTCCTTCATTCTCTCACATTGAACACTTAACTGTGCTTTTGCGAATTGCGATTTCCAAGCATGTCATGGAAAAACACGAGATTCATCGATGACACTGATGGGGATTCGTCGGCGACCGCACGGCCGCCGTCACATCCCAAGTTTGAGAGAAGAAGCTCTTACTCACTAGAACGATTCCTACAGGAACCGGACGAACAGGAACTCTCACCAGCTTCCAGTGTCGAGGCCCGATACATTGATACAGCAGAATTTGCCAGACGTCGCAAGAGAATGCAGAGTCCAACCTCTAGCACGGGACCGTATGCAGGAGGTATTCCTCCATCAGGGACGAATAGGAAGCCCAGGCTTCTGTTGATGGGTCAGAGAAGGTATGGCTTCGCAGGTGCACTCTTTCTCGAAAGCGCTGATACTAACTTTCTGCACATAGGAGTGGCAAGTCTTCGATCAGCTCTGTGGTATTCCACAAGATGCCGCCTACAGAAACGCTGTTTTTGGAGTCCACTACCCGCATTCAGAAGGACCCTATCAGGTTCGTCCCCGAGAGCCTCGAAATCCACCCCCGTCCATGCGCTGACAGATATGTCCACAGCTCGTTCATGGATTTTCAAGTATGGGACTTCCCCGGCCAGCTTAACCCTCTGGACGACACGTTCGACTTCGACAACATCTTTGGCGAGCTTGGAGCTTTAATCTGGGTCATTGATGCGCAGGATGAGATTCTGGACCCTCTATCCCGTTTGCATTCCACCATTATTGCGCTACAGAGGTCATATCCTATGGTCAACATCGAGGTGTTCATCCACAAGGTTGACGGCTTGTCGGACGAATACAAACTGGACACGCAACGGGATATCATGCAGAGGACCCAAGACGAGCTAGAGGATGGTGGTTACGATAACGTCCAGATCTCGTACCACCTCACCAGCATCTACGACCACAGCATATTCGAAGCGTTTTCGAAAGTCATCCAGAAGCTCCTGCCGCAATTGGGCACACTTGAGAACTTGCTCAACGTCCTGTGCAGTAACTCGGGCATCGAGAAGGCGTTCCTTTTCGATGTTCTCAGCAAGATCTACATCGCTACGGATTCTAGCCCAGTCGACGTGCAGAGCTATGAGATATGCAGCGATTTCATCGACGTCATAGTTGACGTCTCGGAAATTTATGGGTACGTGGTCTTGCGTTCTAGAAATGCCCAGGTTCCTGATCAGCAGTGCATGCAGTTACGACCGCAAGACGGGCCATGACGGACATGGCCAAATATCGCCGCCGGTCTCGCCCGGCAGGGTCCTAGACGAGACGGAAGAGCAAATTCCCGAAGTCAGCAGTGTGATCAGACTGCAGAACGGAATGGTCTTGTACCTGCGGGAAATCAACAAGTATGTTCTCTCATGCGTTTGTTGGTGCGTGTTACTGATCGCCGTTACACAGATTCCTCGCATTGATCTGTCTCATGCGCAAGGAGGGCATCGAAAAGCAGGGACTGGTCGATTACAACGTGCAGATATTCCAGACGGCGCTGCAAAAGGTTTTCGAGCTTGGCGGGACAGGTGTCAGATAGATAGAAGAAAGTGTCGTGGCTGTCGTCGTTGTCGTCGAAACATGGGCGCTTGGGGGCGTTATATCCTTATACCTTCGTTACTCTCGTTCGTTCGTTCGATGTTGGTTTGGTTTTTTATTCGGTTTTATGCGATGATAAATTCTTTGAGGTTGGAACTTGGAACAGGATCGTAGGGAGGGTTTAATGGGCTTGTAATGGCTTGCGATCTTGAGATGTTTCTAGATAGTCTACCTAGACCTACATGCTTGAAGTCGGAAATATAGATTGGATGTTGAATGAATGAATCCGCCTGAGAAGCTGAGGTGTCTGCACGATGTTTGCCCCATGTACCTGACTAGGTGCGGTAGTATACCTGGGGCTTGAGCTCGAGCTTGAGCTTCGATTGGCGCTTATCGCTGCGGGTGCACGGCGTAGTGATAACCGTACTCTTAATGGGCCGTGGAGGGCCGCCGAAGCGCCAGGTGGTTTATCAGGTCTAGATTGGTTGTGGGGGTGGGGGTGCCTGATAGGTAGATAATCCTCCGTAAATCACATTCATTATCCGTCTGGACAGTTCTTCACTCGAACTACTGGGGACGAGGCAAGGTACCTAAGGCACGTCGTTTCTTCCAGAGAATCCAGCGTTTCTGTGAAGATGTCTACTATACTGGGGAAGATGTGTAGCGTTCAGGTATGTACTTTGGAATTGCTCGAGTGATATATGATACATCTGTGCTCGCACTTGACTTTTTAGAGCTAGGTATCTCTGGCTACCACGAGATGCGGGATCCGGAAACTATCAGAAGTAGTAGTAGCAGCAGCACTGTTGATCAGTGATCAGTGATATCATGGTATGTCGCACCTGCTATAGTAGGATAGTAGGGTACGGCGACTGCGATATTCTCTGTATGTGTGGGCACTCACGAGTCACGAGTCACGGCCGCCACCATAATCGCCGCACCCCTCTGCTACTCGATACATGCTGTAGCCTGGGGTTCCGCTGTGGACACGTGAGAGTTATTACGACCTGGCTCTTCTGCGCAGTCCCCAGCAGAGCACGACGAGCTGTGCCCCACGAACTACTGGAAGGATTAAGGACCAGGGACCAGACATGGTGGGGCAGATTCCGCGCATGTAAAGCCTGCGAGACGACGTAGGTATCGCATCGTGTGTACCGTAGGTCCGTAGATGTATTTCACACGCATTGTCTTCGGTCCATGTGCACACAGGCGTGGTCGACTTCTCGCTCCGACGGCTGCATCACACTTGTTACTCGGTTCCCCCCGCTCCCACAGAACTGATATACCTAACTTTGCAAAGAAAAGAAAAGAAAAGGAACAGAAAGCGGCCTGGCTAGCTGGGAAGGTACCCAAATCACGCTCGATGGTTCTTTCCCTTCGGCTTGTTGGTGGTTCGTCGGTGGTCCATTCGTGGCTCGTTGTTGGCTCGTTGTATCCAAGTGCCGCTGCGGTAACGAGGGATACAGCGCCGAAGACGTGCACAACCTCATGTGTATATACCGTATTATACATGAGGTTGTAAGTTCGACCGTTCGAAGCTGAACAGTTGGAGCCTGGAGGACTCTGCGGTCTGCGAGAGAGGGGTAGTAGAGATGAAGTGGGAGTGCGGGCTCGAGGGAGAGTTCGAAGTTACCTATATTATAGCCATAAGATAAGTGTCAACTAGAATAGGCAGTGAAGACTCACGAGCTGTGACCAGATGTACTCTACTCTGGCGAGTGGACCGAGGTATGTAACAGGTGTGTGCGACGAGTGGTGTGAAGCCGCGGGAGGGCTGGTTGGGAGGGCGCACGCGAACAGACCAGATCTAAAAGCCTAATCAATGATCATCACAGGCCCCTTGCGCAGGTTGGTACATAGGCTCGGGATCTCGGAATTGTACATACTTTGTTCAGCTCAGCGTACCATGCCGAGTGGTTGCTATTGGGGTGGGATGGGATGGAGTGTACCAGTGCCGTTTGCCCATCGGCGGTGATACTTGCTGCCGAGAGATGATATAGTGAGGTGTATGGGTATATTAGCACTTCGTTGATACTGTATCTACTCGATCATTGTAACCGGCGCGCTAAGAGGTCAGAATAAACTTGCCGAGTGGCAATGAAAATTCGGTGGACGGAAGGGTCTTTGTGGCAAATGTTTTCGCAACTTCAGTGCTGAAAAAGCAGCTGTTTTGTTAGAAATCAGGAACTTTGGCCACGGTCTTGGCACGGGTGATGCTTTGTGCATCCACTCGGAAACAACAAAACTGCTGTTTCTGGGCCTGCTAAACTCTGGAGACGTGTAGTATTACACTATGGAATCGCCCATCCCTTCCCACCTGTATCAATTCATTTTTCCCGCTCGACATCTGTAGATACTAAGAGAGAGTTTTGAGCGAGAGCTCTGGCAGTGGCAAACTGATATTGCCACTTTGCACCCTTTTCATTGCTACTCGGTAAGTTTATTCTGACCTCTTAGCGCGCCGGTTACAATGATCGAGTAGATACGGTACGTGAGAAGGATGGGTTGCTGCCGTTACCGTTGCCGCCGCCGTGAGAAGCAAGCTTCATGGAAACTCACGATACAAAGGGTACCGGTATCCGGCTTGGTGATGAAGGAATCTTAATCCTGCGAAGACTCTCCGAAAGCAGCCCCGGGCACAATAGACCTTGGAGCCAGTATATTCCGGGCCGTGCGTGCCCATCTCTTATTGAGTTAGGTATAGATGGACGAGTAAACGGTTACATCATAGTTTCCGCACAAACGTGCAAAGCAAAAAACAATATCAGTTAATCCACAACTCCCGCAAAAAGACGTATGTACAATAGGTAAGCACCTCCGTCCGTATCTCTCACCAATAAACCTCACCACGCATCAACTTCCTCGCCGTGCGCTCGATGGCGACGCTTGTCACCCGCTCGCCCTCAAACCTCGCCTTCAGCCCGACAACTCCTCCGGGAATCTCGACACCCACGTCTCCGTTCCCATCACCGACGAGCTCGTGGATCACGCTGCCTTGCACGCACGCCGCCGCCGCCAGACAGAGCGCCACGGTGGACGGAATCGCCTTATGCAGTGCGCCCATACTTAGTGCCTTCGCAGCGATGTGGCAGAAATCCAGGGTTCCGCTCGGCGGAGCAACAAGGCAGATCTTTGGCTGTGCCTGCGTGGTCGGGTCGAGGCCCATCTTCACCGCGGCCGCTTGTCGGATCTCCTCCAGCGTTGGGAAGACGGCGTCTGGCCAGGAAACGGCGAAGAAGTCGTCGAGAGAGGGGAAGATGTGCGTTGCCGCGACGAAGACGGTGGGGTTGGTGGCGTCGACACAGGACACTACCACTTTCTGTCCTGACGTGAGCACAACCTCGTCGCGAGGTCGACCCGTCGGCAGCAGCTTCCCCGTCTTCGCTCCAGCAGGGTCTAGAAACTCGAGGACGACGCGGGAGCCCTTTCCAGCAACACCGGCGATGGCGATCTCGGATTCGTTCAGCATGGCCAATCCCGTGCTCCTTTCGACAGGGAACTGCGTGCAGACGATCTTCCCAGTGTTGGTATTGAGCAGGTTCAGCGTCGCCTTCCTGCGACCAAGATCCGTCTCTCCAGGGATCATCTCCAAGCTCGGGATGCGGCAGAGCTTCTCGTCCAGCGCGAAGATGCCAATGGCGGCGGTAAGGTTCCCGCAGTTGCCAGAGAAGTCGAGGATGCCGTCGCGGATGCCGACCTGGACGAACGTGTATGCGATGTCGTAGTCGCCGGTGGCCGTCTCGGGCTTCGCGGTCGAACAGCCGACCACGCAGATCTTGGAGAGCGAGCTGATCCCCCCGCCCATCCCGTTGAGCTGCCGCCCGAACGGGTCCGGGGAACCCATAATTCCCTGGAAGATCGGGCCCCACTCATCGCGCGACGGGGGGAGGTGCTTCGCGTCGATGAATATACCCTTCGAGGTGCCGCCGCGGATGAACGTGGCCGGCAGCGGATTGAGCGTGGTGAAGGCGCGGGCGAGACGCGGGATGTGGCGGGCGGCGAAGGCGGGCATCGATACGGGTTACGTGGTCAGCCTAGGGCGAGATCGTGGATAGGCGGGTAAGATCCGGCCGGGTGATGCTGCGCGTGTGGAGGATGTCTCGTGTGGTCGGGGGTTTCATGGTGGAGTGCGGTGAGGAGCTCGGGGAGTGGGCCGAGCTCTCTAGATTGCCCAGCACTATCTAGGACCCCTGTCCATGGCGGGGGGATGCGGAGCGGCAAGCCGTCTTCTGCGTGAGTGCTCGGTATGCTCGGTACGCATGCGTTTCATCTTTGATGCCGAAGGGATCCGGTGCGGGCAGTGTCGAGTACACACGGGCTTTCCGTGTCGAGGTCATCAGAAACCACGTAGATACTGGTATATACACACTCACGTAACAGCAAAGAGCAGAACAGACGATGACGTCAATGACCGAATGCGAAACCACGAGTAGTTCGTCTGTCTCTATGTACGACAACCATCAATTGACCTCATGCTCATGAACCTAGAGTGCGTGGGTGACGGGAAATGTGCTACATATGTGTACTATGAACATCTCACGGTTCGGTTCGCCATGCAAGGGGTCCATCCGACTCCCAGGATCCAGATAAATCTCGAAACCCCCAAATCTGTGGGTAGAGCAATCGCCACCGGGTGGCTGGATCAGGTTTATCTTCAAGCTTTTTGTGAGCGGAGCTGGGAGCCTAAAAAACGGGATGGGCCGCACAAGGGTACCGTAGGGTAGGAGGTCAGTAGCTACCCAATCATCCATGCGTTTATCTATCGAGTGGTACGGGCGTGAGCTTTTGAAGACGGCGTTGGAAATCTTGCCAAGAGATTGTCTTGCCCACACATCGGTGTCAGCAGTCGGTGGGCTTTCCTTCCCCGAGTCGGAAAGAATTCACCAAGCCCAATGTAAGCTGCGCAGGGAAAAGAGCGGATGCCCTCGCGCATATGCACTGCCACTGGTGGTGACGGTAGGGCCCTGATGAGCGTGAGTAGGATAGGCACCGTAGGAAGGACATCTCGGGAACCAGTTGCTTTTAGAGGAAAGCTCTGGAGAATACGGTGCTTTGCTCGTGTCTTTGACAGTTTGACTTCACTCTACCTGAGCTCCATGCATAGCCCTGTACCAGCACTGCCGTAAGACACGATATGGCATTTATGACAGGTTTGAAGCATCGTGACCTCAAAATGAGGTTAAACGTGGCACGGGAAAGATCATGGAGAATAGAACTATACGTCACCGGAAACACGTGCGGCATGGAAGGGCATGTACCATCCGCCGTCCATCCGTCCATCCGTCCATCCGTGGCCATGATAGGTACACCGTACACATCCATCTAATGAGCGGGAGTGGAGGCGCAGCAAACCTTAAGCAGCGAGTGGACATTCATCGTCGAGGGAAGAAAGAACTTTGATTGCGCATGGGGCAGAGCGATTGGCAAAGAGATGGCAATGTGCATGCCGCATGTATTAGAAAGGTGTGCCCCAGGATTGAGTAGGCATGTGTAATCCACTGAGGGCAGGATTGATGATGATTGGACATTGCGTTGGTGTACGTACCTACGGCATGCAGGCCGGAAAAGATTTTTGTATCCGGCCGATGATGCGGAATCCGCGAGCAGGATAGGTAATATGCCTTGAGTGCATACCTCCGGCGTTTGTGTCGCATCCCCAAACCGGTTTGGCCAGGACCGAAGATCTCCCTCAGACGAATATCAATGCTGTCCGTCGCCGTTGGACCTTCTAATCTGGATCAAGCAAACCGCGCTGGTGGATAACCATCATGTAACCCCCACAGGCCGGTAATACGGCAAGCTCGTGTTCTGAGTCGGAGATGTCTCAGGCCCAGCTTCCACCCTCTTGCACGGCATCGTCAACCTGCGCAAGCGTTGGTCCATGTGCAGCCGCGCGATGAAGAAACCGGCAAACAGCGACCGACAGAGCCCACGACCTGAAGGAGTTCCGATGAGAGCGGTTGGGCGGGACAGCATTCTGCCGGCAGATAGGCATATGATGGTTAGATATCAACCACCCGAGTAGTTACCTATGTAGCAGTTAACCAAGTAAGTACTAGGTGAGTAGGCATAGCGGCGAGGACACTCGGAAGCGAGGTCCCTACATACCTAGCATCTTTGCCTACGCCGGATTTACTGCCAAAGTGGGGGCGCGATCTTTGGAGGAGTTGCCCTGATCGGTTGTGGATCGCCGCGGGCTGGAGGACTGGTCTCGGGGCCATGGAGATGTTACGCAGAATTCGATTAGGTTCGGATGTGTGCAGGAGATTCGCGAGAACTATTGGCGAATCATCGGGTGCGGCGTCTTCAAGCGGACGCCAAGGACGAAACGGAAACGGTAAGCGTGAGAACCACCTCCCCCACTAGAGCCGAGTGGTATTGCGCTTGCACTCTGCATACGGCCCCACTCCACCAATTGATATCGATATCACTATTCACACTCGACACTCGACACTCCACGCTCACCCATCCCCAGTCCGACACTGATCCCGCGTTTCCCAAGACCAGAGACCTCGCCGAAAATCAACCCGCATCCAGAAGGAGGTGTGGTTGTGCAATATATCAGCACTCATGGACAAGCGCGGAGCTCGATTCGCGATGTTTCGGCTGGGGGCTTGCTATCAATCGGACTTTGCGATGAAGCAATGACACCCCTCGAGCTGAAATATGCAGTAGTGCCTTGCTGCTCCGGCGATCTTTAGCCTCCCGTTCCTGTGCCAGTCACCAGTGGTTGCTGCTGCAGAACCTAAACGTCACCCACCATGGAGACCTTTAAGACATCTCCAAGACATAGTAGGCCGGTTGGGGAATGGGTATACACGGAAAAAATGGTCGGCCACAACCAGTCAGCCGCGTAGGAGCTCGAGAGACTGCGTGCGACCCAGCACTAAGAGTCTTCTGCATCATCATGGTCCGCGGCATTCCCCTTGTGCCGTTCGTTCGTCTCACGTAGTTACCCCCTCAATCTGGCGTTGCGCCGGCGGAACGAAAACTTTCTCATCTCCTTCTCGCCTTCTTTCCGATAGTTGATAAAAGCCCATCCCTCATATGCTCAGATTCCCCCGGTTCCTCTTGTCTCTTCCATTCGTCAGTCGCTCTCCTCATCACGCTTCACACCTCACACATCTCGAAGCCTCGACTGGACGAGACTTCTCACATCCATCTTCAGCCAGTACTAGGCAGCCAACGCTCTCGACATATCTTGTTCGATACCTCTACGTCTTATAATGGAGGGAAACCCCAACGCTACCCCGCCTCCGCCGGCTTCACCGCAGATTCAAATTCCGCCGGGTGCTCGCCTGACCTACTCGCTCTCTCCATCACCGGCACCACAACAACGGAATGCACGTCCCAATGTTGCGCCCCGTCAGGGAAGCCAGACTGCCAATATGATTAGCAACATCCAAGTGGACCAGCCACGCAAGAAGTTGATTCTTTGCTTCGACGGGACGGGAAATAAGTTCAAGGGAAACTCTGGCGACACCAACATCCTGAAGGTTTTCCGCATGTTGGACCGCAGCGAAGGGAATCAATGTAACGATTCAATTCCCTCCAACCTTGCCTTCGCGATCTCTCTGTTCAGGAGGTGGTGGCTAACAGTGCGGGCGTCGGCGTCTAGTCCATTATTATCAACGTACGTTCCATTCCGGAGTACTCGCGGAGCGCGTACTAGACGCCGAGACTAGTCTCGTCCAACCCTTCCGGAGTATTGGCGCTGACAACCTCAACAGCGGGAATAGGAACTTACATCACCAATGGAGGGTTGTCGCGTGTGCATGTGGGCGCGCGTTTCAAGTCGTGGGTTAATAAGGCCATGGACGCCGCTGTTGGGTACTTTATTACTCGCGACCTGCGGGGTGGGGGAGTAGCTGAACATGGGTGCTGACGAGCGCGTTTTCGTTACAGAACATCGTTTGACCAGCATGTCATTGGAGGTTACAAGTTTTTGATGCGGTTCTATTCTCCCGGCGACGACATCTATATGTTCGGATTCTCGCGGGGCGCATACACTGCGAGATTTTTGGCCGAGATGATTGATCACGTGGGAATTGTGGCGCCAGGGAATGAAGAGATGGTTGGACTATCCTATCCGAGTTGGTGGGCGGAATGTTGAGACAAGTCCCCGTAGGTCCTATTCGCATGGAAGACGTTTTCGAACTGGAAACAACGGAATGATAACTCCAAGCATAAGGCACTTTACGAGTAAGTGGATATGAGCGCAGATAGCGAGAAACCTACTGACGCTAATCCTTCATGTAGTTACATGCGTGCATTCCGCGAAACTTTTGCTCGGCCAGCCCGTCGAGTACGATTCTTGGGGCTGTTCGACACCGTAAACTCGGTTCCCCGGTTCGAGCACGCATGGTTGAAGCGCTCCTCTGGGTTTCCGTACACTGCCAGGAGTAAGCCCGCTCTTCATGCTTTCACCAAAACTGGAATTGTGCTGACGATGCTTGACAGGCACCGCCCGAGTGATTCGACATGCAGTCGGCATTGACGAGCGCAGAGCCAAGTTCCGCCAGGACCTCGTCAACAAGGTAGACCTTGATTCGATAGCACGACAGCGGAGCTGGAAGGAAGAGAAGAAAGGCAAAAAGAAGAATAAGAAGAAGAAGGCCAAGTTCACTGCCAGGTCATCGAGCTCTGTCAACAGGGCTCAGTCCCCGAACGGCGGTCCGAGAAACGGCAATGCGAATGGACACCCGATATACGGACAGCAACTACAGACTGGATCCAACGCCATGTTTGCAGGCGAGAGTCCGGCGGAAAGTATGACGTCTTTCAATCTCATCTTGGACCAAGAGAGCGATTCGGACGACGACGAAGAACTCGGCCAGGACGTCGAGGAAGTGTGGTTCCCGGGAGCACATGCAGATATTGGTGGTGGATGGGACTTGCCAGCAGACGAAGAGCCTCTGAGCCACGGTCCGTTAGTGTGGATGGTCAGTATTCAGACGACGATATCGCTTTGGGAATGATGCTGATAGTCAAGCATAGGTGCGAGAAGCGAGAAAAGCGGGTGTTATATTCGACAAGGAGCGGATGAAGGAACATAATTGTTGGATCGAGGAATACGAGGACGACGATAGCCCAACGGAATCGTGTGAATCGCTAGTTCAAACCCAGCCCCAGCATTCATCCAACGGTGCTGCTGGAGCTCGGCGGCCCCCCGCCATCGAAGTAACCGGCACGTCACCCACCGAAGAATTTCCAAAAGAATTAGACAACTATCCTCCTCCGGATCTTCACGCGGCAGAAGCAGAAGCCCATCCTCTGCACCACCCACTCCGGCACTGGATGCGACGACGCCACCGGCAGGTGGAGGCGCCGCGGTACCCGCCGAAAGAGTTTCTGGAGCGGTCGTACACACGTGGGAAGATACACGATTGCTTGTGCTTTGGCCATGGCGTCGACCACATCGGTGTGCTGGGGTGGAACATGATGGAGTGGCTACCCTTCCGACGGATGGACCTGCAGCCAGATGGCAGCTGGAAGGCGATCATCTGGCCGCTCCCTCGCGGAGAAGTCAGAGATATGCCGGATAATGCCAAGATCCATATCAGCGCGCTCAAGCGGATGGAGGCGAATCCTTCGTATGTCCCCCACTCCTGTTCGCAAAGTTCACTCACTGATAACGCGGCAAATAGTTACCGTCCGGGCAATCTAATAGTCGGCGGAGGCGGCCGAGGAACACGAATTGCTTCCGCGGAACATGGAACAGGCGACTGGGTGGTCATCCGCGAAGAGGGAAATCTGATTGGCGAGGTGGTGATCAAGCGCTCGGCTTGGGAGAAGTTGACGCGGAAGCAGAAGGAAGAGCTGCGTGGACACAGGCACAGACGGATGAACGCCGGGGACGTGAGGGATGTGGAGAATCAGCTGTTCTGATGGGACGGTAGGTAGGTAGGCAGGCAGGCAGGCATGCAAGCAAGCGAACGAGCGAACGATCGGTTTTGTTGGTGATGTGTATTATGACGATGAGAACGGACATATTTACCACATTTTTTTATTTCTTGTCTTGGTTACTGGTGTGGTTTAGTTCGCACCCAGGTTTTTTGGCTATCAATGAAATCATGAGATGTCTTTCTTCCAATCTTCCAATCTTTCAACAGTCGATGCCATGACTCATGAGACACGAACTCCAGGACGTGAGTCGTGACAGCCGTTTCGGTAGCACTACATCTTGCCACACAGTGGCGGTTGGACATAGTATGTGAGTTTGGCTTTCTCACGGGTCCGATTGTAGGGAAGACGCATGAAGCCGGAGATCGGGGCGTCGGTGGACGAAGTACGAAGGACGGAGGACGTCAGGTGTCCACTGTGGTGGGCGGGTATGTACATGTAGGGCGCGGGGGATAGGCGGTCTAGACCGTACTGGATGAACGGGGCGGGGACGAGGGATATCCGGTGTATATGGATGTATGTACATTGATAGCTGTCGGCAACGGAATCGAGGGATGGTGGACGGAGCGGGGATGTTAAGCGGGGCGGCGTGGGCGGGCATGGGTGACTAGTATTCGAAGAATTAGATACTGCGGGCAACCTCTACGGGGCGACTTGGGAGGATTTTGAAATCCAAGACAGCCATGAATGCATATGAGCAGTGCACCTACCTACTCACTCCACTGCTCCCAGTGTATGAAGTAACTCCTGCCGTGTAGGTATCGGCGTATCCTTAGCTAAGGAAGGATGGGGCGAGAGTCGAGACTTCGTCCCACGATCCACTTCGGATCGGTACTACATACACTCCAGTCCGTGCTCATTCTCATGCGACACCTTCAATCTGTATAGTAATGTCACCACATCCATGAGTGGCGGCGATTGATGGTATGGCATTAAGGCTGCCCGGAACACCGTGCGACACCCCAGAGTACACGGTCCCCTGCCGGTCATAAATGAGTTATGTACGAATAGGTATGAGTAGATACGCAGCCCTTGACTCGTCATATCGCCTCTGTGTACTTCGTGTATACTTACTCGCACAGCTCTAGATCGACACTCCGGCAGCGGAGGTGAACGGCAGCGGAGGACGGCACAGCCCAGTTCGAAGTTTTCGGACACATTTGCTTGGCCGGTCACTCGATGAGCGAGTGATTAGGTGTGTGTGATGCTGCTGCTATGGACGCCTCCATTGATATCGCCGGTTGAGGTTCGAGGCTTGAAGGAAGGATGGATATTGGTGAATACAGGTTGGCCGGAAGTTAAAACTATCGACATTCTTCTTCTGTTGACACCAAAGTACTTTTCCTCTCCGAGCCGTCTACAGCGGCCATGGCTGACATCTGTTCGATCCCGGTATGTCTTGGTCCGCTCAACTTGCGGATTCAGTGCGTGCTTCACTGAAGAGATTGTAGGTATTTTGATTGTCGAAGTAGCAGATTGACCCCATCATGACGAACTCCAATCAATCTTCTCCCAGTACACTATCCCGAACGCCAAACCACAGAAACAATTGCCGTAAATGCCAATCCCAAGAGAAACCCAAGAACTGCGCCATATGAAATCTCATGGTCAGGATATCCCTTAGACACAATCGCCATACTAAAACGCATAGAAAGATGCCACCCATGATAATGCCATATGTCGTGAGAAAGAAAGCATAAAAAAAAACACGAGAAAATTTTGCTCGTCGCAGCAACATGTCCCCCCATATCTCTTAGCGGCGCTTCCTCTTCCCCAAAGCGCTGATCATCCTCTCCGGAAACTCATCCACGTGCACAAACACGAGGCTCCTCATCTCCGCCGCCCTACCCCACCAGGTATCACCGGGACCGAACCCCTTCCTCAGCACCAACGGGCCCTTCTGCACCGTTCTCACGTTCGCGGAGTACAGCTTCTTGAAGCCGATGACGATGGTATCCCTTCCGGGGAGCAGGGTGCGGTCGCGGACGGCCAGCTCGCTGGCATCCTCGTTCCAGTCGATCGAGACTTTCGGCGGGAGAGCATGCTCGAGCTGCTGGAACATGCGCGAGCGCCAGGCGTCGAAGCTGCCCATGCTGCCAAAGCTGGGCTTTTGAGATAGTTCGGAGAGCGGGGTGGCGGATTCGTCCCCGGCGGCGGCGGCTGGTGTGAGCTCGATACGGGCGAACTTGGCGGCGGCGGCAAACGGAGAACCGGCGGAGCTGGCGGAGGCGAATGACGTCTCCCCCAAGGATGTGGTCGCCGTCGACGTGCCCCCCTCCGTGGCCGTGGCTGGAGTGATCTCGAAACGGGCGAAGGTGGCTGCGACGCCGGACGGAGAACTGGCGGAACTGACGGAAGTGAATGTCTCGCCCGAGGATGTAGTCGTCGTCGACGTGTCCCCCTCCGTGGCCGTGGCTGTGGTGCGTTAGTGTGCGGTCGGTAGATGAACTTGTGCACTGGGTGTTTATGCTTACCGCCGAGCATGTCGCTGTCGCTGTCGGAGACTGCATCGCTGACTCTGGGTCGCTTCGTTGGAGGTTGCTTCGCTGGTGTTTCCTCTGTCATCGCTGACAGCTCCCTCTTCCGGGTACCGGTCGGAGCAGGACTGTGATCTTGCTCGGCCAGAGCACCTCCGCTGAAAGGAGTAAGTGTTGACTTGATTCTCGTAGACAGGCACAAATAGCGGCGGTGATGTGGGGGCATGACTGGATGATGTAGTAGGGTAGAGGAGGATGGGTGTAGATGTTAGGGAGACGAAGAGGTGGAGGAGTCCTTGAGAGGAAGAGGTGTGTAGGTGCTGGGATTTGGAACAAATATTGTAGACGCAGCTTGACGTAAGTGGATTTGAGAGAGAGAACATCAACTTATTGTCGCATGCAGCCTTACTAGACTGGGTCGACCACCAACTTCCCAACCTTTCCTGCCAGCTCCGCGGCGTCAAGAGAAAGCTCTACCACCACATCCTAATGCTGCGCCGCTGCATACTAAACAAATATTGTAGACGCAGCTTGACGCAAGTGGATTTGTGCTGTGTTGGGAAGACTGCCAAGGCGTGAGTGATACCATGTGATGGAGGACAGTCCATCATGAACTGCTCACTCTGTATTTGCCCTATTGCGGTTATCTACAAACCCTATCTACAAACCCTATCTTCTAACGGAAACCTCCAGAATGCAATATCCATTTTCTACCTGACTATCACCTATGTTCAGAAGTGGAACTTTAAGCCTAATAATTTCATCATGTGATAGAGAGTAGACAACAGCGAAATGAGTAGAAAGGCCGTGAGCGGCAATAAACCGATATCCTCTCTCTAGATAGTTCATTCGAAGTTCCTCTCGTAACCCTAGTGTCAGTGATCTCTCTCCAAGCCCTTTGAAGGACAACTTGTAGAAGAAGCGCTAGCGTGTGTGCAAATGAGGCCGTACAGACTCAGGGACCACTATACTCTCTTCCCTTCGAATCATTCTTTCAACTACATCATACCAGCCTTCCTCAACACATCGACAATAACCAAGTATCAGTATCTACAATCGAGACCGCCGCACTACGATTCAAATAGCGAAATGGATCCCGACCAGAATGACACCAAGATGGATAGCAACGAGGGGAAGGCCACCATTCGCCCAACCATCATTCCAATTCTGAAAAAACCTGCGAGTTTCAATCTCTTTAACCCGACAGCTCCTGCTTCCCACACTACATCTGTGCCTGCCGAGTCCCATAATACCACGGCCCCAGTCAATACGTCGACCTCGAGCTCTTCTGCTGCCAGAGATCCCGAAAACACGGCTTCGTCTCTTGATACATCGATTAAGCACACTCCCAAGGCCCTATTCATGGGGAAAGAAGTGTCGGTGAGTTATTCACTCTTGCCGTGCTTGACAATATGGCTATAGTCTCATGCTCCGGCTTCTAACACTGTCAGACTACCGTCGCATCCGATCCTCCCAAGAACTTGTCAGCCGCCGTTTACAACGATTGTCTCAAGTGGCATAAGAAGACCATTGCCAGCCTCCGTGAGGAAATCCATTTGTATACCGAAGACGCTCGGAAGTGGCTACACCCCGCGGATTATGGTTTCAGCCCGGATAACCTGGGGACCGCGACCCTGAGTTTCCAACAGGGATGTTATCGTCAGATGAAGCGTATCAACAGCCTCTCAATCGAGTTGTATACCATGAGGGAGGATTGCCTCCAACATATCGAGGCTTGGGGACCGACAGGAGTGGGAAAGAGGCTGGCCGCAGTCGACAGGGAGTTTGAAGACATGGTACAGTCTAGGACCCTTCTCAAGAACATCATCACGAGACTTGAGAAGAAGATCGAAATGAGGCAGCGTGCGCAGAGGCGTGCGGAGAAGCGTGCGGAGAAGATGATGGCAGAAGTGTACAAGGAACTGCACAAGGGGAGCATCAAGAAGGACTCAGATGATCGCATAGAGGTGAGGTCAACTATGGCCGATGTTAGTAGCATGGGGACTGACCGGAAAGCAGCCGGCTCGCAAGAAAGATACCCACGAGGGAAACGACACCAAGCCGAACAGTGCTCGAGATGGCAGTTTGATCACCAACACCGAGTAAGGCACATGCGTGGCTTTGCTGTCCTGAAAGCGAAATGGTTCTTGCATGATCTGGATCTGAGATTTCGGAGAGTTTGAATGTTATCTTTTTCTGCTAGGTATGGGACGAAAGGATTTTGTACTTGGCAAGGCTTTACGAGGGCAGTTTTCAGTCGTGTCTTACGTCTTTAATGATCTGTGGTTCGTTGTGTTGTTTGTACCATTAGATAGGTGCTTTCTTTGCATAGGTTTCTTCCTGCACGAAGAACTTCCTCATCGGGAATGCTGATGGAATTTATAAAGATTCCTACTTGAATTCCCATCTGATGTCTGCAACTCATCTTAGAAGAAAAAGTGCCACTACGATGTTGTAGGTATATCGCCGCAGAGAAATCCAGAGACACTAACCATCACGGATCCGATCGGCTGTTACACAACCCATTCCCGAATCCATCGACCGGCCAGGCGGAATGCGGGATTGCAAAGTTTGCACCATAGCGGGAGTGGACAGAGTATGGAATGCGCGAGGCTACAGATGGAGAACAATGACGAGATCAGTTTGTTTGGGAAAACGAAATCTGATTGAAGACTACTCCGACTCGCAAATTTCACACACGAAGTCCAGCCCTGCTCACTTCTTCCCACCAGCGACATGACCTAACTAGTTCAGAACCGGCGTCTCGGTCCCGTTCCACCACTGCGACACGACCGGCCCATGTTTTCCATTCCACCAATCCTTCACCGGCTCACCGTAGTCCCCCTTCGCCCACCTATCCACCTCACCTCCAGCAGCACCAGCAACAGCCGCTCCAGCTACCACGGTCACACCCGCAGCCGGGATCGCTAAGGATCCTAGCATTCCCATGCTTTGCAGGATATTGAATGCACTGCCCGCGGCGACGGAACCGCCCATGCTTGCCTGCCAGCCCGTCGCGAGAGAGCCTATTACCCCCGCACGCGTCGTAATTTAGCCGCTGTATACTGGGAGGACGAGGAGGAGTGGGAAATACTACCAGCCACCGGGCTCAATGCGCCGAAGCCCGCCACCGCAATGGGGTTGATAATGAGCACCACACCGACAGTCAGGAAGGCCAAAACTATGTCCGACGGGTTTTGGCTACGGAGGGAGGTGAGTTGAGCGGACACTGTTGGGTGGTTTGTGGAGAGAAAGCGGGAAGAACGGTGGCCTGATGGAGGAGCGGGAAGTGGGAATATTTATAGAGAGCAAACACAAAACATCGGACCGATGGTGAATAGAGCTGCCGTCTTTGTTGACCGGCCACGGGTTCCCCTCAGTTTGATATCATGTGGGCGACCGCAGATACGTATGCAGCCTGCCTGGAAGGTGCCGAGCAGATCGTAAACTATGTGCAATCAACATCGACAGCTTTTGCACAGCCGACAGACCGCGCCAAACATCAAACATCACACCCCGAACCATGAGCAGGGCTCGCGCCTGCTAGTTCCCGACTATATACTCGAATTACTAACTACTGAGGGGGCGAATCAGGCGTGACCACTACCTAGTGCGCCCTGTCGAAGTGCGTTTCCTCGGTGCATCTCCACATGCGGAAGTGAGTACAGTTCCTTCACCCGACAGATGGTCTACGAGAAGAAACTGCGGCTATAGCGTCTATGGTATGGTTCCAACCTAGGCACTAGCTCGTGGGCCCCGGGGGTTACATACCCACACAGAAAAGCTGCGTACTTCCTGAGGATACATAGGACTCACTGACTTCTCCCACCGATTGGACGGCCGTCATGATCCTTATCGCTGTGGTGATATTAGATAGCGCCGGGAAAGGTATCCGATTGGTTTACTGGGATTCCATAACACGGTCAACATGCATTCCTTTCATTCCACGAATGCATATAAAAAACTCTCGCAATACGAAAAACAGCAGGCTCCGGGCATCGTTCTCCTTCCAGGGAGCTGGAAATTTAATCTCATTCTCTCGCGCAGCGATAGTAGGAGCAACAACAGTGACTGCGGACTACCATGTCTCTCACACGTGACTAAGAGAATAGACCTTTGCCTTCTCACCTCTTGAGTTGCCCCTGAAATTATTTATGCGAGAGCGAGCAAGTTAACTACAGCAAGTCCCGTAGGTGTTTCCTCATCGGAAGTTACATCTTAACGCTTTCCTGGTCTCAATCACCCGGAATCACTCGGAGGGCAAGAACCTCGCCGGTAGAGGAGATCTTGTGAGGAAAAAGCCTCTCGGTCGGATCTGGATGGTGATCGATGAAGCGGTGTGTGTATACTCCCATCATCTAGATAGGGAGGTCGCAAGCAATTATGACCAAAGATAAGATCACTCGTCGTCTTCCCTCTTTGTTTCTGCTCATACTCTCCATATCACTCGCCCAGGCCGATAATAGTCTGTGAGTACCCTATTTTTCGGCAAGAATTTGGTCGCCGTAGTCCAGACAGGCCGCATGCGAAAATAAATGGATGTTCTCTGCCCGGAACCGACGCCGTATCCCGCGCAATCACAACCGCAGTTACCGCCACTACCACTGCTACAATTACTACTACTGCCTCCCCCGAGGCCCCCAAGATCATCGAGGATCATCGGGGGTACTTCATCCCAGAGATGCACGGCCAAGCGTACGAGCTGCATCGACGATCACTCGGACATGTGCTGCTGCGCAGTGGCATCCATGTGCTCGTAGCTTCTCCAGCATCTCCTACTCGTCAGCATTCTTTGCCGAAGGCCCCCGGGGGTTAGGCTCAGGCAGCTAAGAGGGTCAAGACCTCTCCCGCTCTTAAGCCTTCGGTAGCTGCACGGTACTCAGCCCATGCACCAGCTCTGTCGGACAGGGATCTTGCCATAGAGAGGAGGAGGATCATGGATGAGAATATGAGGGAATTGAATGTTCTGCTGACGCCTGTTTTCCTCCAGACGACCCTAGAAAACTCAGGAATCGCTTAATCGGAAGATCCGATGGTAACGATGGGGAAGCGAATGATGAAGTTGGCACCAGTCAGTAAGCTTTTGGAATTGTTCTATGGTAGATATCTGGCGTCGATTTCCGAGGCGATGTCATACCGGGTACCTTTACTAATTCTGGTCGTAGATCGGTCCCCGGAACTCCGGACACACTGCTTACTGTAGAGTACACCCAACCAGCCCGCCACTGGGTCTGTGCCTGTCCCGCATCCTCAGTCAGCCCAACGCCACAGTAATGCGGATGTACTCACGACGGATTCTTTGATTTCTCGCATCATCTGTGCATACGATGGGAGCTCGAGGAATATGAGTCGAATATTCGCAAAGTTGGTACACTCTGAGGCGCCTGCAAGCCACTCCGCCCGCCACAATGCGACTACGCACTCCAAAGGGCTAACCATCTCTCCTGGTTGCTAAGCAACGGAGGGTAACGCTGGAGGCGGCCCGGATTAGTTATGCGCGATGCACTACAAAGTAGAGCGACCTTTCGTGCTAAAGTGTTGAGTTAATAGAATCCATGATACATGCCAAATTATTCCTAGAAGTGCAGTGAATTCTCCAGCAAACTGTGGCGAGAGTAGCCTACAGGAAGCAGAGGCATCCGTGGCGCAGTACGTGTGATTATCGATAAGATTGATTAGCCGTGCGCCGGGCGATGTTATGGGCTGATGTTTGCCAGTCAGCCGAAAATTGTGGGTGCAGGAATCTGGTACCGACGCGCATGGTGTGACTCCCTTGCCTTCCCTGCCTAAGGCCCTGGGGCCTGTGCTGCATGGGACCTAACCGAAAGTGGACAAGCACTCCTCTTTCCGCTTAGCGCAGCGTTTCTTTTTTCAACGTCGCCTCATGAAAACGGGGGGTTTCCCAAGGGAGTATCTCAATAAAGAAATCACTTGGAGCACAGTTAAGTAGCGCGAGGTGCTGTGTGGAGCGCAGTATCATCACAGAAGCGAAGGGAAGTCATTTGAGTGCAGGCCGAGTGACATGTGGTGAAGGACGCCCCCACGTTTTCCCATCCTCCTATCCTGCATGCAGGCGCAGCGAAACAAAATATGACCGGGTATGTTGTTCGCTCATGAGTAGCTATATTGTACGACACAAAATATGACCGGGTATGTGATTTGTTCGCCCGAATCCGAAAAGGTCCTCTGTAGCAGTCCAATAGATGTCGCAATAGACGTCAACTATGATCTCCACTCTACCTCCAGTAAAACCAGGTGGAAGAAAACTTGCTAGACCAAATTTGAGGATCATAACAGTAGCTGAAAGCCATATGTCCGGGGTTAATGAATCGCCTTCACAGAAAACGTACTGATGTGGCACTCCGAGTGATTCATTATGACTAGCTCTATCCGCCAGCCGCTTGAGCTTGATAGGGAATGCTCCTAGGTTTTGGTATAGGCAGTCGTACTATTTACGATCACCCTCTCTTCGAAGCTGCTGTGTGGTGGCGTGATTTTTGAAGCTTAGAAAAGAGAGGGGTGGGAACACCCGTGGTGCAGTAGCAAAGTCTGCTGTGTATGTCCCACGCCGGCTGGCCGGACGTGTTAGACTTTGGCAATCCAGTCACATTACAACTGGTACTGTGTGTCATGAAAGAAGTATCCCCGTTTCAATTTTCGAGCTCCGGCTCGACCTTGCGGGTATGAGGGAGAGCCAGAGACTATCATCCAACCTCCGCCATCAGCACCTCGTCAGTACCCTAGCACTAAAGTCTACAGAGTGGTAGTTCTGTTCTACAGCGGCGACTACGTTTTAAGGCTATATGCCATCGATCTACGCCCCTTGAAAGCCACAGACAATCGAAAATGTTCAAAATACCTCCTCGACGGCCATTCGCCCAGCCAGCCAACAGCAATGACGTTTCCGAACATTTTCCAGCTAAAATGGTTGGGAGTGCAGAGTCTTCGAAGAGGATGGTGGTGCGGGGCATGGGGGGTGGGCTCAGCAACTACCGGGATGACGGATGGGTGAGGAGGAGGGAGTGATCAGCCAATGCTATGGCGCGGCGGTCACGTGACCATGCACAGCGCCCACACCTACTTCCCACCCGCCAACTCTTATAAGTAGGGGTCTCTCCCCCCTCCCCCGTCCACTATCACTTCTCCCCCTCCGTATCACACCATCAATCCTATCAACCACAACTATCAGAATGGACTTCAGCGACAACCCCGACCCACTCCCAGCACACACTGGTGACAGTGAAGACATCTGGGGCTATCTCGCATCTTCCTCCGCCGTTGATCTGGATTTCATGAGCCACAACTTGTCAACTCCCACCAGCATGGCCGAGCTTCAACAGCATATTCGCTATTGGCAAGATCTTGCGAACCCTGAAGCTTTCGGTGATACTAAGGAATCCCGATCTGGTAGAGCCCCCTCCTCCGTCATGGGTTATTCCCGGAAGAGCGGCTGCTGACTTCCGGCTCCAGTGCTTCCGAGCGAGCGGGAGAAAGCAATTGCTGAGATAATCGACGTTCTGCAAGCAATGGCCACGTAAGTATCCCGTGAAGACAGCCACGGAGCTGTTCGCATTGACTGGCACTGGGCAATGGGCACTGACTATCCCTCAGTGTTCCGCCTCAAGGCGAAGAGGAGCAGCGTCTGAGAGATGTATTCACACACTTCGAGAGTACGATGAACGAGATGAACTATCCATCACTCTTCTTCCGTCTTGCGGTAAACAGCTCCCATTCCTACTTTGCGGGATGTGACTGATCGGGGTTGTCTTGGCACTCAGGACGAGGGACCAATTGCAAACTTCGATTCGGTGCCATCTTCACACAAACTTGTGAACGCGGACATGTCCGGATACTACTCTCGACTAGAAGATATCGAGACGCCCATTGGGTTCAATCTGATGGAGCTAGACCGGGAACTGGAACTCTTTTTTGGATTCGATTGCAGCAGTCCCCTCAGTAAAACCAGCTGTTCTCCCAGATCCTCACGATCCAAATCGTCATCTCCCTGTGACGGCAAAACCGACGATCATGAGGATCTTTCTTCGTCGTCGAATGGGGGCGATTACACTTGCTCCGAGAAGTCGTGCCGCCAAAGCTTCAAGCGGGCCAACGCATTGCAGAGACACGTTGCATCGATACATGAACGGAGGGGACAGAAGTGCCCCTTCTGCCCCAACGGAAAGAGGGCATTCAACCGGAGCGATAATTTCCAGAGGTAGGAGATGAACCCCACCGATCCGCGATCGCCGATGGGTCAATGTAATACCGACTAATCTGTGTGGCAGGCATGTTACCGGTCGGCACAAGAGTATCCAGGCTGATAATACGAAGCTGCAAGCCTGCCTGCAGAGGTTATATCAAGGGAATGGAAGGCGCACGTCATGGAAAAAATGATGTTTCCGTATATTTATGCGCAATTTGTATGGTTAATTTGGAATGATTTTGTATGGTCTTTTGAGGTTTTTGGCGTTATTTTGGGGGGATTTCCGTCGATTTATTCTGTTTTTGGGCGGCGTATCTATCTTTTTTTGAATATATGGAAACGTTTATTGCCCATCTCTTGCCCACTGGTAATCTCGGGGAAGGAGAAGATGAAGAGGACAAATTTGTATATTCACAGATCCAGGCAAGACGTAAAATACGGAATTGAACTAAAGAAATACCACCGGCTTCAGATCTATGATTCTTTTGCGTGCATCACCTAGGTTCGTCAATTGCCCGTCCTCGAGGTCCTGCTTCGGGCATTCCGATTTTCGAGCTTATAGCTTAGCAATTCAGTCCCTACTCTCTTTCCTTAGCCTGCACTCCACACCTCGCACACAGATAATGTTAATAGTTTCTATACCTCACCCGTCCTGGGCATTCTCTGTATGAATCTCCATCCTCGCTGTTGTATATCGGAGGAATATAGGTTGTGAAGTCCTGACTCCTGAGCGTTCTTGTGCAAGGCGAAGGCCGTCACCACGCTGCTCTAAGACCCTTACGGCTAGCGTTGTGTCTTGGACCCCGTTCCTCATAGAGGGCTTTCTGTCCACCCCGCCGTCCGCCAACGCACTCCCGCAGTCGTTGAGCAGACTCTCATCCTCGATCATCGAGAGAGAGGGGGGGGAGGGCGGATGAGGAGGAGAGGGTGGATGAGGAGGGGAGAGTGGATGAGGAGGATACGAGGAAGAAGAAAAAAAAACCAAATCCGAATTTCCGGGTTACACGGTTCATTTTGCAAGGTTGGGCTAACTACATCTGGTGTGCTGCTTGCTGCTTGCGGGGGGCTCGGGGGCCGGGTCCGGGGGGGGGGCGCTCGTCGTTTTATTCAGGCAGCAATCAATTGTCTTGGCTTCGCGAAAATGGCACTGCAGTTGCAGGGGGGGGGGTTAAACCATTGCCACCGCTCTCCAGGCCATGCAGCTCCCGGACGAATCATGCACCGGCTAGGAGGGAGGGAAGGTAGCACTACTGCCGGTATCCCTATCGTCGATATCGGCCCGCGGAAAATAATAAAACTAATCTAACTCAGTAGCATGAATCACTAATTAGTGCCAGACGGGAAGGAAGCAGAAGAATTCAATGAGTGGGGAGAGGAAGGAGAATGGGAGGAAGAGTTGGGAGGAAAGGAGGGTTTTATAGGTGGATTTGGTGAAATTCCAAGCAACCACTTCTAGCGCACTAGCCGCGACTCCAAAGTTTGTTTGGCAGCAAACACCGCTACATTCCAAGGTGTCGACAGATGTGTGACATCAAACAAGGTCACTCGACATACCAGTGAGCACCAATGAACACATTCCCACAGCGAGGAATAGCGACAAACGCGCAAAACAATTATCTACTGATTAAACAAAACCAAACATTCTAAGGTTTTTGTTTTGTCATCATCATAGCATTCGACCCTATCAGATCATGGCTGTACACACGTCCACTTCCACCCCACCGTCTCCGACCGCTGGCCGCGAGCTCGATGTGGGTTCCCTATTGCTCTCCGCCCGCCCATCCGCACATTGAAAGAAAGACAGAAAGAAAGAATACAAATAAGATGACAAAATGAAAAGGAAAAGCGTCAGGCTTTCTCAAAACCCCACATCAAAGCTCGCTTCCCCACTCAATTCCTGCATCCAGAATGATCTAGTCTAACGCCTCATTTCTTCCCTCATATGCCGGTATCTCCGGCCGTCCAGCCCGTACCTTTTCCTGCGCTCTGGCTCTCACTGCGTCCCAGTCTATCACGCTGCTCGAGGTTGGGGTGGGGGTTGAGGAGATAAGTACACTTCGGATCAAAAAAGTGGTGCAATGTTTTTAGCGAGGCACCAGTGACTAAAACCAGAACACCACAATTGGAAGCGACTGGAGCGAGACAAGATTCAAGATTGATACACTAGTACTGGTGAGTTACCTTACCCAGCCTTACTGCTTCGGAGGTGGCGGCGCCTGCCCAGGCCACGGGCCAAACAGCTTCTCGATCTCCTGTCCACGCGGATTTCCAGAAACGTGCATGCTCCACTCCATACGACAGGCCTTCTTGATCTTTGGATCCGTGAGATCGGCATGGTGAGTGAGAATATGCCTCTGTAAACTCGTATGCTCGGTGTAAGACATGCCATTTCTGAAACAGCCGGGGACCGGGCAGCTGTTTGGAACCGTGCCTTCCTCTTCTTTCTGGTCGTCTTCTTCCTCCTCCTCCTCGTTGTCGTCTTCCTCCTCCTCCTGGTTGTCTTCACGAATTCCACTACCAGCCGAGTGGTAATCCCCGTCAGATCCGACACCTGCACCGTTAGAAGAAAGAGCGGCGTTCTCGGCATCATCTGCTTGCTTTGGAAATCCGTAGTTGGAAAGCACCTTGTCGGTGGCATCATTGCCAACATATGCTAGGACCGTATTGAGAGGGAGGCCATGCTGTTGAAGCTGTACCAGCTCCTGACTAATCTTGCTTCTGGCGATTTGTTCAGTGAGTGTGAACGCATCAGCCTGGAGCTGGTACAGCCTGGAGCTGGTACAGCCTGGAGCTGGTACAGCCTGGAGCTGGTACAGCCTGGAGCTGGTACAGCCTGGAGCTGGTACAGCCTGGAGCTGGTACAGCCTGACTAAGGGTTCCTCGTTTTCGGTGTCCTCAATGTCATCGGTGTCTTCAATGTCATAGATGTCTTCAATGACGTTGACCTGATCTCGGATTGAGTTGTCCTTGTAATTGAAGTTTGTGAGTGTATCTTTGAGCCACCTGGTGCCGCGGATATGTTCCTTTATTCAAGTTAGTCGGCTATATGCGCATAAGTGGGGTATGGGGGTAGCGGTACGTTTTTCTCTAGAGTATGAATCCAACAAAAGGGCCGGAGAATGCCCGGTGCCCACGCCAGACTGATGAACTCTATCAGACTGCGGATGCCGGTGATCATTTCGAGATTGAAGGTTGCGACGTATTGACCCGGAGTGACGGTGACATCCACGCGGGATGGGTTAGAGAGCCCCTGTGGGTCGGCCTGACTGGCCGCCTGCATCTGACTCAAGAGAGCCTGCATCTGATTCAAGGAAGCCTCCATCGCTTCAGCTTTCGGTGGTAGCGGTTTGTGAAATACCTGCATGATTTCGGTGGTGCTGGTGCTGCTGCCGGCATTGTTGCTGTCGAAGTTGTTGCTGTCGGAGCTATTTCTGTGGGTGTTGTGAGTGAAGAGGAGAGCTTTTCAGCGGCTTAAATGTTGAAGGCGGCTCCTGGGGCTGTTCACAGGGTGAAGGCGAGTGAAACCACGTGATATATTGTACTTCCTCCTCATGCTGTACTTTGTATGGAAAATGTTAGAGATCAGTGATGAACTTTGTAGAGGAAATATGAGAGATCAGTGATGAACTTTGTATAAGAAATATGAGAGATCAGTGATGAACTTTGAAGGAAAAATGTGAGAAATCAGTGAGGTTTTATAAGTCTTTACACCTTCGATGATCTTGTATGCTCTTCCGTCTTCCAGCAGCGGCGCCACACGTGGTTCGACCACGAAATTCTGTGCGATATCAATCAGCCAGCCACACAGTTCGACCCCAGAATATCAGAAAGTGGCAGTTGACTGTAGTCTGTGGCGGCAAAATGTTGGAAGGACAGACTACATACACACCACCGTTTAATTTTATGGCTGGACTGATGCAGTCTGTGCAGTCCGGACTGCACCAACTCACATTTCACACGTACTCACCGGAAAAGCTCTTGGGAACAGCGTCTCACTTTCAACTTCAATTTGGATGTGATTCGTAGCAACCAGCCGCCTGAGACGTAAGCCCACTGCATCATTCCCCAAAGAATACCATTAAAACTAAATATTTACCTAATCGTCTATCGTCTGCCATCTTGCTAGTTGTCTTCCACCATTACATTATTCCGCTTATTTTGTCTTCTCCTCAATTCTCATGGCCTTCGGATCGCACGTTAGTACATCGACTAAGGTTTGAAGAGCGGCAAAAATATACATGGCTTGCAACCCCCGCAGCAACAGCCAGGTAAATAATCTGAGGCTTTCACTTCCGCAAATGGGAAAGTTGCTGACCAGCTCAACACAAGGAAAACTCTTAGTGGGGCCCCGTTCGAAAAACCGGCGTGGTGGAGTGACGGAAGACCTATCGGTGAGAGGAGGAAGTGTAGTATGAGCTGTCAGGGGGGGAAATGTGGATGCTAGTAGTGGGGATCCGTCAACGTTGATGGGCATGGCGGAGTCGACTAAGTGGGGGGAAGGGGGAATTCAGCTGGGTCGTGCGGCGGGGGTTCTTCTTCTTCTTATTTCTTGATCATCCACTACAGAATAGAGGTTCAACCTCTACCTCCTCTTCTGTATTTGCTCTCTCCTTGACCTCGCCGTCGGCCTAGAGGGGTTTGGCAAAAGAGCTGTTTGCAAAACCGCTCTGTTCTACACAGCGAAAGCGAATTCAGGGTTGATTTTAGATGACAACACTGGCAGACTACTACGGACGGTTCACGAGAAGTTTGACTTAAAAGAGATAAAACTTTTATTCTTGTTCCTGTTCCTCCCACTTCCCCTCTCCCTCTCCCTCCCCCTTCAATCTTGCCACCGTGGGCCAGTCCAAAAACCGGTGGGAGGCAGGGACCACGATCTCAACCGAGATCGCGTCCTCGGGCACCTCCGAAACCTCGGCGATATGGATGATTCTCCTCCTGCCAGCTGGAGAGAGGACCATCCAGTACTTGATGGCCTTGGGCGGTTGCTTGGGCTGACCCTTGGAGGTGGTGGCGGCGGCGGCTGTGGTGGTGGTGGCAGCCACGGCTCTCTGTGCATTGTTAGAGATATAGATACAGTAGATACAGGGATGGATCAGCATGAATGAACGTACTTTGGCGCGCCGGCTTTTAGTATCCTTGGCCCCAATTGGCCGACGGCTGGGCTTCTTGGGGCGAAGGGCTCTCTTCTTCGGGATGACGCCCGGCGAAAGCTACGGGAAAATCGAGTGAGTGAGTGATGCATCAATTGGTGGTGAGGGAAGAGGGATTAGCTTACCATGACCGGCGCCTTGATGGTGGCGCGGTCACGGAGGAGGTGCCCGTAGGCAGCAGGAAAAGGTGGTGCAACCATCTATTTAACTGTGAGCGCAGTTCGCAAACAATTATAGATGAAGTATATGCGAGGGGCGGTTTATGTGTGGGGCGTATGTATGTTGTGGAGAGAGGAGGGGAGGGGGGGGACTTACGATTGTCGATATCTACCATCGGCACGTCTGCATTAAACACATAGATTGGCAAAGGTCATAGAATCGTCATATCCACTCTAGGAAAGCGCACATATTTCAGGGATATGCAACGAGTATGGTGTACCATAGCATTCAAGTGCGCTTGATCGCAAGCTACAGAGCTACTCAGGCTTTCTACCATCCCATAGATAGAGGATCATGTCTGTATCACGCTGAAGCAAATGTGACCGAGCATATTGCAGCAGTCTATCAGATTACATAGCCCTCTCTTCGGCTAATCGGAAGTAGCTGTACCATGTTCGTCGGATTCGAAAATCCACCGCCGGATTGATCACAACCAAGACCAATCATAATTCGTCACTCGCTCAACGAGTGATATTGCAAGCTAGGCTTCATATTTTAGCTGAAGCATCATTCACAACTTGCGCAAGTGTGAGTGGCACGAGGCTCTGCAAGAATAGAAACTAGCGTAAATCTTGGCTAGGTGCGTGTTTTTGAAGGGTGTGAGTTACGGCGCACAAAACCCACCCCCACTGCTCCCTCCCTCCCTTCTTCCTCACAATATCCTTCGCTACAATAGTTACGAATTGCTTGGATTTACAAAACAATTTGACTACAAAATATACTACGATGTTTCCACAATCACAAGGATCCCCGAGAAGTCCTGGCCGAGAGGCTCAGAACTTTCCTTGGAGTAAGCCCGATCGTATCCCATGTGTGAGTATCCTGCATTTTAACCCCCCCTGGATGAGATTGTGCTTACCACATACTCGTAGACCGAGCAAGAAATTAATGAGTTCGTGGAAGCGGCCGTTCCGAAAAGCCAGGAACGTGAAGATGACTGGGTAAGTGACTCCGATTTCTAACGAGAGGAATTCGCCCCTCATCACTAACGTTCGCGAAGGCTCAGCAAGACGAGATTTCGAGCCGGTATCATTGGAATCCGGTCTACAACAGTACCAATGGTGTGAATGGGACGCATGGCTCTCTCTCAGGAAAGCTTCATGCTATGCCCGATCAACTAGCACCTCTCCCTAGGGTGTCTAGCACTGCGGTAGGCGAGAGTGGGATACCATATGACGCTTCCCAGTGGTCCTTTCCGGGGGTGGACGGTGTGCACCTGGGCGCAAGCTCGGAGAATGTTGAAGAAATTGCTCGCACTCCCACTGACTATTCCATGGGGTACGCGGCGGCAGAGGAGGTGGGTCTGCAGTATGCTGCTCCACTTGGGACGGTGTCTTCTGCTGCTGGGGCTGGTGAGAGCGTCCTACCTCAGACTGGGATCAGCGCTGGTTTCAACGGAGCAAGCAAGACATCCGGCGATGATGGAACTTGCATGCAGCTTGGCTTCCACGGTGGTGAGACTGGCGCGGGAGGGAACGGTCTGGGCGAGCCGTCGTCCGTTGGGGGATTATCACTCGAGTACCAGCAAGCTAGCCCATCAAAGTATGGTGGTGACGGAGGCTATGGGTCTGCTCTCACAGGCCTCACCAATGCGAGTGGACAGGGTGGTGCTGAACTGCAAGGGAATAAGAGGGAGAGGGAGGAGTCAGAGGAGGTTTCGAGAACGCCTTTCGGCATGACCGATCTTCTGAGGAAGACACGAGAGGAAATTGAGAGGCGGAAGAGGTTAACTTTAACGGACTCGATGATCCCGTCGGAGGAGGTTTCTGTTCCGGTACGGCATGGGGGCGAGTTAACCAAGCGACGAGCTTCGGCTGAGCCAGAGGATGGACCGACCTCGAAGAAGGCGTTCGTGCGGAAGACGGGAGACGAGCAGCAACTAGATACCGTTCTTCAGCAGCGTGAATCGGGGATGGAGGCGGAAGACAAAAATGTCTTCGTAATCTATCGCACAAAGCCCCTAGGGACTGCTTTGTACCCGTCTAAATACACGCCGTGTGGGAGCATTTGGCTTGCGACGGAAACCATGGACTGGGTGAACAAGGTTCTGAAACGAGGCAGGGGACCCCAGGACTTCGAAGACCAGATCGTGAAGTTCAGTTATTTTAGACATAAGTACTATGTCAATCGCATTGCAATGACCATGGACGACGCTGGTAAAACAGCCGCCTACGAGAAGATTTACGATGAGCTCGGAGAGCTTATGCAGATCGTGGGGGCTGCACGACCCACGAAAGTCGCCGGGTATCCCATCCTCAGGAATTTGAAGGTAGATGGAAACTGGCGGACTTCCCAGGGGCAACCAGTGCGGGCTTACAGGCCCTTGCAACAACAGCTACCTGGTACTTCGCGGCCCTCTGTTACGCTGCCACGGATTCCCTCTGCTTATAGGCGTCCTGTTGCCCAAAAGCAGATTTCTGGTCCTTCGCAGCCTTCGGTGGTGGCGCAGCTGCAGCCTGGTCCTTCGCAACCCTCGGTGGTGGCACAGCTGCAGCCTGGCCCTTCACAGCCCTCTGTTACTCTACCACTGATGCCTCCTGCGTATAAGCGTCCTGTTACCCAGCAGCAGATTGCTGGTCCATCGCAACCCTCGGCGGTGGTACAGCTCCAGTCTGGCCCTTCGCAGCCCTCGGCGTTAGCGCAGCTCCAACCTAGTCATTCGCAGCCCTCGGCGGTGGCGCAGCTCCAACCTAGTCATTCGCAGCCCTCGGCGGTGGCGCAGCTCCAGCCTGGTCCTTCGCGGCCCTCTGTTACCCTACCACCGATGCCTCCTCCCTATAGTCGTTCTTTTGCCCAGAAGCAGATGCCTTGCCCGTCGCAGCCCTCGCTGGTGGCGCAGCAGCAGCCCGGTCCTTCGCTGCCCTCTGTTGCTGAGCAACAGATGCCTGGTCCGTGGACGCCTCCTGTTGTGGCGCAACAACATCCGGGTCCATCGCAGAACTCGGTGGTGGCGGAACAACAGCCTGGTCCTTCACGGCCCTCTATTACTGAGCTACAGATGCCTGGTCCTTGGACGCCTCCTGTTGTGGCGCAACAACATCCGGGTCCATCGCAGAACTCGGTGGTGGCGGAAGAACAGCCTGGTCCTTCACGGCCCTCTGTTGCTGAGCAACAGATGCCTGGTCCTATGAGGCCCACTGTTGCGCAGCAAACTCTGGTGCCCGTGCCGTCGCCGTATCAATTGGTCACCTTTGCGCCTAGGGAGGAGTTTCCGCCGGCTATGGAGTGGGAGCCCCCGCCAGGTCAATTTGACTATTCATCGCTGTCGACGGCAAACCCAGCACTCCACACAAGAGAGGGGTGGTTTTCTGGTCCGGCATCATCTGGCGTGTTACCGGGAGGGCGTATGCTGCCAACTTGGATTTCCGGTAATGCGAACCTTCCGATTCGGCCGCCTCCCCCGACGCCCCCTGTGCTGTCCGACGGTGCTGGACTTCGTCACACCTCGGTTTTGCGCTTCGGTAACATCGCGCAGATTGTTGTGGTCTCGCTGTCGCCTCCAAAACACGGGCGTCAAATGTTTCCTACTCAAGAGCCGTCTAAGGAGTACTTGAACGCAATTGATTACAGGGCGTTCGTGAAGACGATCAATGGTAGATACAATTCCGACACCAACCCTGGTATCGATCGCGAGCGCCAGAAAGTTCTGCCCCCTTCTCAGCCTCTTGCCTGTGGTGCCCCCACCCAGGCTCGTCTGGACTTTGATGAGTGTCGTCGTCTCCTCAGGATGCGCTTCGAAGAGCCGGAATGCCCTGTTCCCTTTTCGGGCCGTGGTCAGTTGCTTGAGAGGAAGGGGATCCTGGAGTTGTTGAGCTGTCCGCACTATTTGGCGGTGATCTTAGGAGTAGACCGACTCTTCCTTTGGGATAGGGGGTTCTATGACTCAGTGAACTTCGTGGAAGCACTTCTTGGCAGGCTCTCGTGGCATGGCTACCGATGATACAAGTGGTGTGGTTTTTTGGCCCTTGGGGTTGGTTGTGTGGTCTGGTTTTTAAGTTTGGCGTTGGGGGTGTGCTTTCTGGGGTTTGGTGGTGGAGTGTGGCGGGCATTAGGGAGTTTTTCATTTCCGTAGTAAATACGAAAAATGTTTCTTCCTTAATTGGTCTATCTTCGCGTGACGTTTGTGGTGTGTTCAGAGGGAAAAGTGTAGTTTCTTTCCCTTGGAGACTCATAAGATTCACCGCCTTGATCATGGCCTGTTTCTCGATCTTAGAAGTACCTAGTCCGAAAGCGCGAGGTGAATATTAGTTCATTCGGTTTTCTACTGCCAACAATCGAGCTCACGGAAACTTGGCGCAGGGGGGGTGGATAGGGTGTCCAGTCGGTCGTTGCGGCCATTCCGGACGATATTGCCTATTGGGCTGGGAATAATTACAGAGGAATAGCTTTCACAAGTTACGATATGAGGACGGATATCCTACAGGACCCGGAACAGAAAAGGCTACCTAAGGAAGTTTCTACACACGAACATCCCTATATGCGCCGTTGCACTTCGCGTTGCATTGCCCTCTCTCTACATCCGTGCCCGCCTCGCTGTCACCCTCTACCCCTCCCTCTCGTACCGGTGCATCCTTACCGCCACGCCGCCGTTTATTTTCAGGCCTGACGTTTACTGTTCTAGGTTTCTGAGCATGTTCTCCACCTGGCGGATAATGGCGATTAACTACCGCAGAGATACTACTCGGCGCGGCGGAAAATCTGTTCCCAGCGCGAGAGTTATGTTTGACGGTAACCTCCGGACCACCAAAGACTAGAAACTGCATGCTAATTACTTCAGGTACGTAGGTACAGACCTGTAGGCAATCTGGGTCTTTCATTCTCCGGACTGGAAGGACTAGTCCTTTGGAAAACATATCCGGGACGGTCCCGTCCTACGGTCCCTATTGGACTGGTGTCCGAACGCACAATTCACCACCCTGATTGTCCAGCCGAGAGATATTCAAATTCACTGTTATGGAGCCAGTCACAAGCTGATCAATGCGGTGTTTTGACTAATCAGGTTCCCGGTCAAAGCAACAGTTGCAACCGTAATCAGCTACCATAGCAGCTCGAAGCCTCTGTTCCTGTGCACTTGCAGAGCGGGTATCTAGCGTCTTCGGGGATACCCGAATTGACGCGGCTAAGCGCACCATTTATACTTAGCTGCTCTCGCTCTCTCGTCATTGCACCGCGAGAGTATGTGCACCTGGAAGGAACAACAGAAGGAACTCTGGGCGAGGGCGAAGAAGATCAGCGGTAGAGCATGACACCGCTGGCGAATAGCGAATCTCTTTACTGATGAGCGGATAGCGGAAGCATCCTCAAGTTTCTCAGAGAAACGGAGATTGGTAGAAGGATACCCGGCGAAGAACGGGAATCGGCCCGCTGCTGAGCGAGGCGTCGAGTTGTGAATCACGGGGGCAGGGAGTAGGAAACCTTACGAAGGGGTCAAGGGGAGCATAGGCCGAGAGGAGGAGAAAATTGGTTCGCTTTCTTTTGTGTTATCCATTGGATAGTGTACTCCTCTCTTGTGGGCAGGCGACGGAAGCCGATTAGCCAGTCTCGCGGTGGTGGCTCCCCTTGGTGTGGACATTTAGGTCAGTAGATAGGTCAATAAAATGATCCCCCCGCGAGAGTATTCCAGGTGTTACAAATAAGTCCTTTGCAATTGCCCACTTGGTAGATTAATTCTAGAATCTCGAAATAAATAATATTTAGAAGAAATGTCCTTTATGTATTCACATTGTGTGAACAGCGAATCATGGTGAGTGATGTGTAGGGTTTGAGTGATGGAATGATGTAGGGGTTCGTGGGATCTTGTAATACCTCTCGATCATTTGCCTTGGTTTTTCCTGATCTCTGATTGAGTGACGCTACCCGAATAATTTGAACTCCCAGACGTTGGAACTTCATACCCTATCACCCCACTGCACCACCCTCCATCCCTACGACTACTCCCTCGCCTCTTACCATTGCCATCCTCAACCTCTACAACTCCCCTACCCCCCTTCTCAAACATCTACAATCCTCTATATCGCCTACTATACTATCCTATACTATGAGTTACAACTGCAATACCGACATGAACGTCTCGCGACCCCGTCAGCTGGGGTACTCTACCGATCTCGGAGTCAGCTCTTCGGACGTGATCGCCGAGTCGATTTTCTCATCACCGGCACGGCCTGCTCTTACTCGTTCGGCTACTACGAGTCACAAACGCAATCTAACCCCCCTGATGTTTGACATGAGTGAGTCCTAGGTGCATTCGACCCACCATCCGGACATACTAACAGTTTATCATTCAGACCTCCTTGTTCCTCAGCGTCCGGCTTCAGTCACCCACGCCTCCGTTCTCAGCTTTACCGAGAGAGCTAGGTCGCAGTGTGCTGGCGAAGGAACTATCTGCTCGGCTGCCTCGTCGATTGGACGCCGCGGTTACGACAGCAATCGGGAGTCAACTGTCTCGGAGCCTCGCACTCCGGCTGCTTTCAAGGCTGAAGGAATCAAGAAGAGGGAAATCATCAAGGTTGGTCATAAATCCTTCAGGCGATCTCGCTAATTAATGTAGAGAATCATCATGCGTTACGTCAACATGATGCGTCGCTCCAGTGCGAAGTCACCGAAGGCTAGTGCCAGTACGCAGACCGATGCTGAAGGCTACGAGAACTTTGTTCCGGCGCAATGGAGGTTTGACGCCACTTCTCCGGCCGCCTCGCGGAGCGTTTCAACCCAGTGGGGCAGTCGTCCTCCCTCGGGAAGAGGTCTCGGTAGCCCCACGCAGTGCGCGGAAAGCCTTGCCGTCCCCAGCATTCGTATCGTCGATAACGATGAAGTCGACCGCGAGGTCGACGAAATCAAGCACAAGCTGAACGCCGTCACCTCCGAGCGCAACGCTCTTCGCGTCGAAAATGCCAATCTGAAGGAACAGCTTTCGGAGCAGCAGGCGATCTTCTCTGAGGAGCCTCTCAACCTCAGTCGCACCCGCAGCATCACCAACACCGTCGATCTCGCCCAGAATACCGGTGAAGGACTGGCAGATCACGCCGAGTACGTCAAGAGCATCTACAACAAGCTGCTCGCCTCCATGGCCGCCCGTCTTCGCCTCGAACGTGAGAAGAATCTCATGCACCGTCGTTTCGCCGCGGAGCGCCAGATGCACACCGAGAATCTCGAGAGAGCCATGGCTGTCATCGCTGAGCAGGATGAGGTTCTCAAGCGGACCGAGGAGCATCTGCTCTACGAGTCATGTCTCAAGGATGTTCGTCACGGTGCCAAGTATACCGATACTGGTGCTAAGTTCTACAAGAAGAAAAGGGCGGTTTCCAATTAGGTTGGATGGTGAGGAAAAGCACTGGAAGGATAGTTCTACAAGGTTTCCAATGATGAATCTTTGAACTACGAGGGTGCAGGGTTTGATTCTACCTTCTTCTTTCTACACAAGTATTTAGGCATCTAGATGCGAATTTGAAGTTTGTGATTTGCTACCTCTTTTTTAATGCTGTTTGTGCAATCTATGACTTTCGTTCTCAGCCTGAGATGAGCCCCCAAATCTAAGCAGCAGGTTGGAGACGGAGGATAACCACTTCACAAGCTGAATTTCCTGGGTACGTACTGAAGCCGAAACCCCTTCTACGCATGTGACATGTCACAGGAGGCCCGGACGGATTATGCTTAACTAGCGGGCCAGCTAAAGTTCTCCCCGTAGCGGGGAGAGCAACCTAATCAACAACCATCTACGTCACTTCCGCCAGGCTCAGCCTTCTTCTTCAGCCCTTTTCTTCAGCCCCGTTCCCTCATCGTCATGCAAACGCCTTCACCCGCACCGCCCCTCGGCCCGGCGCTCTACTGCGTTATAGCTTGGATTACTTCCATGCGCTATACTATAGCCGAGCTGGACACTTTCGTTACAGGACCTAAGAAGCTTTATGTACCCACGTTGAAACACACAATCACCAGTTTTCGGTAATTTGCTGATTCACACAAGAGTTCGGTCCGGCCCCTACATACTCGCTCGCGTCAGCATAGTCCCAGTCAATCACGTTACTCGTTACTCGACCCATGCACGCTTTTTCGGCAAAACACAGTGAAACGACTTGGCAACCACACACACTAACGTAATCTGACGTCGCCGGCTCAGTGCGACGAGTGACGACGAATGATGTGCGGCGGGTGATAGGTAGTGACTGTGTGACAAAGCGGAGGTACCTACTCTATGTCTGGGGTAGATATATACCGGTACTGCGCAGCAAAGCCAGTTTCATCACCGTCACGCATATTAGCCGTTGTTCAAGGCACTCGGAAGATGTTTTTGGCAGTGGGCTATGGGAACAGGTATGTCAAACAAAGTGTAACTTATCAGCTCAGGCAACTATTTCTACCTACAAACAAGCCGCAGAACAGCCGAGCTACGATTCATCAGGGACTTGGCTTCGGATCACTCACGGCCCGCAAGCGAGAGATCGCACGCCGACATCACAACGTCCATCGTACGATCCTATCCCGCGCCTCGCCTCGCCCCGCCCGGTGTCCTACCTAGGGTACCTACCTAGACTCCACCGTTGCACCCGCCACCGCCGCTCCCATCTCCTCTCCCAAACACCTCCGCCGCGCGCGTGGGGATGCCGTACTCGTAGCGCAAATCCACCACGCCGTGGGGGGAGGCGTAATCCTCCATCAGCGCCGACAGCGGCGTGGCGTTCGCCAGCAGCAGGACGCCAGTGCTGGTATAAATGCGCAGCACCACGCTGCGAAGAAGGCGTTGATATATCAACCCATACAGGTGGTTGTACAGTGTGGCGAACGTGCCGCTGCTGGGGAGGAGAAATTGTTCTGCGGTGGTAATGCGCGTGAGGTAAGGAAGCGGGCGGTGCGGGGGTGTGTCGGCCGTGGGTTCGAGGTGGAAGGTGATGTCCATGCTGTGCGAAACGTGAAGGGCCGGCGGATGGTGCGATGGGGAGGGGAGGGAAAGCACGGCGGGTATTTATAGCTGGCTGGCCGCTGGCGATCGGGCCAAAGTGCGTGCGGAATGAAGGGCGTGCGGCCGCAATCAAACTTGATTGCTCTGCGGGTCGGTGCTGGAACCTTCGACTGATGCTTTCAGTTCGTTCATCATGAAGCATCGCAGTCGTCGTGCATCCTGCAGCTTCGCGGGACAAAGGGAGCGTCCGAAGAGATCCAAGGTCATCACGCACTTCTCATCTCGAGTCTCGACAGCGAGATCAAACTGGCATTACGCACTGGACGACAGGCCTGGGAATCGTCCCGTCCGTCCTAGGCTATGCTCCAAACGGGACCGAATTTGTCCGGCCCGGAATATCAATAAAGTTGCCTGGTACGGCGGTCGAAAGGCTAGTCGCGCCACACCACAACAGACCGCCAAACAAGACAAAGAAGAGAGAAAAAGAGAGCCAAAACGAGAACGAAAATTGCGAGAGGATACGTAGGTGACAGCGAGGAGAGGGGTTTGGTGGAGATGGTGATGGGTTAGGGGTTTACATTTCAGGGAAACTAAGCCTTAGCCGGTAATACAGTGCTATCTCCACCATCAAACCCACTTTTTCGTTCGCGCCTCTTAGCTCTACAGCTAAGAACCACCATCATGCCTGCCGGCCTTCCTCCATGGCGCCTGAAAGGATCGTCTCTTGCGAAGAGGCGTAAGCTGTTCATGTACTATAGTGAACAAACATCCAGTTAAAGTTGTAGGTACCTACGATAGCGATTGAACTCTGATGAGTGTTGGGGAGTATGGAAACGAAATCATACTGTTACACTCAGCGAGCTGGCAACATATACCTTATACACATGGAAATACATATAGGTATAGGTAGATGAAGTTTGCCTTAACTATTATATTGGTTATCATTAGGGACCTATTTCAAAAGGCAATCAACCTACACAGTTGGAGTCATTGACGGAATGACTAGTCACCGAACAGGAATGACGGAGTCAATTCGCGAAAAGATGGCGAGTGATATCCGGTGCTTTCACCACATGTTTCAGGGTAACCATGATACAATCCCGTGGAGGGTGGCTCCGGACTGATAGTAGAGATTATTACATGGGGAAGCTTGGACTATGTCGTGTGGATTATCAAAGAGTATCCACCGCGACTGCCATGGTACAAGTCATTGAACCAATAGCCTCTCTTCCGCTCTCTGTTTTTCTCATCTTGTTCTCCCTCTTTTCCTCTCTTTTCCTCTTTCCTTTCTCACTCTTTTAGTCAGCGCTTTTTTCCAAAAAGGTGTGTTGAACATATTTGGCCATGATCCGTAACCAGTTTAGCCGCCGGCACGCGAGGTGACTTCGAGCCATCTCCGGCGAGGATGTAGCTCGTATCGTTTGCTCGCTCGTTGAATCTGACGAGAACGTTTTAGTAGGTTCTAGCGGCACTTCCACCTAGCTCCGACGATTGGCGTCATGTGTGCTCGCTGGTTCTAAGTGACGAGCAAGTTTGGTGGGGTCTAGCGGTCTGGCGACGGCGAAACTGAATGTAAACTAGCCACCCCACAACACTTATAAAACCACCCCCCCTCTGCTCCTCCTCCTCTCCTTCTCTTTACAACCATCACAGCTTCCTTTCCTCATCGGCTATTCACCCTTCCTTCCTTTCCACCCTCCATCCCTCCTTCTTTTCCACCCATCCACCTTCCATTCACCTAAGTTCGAGCTCAATCCTCAAGGTACGTCGTTCTCCCCCCCCCACTTTATACTTCCAGGATAACCTTACAGAGCTATCCTGCTTAGCCGTAGCAGCGAGGAACTGAGGGTTCCGTGCAACTGGTTTACAAAGTGGACTATTGCGAGAGACGGATCCAACCCTCGAGGCTGAGCAGAAAAGATCTACGGACGGGGTTTTCTCTTGTGCTGCCGGCACAAGTTCTTTCCCCCTTCCTCCGGGAGTCCAAGTCGGTCAAGACTCGACTTGCCGACTTGCTCCCTGTGGATGGCCTATCCGAAACCGGGTGACGAACGGTTTCGGATGAGATCCAAATAACCAAAGAAGTATAACTGGTCTACTACCGCCCCAAGTTATACGCGTATAACGTGGTTTATTATCCCCCCACGTTATACGCGGAGGTTGTCTTCCTTTCAAAGTTGAAAGGTCTTACCTCCTGGCCATGCATGAGTGGGATGCATGCGCCATTGGCCAAGTATTGTTGCTCTGGCCGCTGCGCGAGACAACGATATTTGCCCCGCTTGTGGATTACGCCGTACGATCCAATGTCGTGAGTGATCATCTGTGAAGATGTTTTCGACTCTCCGCTCTGACTTGCCTCTGCAGATGCACAGGCACAGGGGAGGACATCGTCGAGGTCTCTGACGGCTAGTTATGTACGGAGAGGTAGATCTCCGGCCTGGGCGCTGGGCACTGGGCGGCATAGGGCGGCACTGGACGGCAGTGTCGACTCTTTGAGAAGCGCCGCCCCCAGCATAGTCACCAGGGTAAACAGAAAAATAGGAACATTTGTCTACATAAGTATTCGAAATTGTTGCACAATGTTGCAGTTTTCAGACGGACCAATACCTTTTAACAACTACTTATGTTAAAACAAGTATGTAGACGAATGTTCCTATGTTTTTACTGGTGCGTGCGTGTATGGCAGGATTAACTATTCGCCAAGGCCGCGCGTGACTCCGTTCACAGGGAGATGGGCCATGTAGCCAGTTTCCGCAGCCTATATAGGCAGGTACGGTAGGTACTCCATATCCCTACATGTATACTTGTTTTAACATAAGTCGCTGTTAAAAGGTATTGGTCCGTCTGGAAACTGCAACATTCTGCAACAATTTCGAATACTTATGTAGACAAATGTTCCTACTTTTCTGTTTACCCTGGTGACTATTCTGGAGGCGGCCGCTCGCTGGTGGGCTTTCAATACGAGCTATAAGACCCACACCACGGGTGCAGTCCCTCAGAACCACCACCACCACCACCACCACCACCACCACCACCACCACCACAAACGCACACACAAGCACGCAGCTCTCCGCCACGCCTCCATTGTTGCCTCCAGATCTTCACTCAGCGTTCCGCCCATACTTCGAATACCTATGCAATCATCGCCAACCCGGAGGTCTCACCCGGTATCTGAGCTTATCACTCGAGGCCCTAGTCGGGCTCCGCGAATTTCGGACTTGTGACTAGACTGTTCTGCTCTATGTAGGGAGTCCGGCAACTTGCAAGTGCTCGCCCCGGACTGGACTGGACTGGACGGGACCGCGTTGCTAGGCCCTACCCTACCTAATATGTGGAGTTGTCTTCGGTCCGGACGGACTACTTTAGGTACTCTATCCTCAGCCCTACTGGACGACCCTTGGGCTTTGGGCCTTGGGCCTTTGCAGATATATGAGCATGCTGGAGCTCTTGATCGGGCATCCTGATTGCTGAAGGATCGCAGTCATCGACTCATCGACTCATCGTGCAGCTTCGTGGGATAAAAGGAGTCCGGAGGACCAGTACGTCCGAGGAGATCCAAAGTCTTCTCATGTCGAGTCTCGACTCTCGACAGCGAGATTGAACTTGCACCCTTTACAAAGTCCAGACGACATGTTGGAGATATTTGCACGCATCCATCCCATCATCCCATTCGTTCGTACATACACACATACTAGACGTAGAATACATCGTCATATCGAAAAGAAAAGCAAAGCAAAGAAAAGACATTACTGCTACACCCCCTCCATCCCATCGCCACCATAAATCCCTCTAGATCTCGCTAAACTCATGATTACAAGCTGCATGCCTGCGCTTATCATGACTGATCTGTTTCTTTTCCAGCACGCCTCTCTTGTTCATCCTCGGGATCCCCTCCAGACTATTCGCATAAGTCGCCAGCGCATGAGCAAACGCCTTAGTATTCTGGACCCAAGCGCCGACGTCGAGATTCACTCTTCCATCTCCCGCGAGGTGGTAGTTAGGATCGTACGCCTGGCCGGCGCGCCCGCCCCACCACTCCGCCTCCTGCGCTGTCTTGATCCCCTCCGCGCCGGTGAATATCCCGCCGCTGGGGATCCCCGCGTCAAGGAAGGGGCCGTAGTCCGAGCGCCCGTCGAATGCGGTTGGCGCCGAACGGATCCCGACACTGGTGAAGTAGGATTCGAAGAGGTGCTCGATGTGGTCTGATCCCGCAGGGCCGGTGACGTTGAAGGCGCTGCCGTCGCCGTCGTAGAGGAAGTAGCCGAAGTTCGGGGAGGCGATCTGTCTGGGTTAGTGGAGGTGCGGATATACGGGGGACGGCGTAGTTACCATGTCGGCGTTTAGGTACAGTGCGATGGACGAGGTCTGCTCCGCGGTGAGAGAGGTCACCCAGTGCTCGCTGCCGACCAGGCCGTACTCCTCGGCCGTCCAGAAGCCGAAGCGGATGGCGTTCCTGACGCTCCACTTTGGCAGGCGCAGGGCGATCTCGAGAAGACCCATGGCGCCCGAGCCGTCGTCGTTGATACCCTGTGTGCGATCTGTCAGCGAGTGCAAGAGGCAGCTACGCGGAGGGGGAGGGGTGACGAACAGGTCCAGCAGGCACGGAGTCCGTGTGCCCACCCGCCATGACGATGTGGTTCTTGTCGCCGCCCTTCGTGGTGGCAAGAACATTGCTGGTGTAGCGCATCTCGTTGATCGCATCAACGAAGACCTTTCCCTTGACCTCACCAGCAGCAACGGAAGCCACGAGTGCATTCCCATCGATCCCGCTGAGAGAGGCAGCGGGGACGTACGGGCCCTCTGGCCGCGAGGGCTGGCCAAGCGTTCCACCGCCGACAGGCGCATCAACGTTGTTGTAGATGACGGCACCGGCGGCACCGGCTGCGCCAGCGAGCGCGATCTTGAGTCCGAACTCGCAGCTACCACGCTTGATCAGGGCGATTGAGCCCTTGACTTCCGCGGGGAAGTTGGTCTGCATCCAACCATCAGCACAGCTACACCCCCGGCGTCGATCCGAGCGAGAATACATACCGCGACACAACCGAGCTCATTGACGATGACGACCTTTGCCTCCACCGTGCCGGCAGGGCCATACGTAAACCACTCTGTATCATAGTTCTTCTGGGCGCCAGCGATCACTGCTGTGAAATTCGCCGTTCCCTCCGAGAACAGATACTCGAACGTCTGCAGCTCCGTATCGTAGTACCCCGTGGCATCCAGCTTCCGCTTGATGTAGTCCACAGTCGCATTGTGCGCCTTCGTGCCGAACGCCCGGTTGCCGTCGGAGAGTTTCGCCTGCTCTTCTAGCGCATCGGCGTGCTTGAGGAGATTTGAGCGCAGCAGGAGCCGGCGCAGCTGGTTGGACTGGACGGGCGGGAGGGGCCGCGATGGCCTGGGACCGTTGTTTATGGGGCCGGGACTGGCGAGCACACTGACAAGGAGGGAGGACAGCAGGAGGAGGGGCGAGGCGACCTTCATCGTGGCTTGCGGTTAAGTGTGTGAAGGGAAGTGACTGACCGCTCGCTGACTTATGTGACAAAACCAGGTGGGGCGATACCCAGCTGTCTTATACACAGTCGCATCCGAGGTTGCTCGCAATCCGGATCCCTATCAATCTCGTGGACCGAGACTCAATCAATCATCCCATCACCATGCGCATGCCCATGCCCGTGCCGGCATCCAACAGCGGGAAACCCGGAAGTGCGCGATGTGATAGATGGCAAATGCGACTGCGACGTCAAGTAGATGCGAGTGGGGTGGGCTCCATGGTACTTCCGTTTCGGCTGATTGGATCGTGATACCGTGTACGGAGGTTGGTAGAGAGAGTATATTGGCATGTATGTACGCCCCCAGCAATCTCAACGTCGACGTCGACGGCCGGCTCCGTTGTGCGCCTACGTAGCAGGCGCTGCATAGTCCCCGGTCGGGGTTCCGGTTGGCCGCCGTTGTTTCCCCAGATATCTCCGGCAGTGTTTCTCCTCTGCAGTGCTCATCGCGTGTGCGGATACCTACTCTTCACCAGTAAGGCAGCATGGCCGCATGCCTCCACCCCTCCACTTCGACTCCACCCCCAATCTTCCATGCAACTAGGAGATCGCCGTTGGATCGACCAGGATCGATGCTTTATGCAGGAACTGGCCGAAGCAATGTCCAGTAGATACCTTCCCGATGCAGACCGCCGCCCGAGGCATGAGAATCCCTGCCGAGTTTGCACGAAATGCGTGCGGGGCAAAAACATCATCGATCACCATCCTCACAGAGAGAGAGAGCCAGAAAGAGAGAGCCACCGAGCGACGGGAGGGTGGGTAGCGGGCGCGGACACTTAAGGTAGGGCATATGCAATGGACATCTCCCCTTCGCCTTCGCTCACAGCGGCGGCGACAGACTCCGTCTCGTGGTCCGTCCGCTATCGACGATAGTTAACCATCATTATCGATACCATCCCATTACTCCATCCGCCTCCCGGAATCAGTAACTCGCCGCACCCCTCCCTCTTGCCTGGTCTGGGGACTTGATTTTGACGTACTCTGCCTATCCTGCAGATTTCGATATCGCGACAGCATTATGGAGCTAGGAACCGTCCGACAGGAATGACAACCTGGTGGCGGGTGTCGCCACGAATGCGGCGGAGGCATCTTCGGGGTGCCTGCCTGTGGCATTTGTCACTTCCTTCCTTCCTTCCTTCCTTCCTTCCTTCCTTCGTGCATACTGCTGTGATTGGAGCAGTGATAACTCGACAGATGTTGTTTGTTTCATTGCCTCTTTGTTTCATATGTTTTTAACTACGAACTCACATCTCAAGATTGCGGAGCCCAGCGGCCAGCCCCGACTCGCCAGAGTGGCCAGAGTCGCCAGAGTCGGCACGGCATTGGCTGCACGCACGCCGATCGCTGGCGCTGTCATTATTCCCGAACCCCAGACGCGCCGCTCACGTCGCACAGAGCGGTCGGAAGTGGCCGCTGCACTTGCGCTGGAGCTCGCATGATCAGCCAGGCGCGATCAGCTGCGAGTCTCCGACTGTAGCTGCGACCCCCGCTGCTGCGCTGCAGGGCATGGCTTTGCTTCGAAGGTGGGACCGTGCATGTGAATATGAGGTTCGTGAATGCGTGGATGGTTGCACCTCCGAAGTACCTACACGAGGTACACGGAGTACACGATGTCTCGATGGTAGAGTACTTACAATACAAAGGACTTACACCCGCCCCACTCGCCGAGGCAGTATTGCGGTGTGGTACCTATGGTATGTAACAACGGTTTCCGGAAGGTCGCACGATGCCTAGACCATGTGTATGGCGAAAGGCGAGTTGCAGATTGCGCGGTACGTGCAAAACCGCAGCACTGACACAACCAACGGCGAGTCGCAGGTTCGAAGCGCAATCCAACTGACTCCGGCATCGAGCAGGTGTTCCGGGCGGGACAGTGGACCTGTCTGTTGATCACCGGTCTTGGGGGGGAACATGATTGATCGCGTGACGGCCCATGGGCAAGGGATCTATTGGACTCATAGGATGCATGGATTCTCATTCATTTGCCTCTGCAACTACAAGAAGGGACACGGCTCTATACCCACCCAGCCGCCCGCCGTCCTACACGCCACTCCCGCACCGAAACTCCTCGGCCGAAATCCCACTCGCAACCCTCCCGATGCCAACTCTTCCGTCGACGATCTCGACAACACCCAGCTTCTCTCCGCGTGCCGTAATGGGCACATCTTGAAACCCCCGTCCCCACGTGCCAATGCTCTTATTCTCATTGATGAGTCTGAGAAGTTGTAGCGCGCCATCCGCCCTCCATGCCAAAACCCTATGTGGGAACTTTCCCGCCATCACCTTCCCCGCCGGGCCGTCCAGGAACGAGAGCGTAGTGATCACTAGCGAGAATAGGAGGATCAACCCCAGCCAGAACACGTTGACGGAAGTGTACCCGCTCTCATGGAACACGATCATCTTGCAGATGTGGCGCCACTGGGGTTGGATGAGGTTTCCGAGGGGCCCGCGGTCCTGCGGGTACGATTCCTTGGCTGTGCGCACGACTTCCATCTGGGCCGTCGCCAGCCCGATATCGAACATGTGGCCGGCCTCGATTTTCCACTGCTCGCGGGCGAGCATGATGGCCGAGCCGGCGTAGAGGTGGTCGGCCACCGAGAGGATCTGTGCGCCTTGTCCGATCGAGCTAGTGTACATGTTCATCGTGTGTATGTGGTAGCGGATGATCAGTGCGACGTCGGCTTCGCCGTCCGTTTCGGTGATGCTGAAGAGAAGATCGTCAGGGTCTTGAGAATCGACGAAGGGCGAACACCGGGATGTGCGCGGGTTGCAGAAGCGGTATTGGTCGGTGCAGCCCATTACTGTGGAGGGATGGTCAGCGGCGTATGTGGGAAATGCATCGTAGCCCGGCATCTGGAAAGTGCCGGTGAAGTTGTGGGCGCTAAACATTGGGTCATCGATTGCTGGGGAATGGTCAGTATTATACTGGGCTGCTGACTACTGCGATATGGGGCGCTCACGCTCATAGTAGGTAACCCCATAGGCCGAAATAAACAGCAAGGTAACATCGGCATCATCCCTTCTCAACGACGGGATTGGATCCAGCTGGAAGCTCCCATTCCGGATCCATGGGGTAGACGTCTGCATATTGAGTATATATCCCTTCGATCCTCCGACCCTCTCCCAATCACTGACCCAATGCGACGAGTTCCCCAGCAGGCGTACACCACCATACATGTAATGCGTAACATTCTCGCCAAACTTCCCGTCAGTCCGCACCTCCGTATATCCCTCGGTCTTTAGCGGCGCGCACGTGGTGCGGCGTTGCCACTGCATTGGATTCGGCGAGTTAATCCCCAGCTCCTCCGAGCTCCGCAGTCCAGTGTCCATCGTAAACGCGGCGTTCTCGCCCTCGAGACAGATCCCGTCTGCGAACGGACAGGTGGCATTATGCACCGCAGACCAGTTGAGCCGTCTCCTGGGCAACACCCGGCACTCACTCGGCGTCTCCTTTTCGCTCCCCTCGGTGTCGTAGCACAGCCGCACATACGCCCTCGCAGCCGTAGTCGAGAGCAAGCTCGTCTTCTGCCAGGCTATCATACTCCGTATCCCCCCGTCCTGCCCGGCCCACACGCCACACTCCTTGGCCTCTGCCCTAACAAACGGATCATTCCCATCGGCAACAAAACTAACCGCCACTCCGGCGACGAGGTACAGACACATATGCGCAGCCAGCAGGCCCAACGGGCCTATACTCCTCCTCCACGCCTTTGGCGCCGACTTGCGCCATCGGAACGCGATCCACCCCAGCACCGGCAGCGCGCCCATATCGGTCTCGCAGTTGCGCAAAATCACCTCCTGCTGGCGCGCCAGCCCGTCGCGCGGCGTCTCGTGGCTGCGCGTCTGGTGGAGGATGAATTTGAGGATCTTGAAAGAGCGTGCGCCTGTGTGTGTGATTAGGATCGCAAGGAACGAGATCAGTGCGAGGCCGTGCGCGTCATGGAGCGTCAGTGTGCTGCCGTAGATGTGCCCCCGTGAGTGGTTCGTCCAGACGCCCGTGTGGATGTTGGTGCCGCTCATGTTCGTGCAGCTGACGATGAGGATTCCCGGAGAGGGCTACGGTGCGGAATCAGGCTGAAAGGCCTGGGAAAGCGAGGTTGGAGGCATAAAAGGCGGAGCGGGCGTCGTAGCGAGACATAGGGTGCTTATGTGGGGTGTCGATTGTGGTGCGGTTATAATTGTGAGTTTTCTGCAGCTCGTATTCGATGAACAGCTGTGTGGCGATGCCGACGTCAGCAGATTGGTTGGCGATGTTACACGACACGATAGTCAGACAGGAGCTCAGCTTCGATTGCTTTGGGACAGTTAGCTCTGCTCGTTCTCGGCCGAGAGTAGAAACGTACGTACATAATGCCGCTACAGGGACAGAAGCGGAGAAGCAGCGAAGGAAATTCATGAATGGTCACTCCCGCGTTGGATGTTTCGTACCACGCCCTCGGACGGCCGAATCGCCTAATCTCCGCCAGGTAGTCGTTCGTGAATGTACCGTATTGTAGGCCTGCAGGCATTCGAGTTCCGTCTTGGTCATCTGTGAGGAGCCGGCAAAACGTTGCTTCGTACGTGCGGGTGTGGGGCGTTGGCCGAGTGGCGGGGACGGCGGGAGATGTATCAAGTATCATGTTGCCACCGCAGGTCCGCGGTGGATGAGGGGAAATGATCCCCACCTCTTCCGGTGACTGACCAGTACATACGATATCCACGCTGATATCAATCCCAATGGCCCCACACTCCTCCTCCTCCGCCACGCACTCCTTGCCACTGCCATGCCATGCATCCCAGAGCGGGGAGCATGCCCATATCCTCTTCACCTTTGCGCAGTATCACCTCTTGCGAGTGGATGGAGCCGTCACGTGATGTCTTGTGGCTTCGTGTTCGGTGCAGGATAAAAATTCAGGATTCCGAAGGAGCGCGACCGGTGTACGATATGAGAGTGGTAAGGAATGATGAGATAGGAGATCGATAGCGTATATGTCACGGTTTTGCGAGCGGTTCGTTGGTCAATACTCCTCCAGGCGGGAGACGGGATCTAGAGGAAAGCACACACAGAGGAACGAAAAGATGTGAGGGATGATCGTCTTATCGGATGATGATGATGAAAAGAAGAAGAAGAAGGAGGAGAAAAGCAGAAGTAGAAGCAGACGGCTAAGAGAGCATACGACTCCGCCGGACCCCCACCGCTGGTGCTGCCTACTAGTAACCGCATTCGCTTGCTCTCGCATATCTCTTCCACTCACAGATACGTCATCCTCCGCTGCCTGCTTCCACTGAACGCTCTCTCATCGTTCTGCAACGACGGTGTCTGAGCGTGCGGCCGTAGAGAGTTCCACGGTAGTGAAAACTCCAGGTACCGATGTAGACCGCCGGGATGGCGATAATTGTATCTTCGGCGTATAGGCGGAAAGCGAAGAGGAAAACCGTGAGTAACTTCGGAGGCATGGCGAAGAGCTACGTGCGTGTGTGCGGGTTTGCGGTGGTGATGATCGTGGTTTGAGAGACTGCATCCTTGGTGCGGTTCTTGCAGCTCGTATTCGATGCCTATCTGGGAGCGTATTGGTCGGAGACTTTACACGACATGGAAGGTAGACGGGAGATCGGCCTGACCTGTGCTTGGTGAAACATGTCAGCCGGTGATGCAAGGATGGAGGGGAAGAGAAAGTGACTTCTATTCACGGGTAATCACTCGCCGCAATGGATTTTACGGCGTAATCCACAAGCGGGGCAAATATCGTTGTCTCGCGCAGCGGCCAGAGCAACAATACTTGGCCAATGGCGCATGCATCCCACTCATGCATGGCCAGGAGGTAAGACCTTTCAACTTTGAAAGGAAGACAACCTCCGCGTATAACGTGGGGGGATAATAAACCACGTTATACGCGTATAACTTGGGGCGGTAGTAGACCAGTTATACTTCTTTGGTTATTTGGATCTCATCCGAAACCGTTCGTCACCCGGTTTCGGATAGGCCATCCACCGGGAGCAAGTCGGCAAGTCGAGTCTTGACCGACTTGGACTCCCGGAGGAAGGGGGAAAGAACTTGTGCCGGCAGCACAAGAGAAAACCCCGTCCGTAGACCTTTTCTGCTCAGCCTCGAGGGTTGGATCCGTCTCTCGCAATAGTCCACTTTGTAAACCAGTTGCACGGAACCCTCAGTTCCTCGCTGCGACGGCTAAGCAGGATAGCTCTGTAAGGTTATCCTGGAAGTATAAAGTGGGGGGGGGGGGGGGGGGGGAGAGAGAACGGCGTACCTCAAGGTATGAGCGCGGGCTACAGTGGAAGAAAGGAAGGGGGAATCTTCGGCGGAGGACCTCTGTTGACTAATAAAGAAGGCAAGTAAGTATTAAGCTGCGACAAGGTGGAGGAGAGAGAGAGGACGCACTGAGTGGTTGAAAAAGTTGAGGTTGACTAAACTAATTGTAGTTCAGTAGCATAAAGTAGCCATTAGTGCCGGGCGGGAAAGGAGAAGAAGTTAATGAATGGAGATAGGAAGGAGAGTGTGAGGAGGAGTTGGGAGGAAAGGGGGATTTTATAGGTGGAAGTTGAGTGGATTCCAAGCAACCACATCTAGCACGCTAGCGTCGACTCAAAAGTTTGCCTTTTAGCAAACACCGCTACATTCCAAGGTGTCGACACATGTTTTACATCACACGTAGTCATTCCAGCTCCGAGTGAGCGATTATGAACACGTTCCCACAGCGTGGAATAGCGACAAACGCGCAAAACATTATCTACCAATTAAACAACACTGAAACAGAATAGCGACAAACTTGATATGGTGGCCAGCACATTTGCTACTCTCCACACGAAGCCCTCCCACGCGCAGGCGTGTGCAGTTTGATGCTGCAACAGCAGCCAACCTAAAGAGACACACCGAGACGAGAAAGGATGATACTGGGGTCAATCCCGTCCGACTCAACACCTGCGCGAGGATCTAACATGGGTTCCTCTACCGGGAAGTCTCATCGTGGACGCATATAAACATCACCGCGACTCACTTTTGCAATCAACTACAGCCGTAAGGAAATGATAAATCCCTACATACCCCTCGTGTTGACTCGTTGTTCAAATTTCTGATAGAAGCACACATTAACTATCGCCCGAGTACCTATACTAAGAAAGGCGGTAGCAGGCACTAAGAATCGTATCCACTCGTTCATAAGACACAACCGCTACAAATCATGAATGAGCTTGCCGAGTGGCAATGGAAGTCCACTAACTACTTTCGCCGCCATTTGAGTACGATCTATGTGAAAAGCACCATACAGCGCTCTGTCGGCACACTCGCGCCACCCATTGACACTCGGTAAGCTCATTCAAATTTTTTAGCGGTTGTGTCTCATGGACGAGTAGATACGGCCGTCGCAATGGTGGACTCGAATCTACCACTCGTTAAACTCCCCAATTGACTCATTCTCTCGACGCAAGAATCAACCGTGGATCTAGAGTACAGAGTGCAGTCGGTCAAGCCAATATCATCCTCTCGCGGCCAGAACAGCAACATTTGACTTCGGTCATGTGCGTCATGACGCACATGACCAGGAGGAAAGACCTTTGCTATCACAGCAAAGGAAGAAAACCTCCACGTATAACCGGGGTCTCGTAGGAGTAGCCCCAGTCAACTTCTTTAATTTTTTGGTAGCTCATCCGAACGTCCTCCACCCTAAGGTGGAGGCCGGTTCGGGAACATCCATCCAAACGGCCGAAGCTCGGAGGATGGGGGAAAGAACTTCTGCCGGCAGCAGAGGAGAAACCCGTAATTCAATTCATGGTTCGCCCTGCTCGGCCGGCAAGGGTGGATAGAGCCATTGTATCGCAAGGATATCACGGTTCCTCTTCACTATGGCTGAGTAGGAGGTCTCTATAAGGTTATCCTAGAAGTGAAATGAAACGAACGCAATGGAAAACAATTAAGAAAAACAAAAACAAAAACAAAAACAAGTAGTAGAGGGAGAGAAGGTTGAAAGCAACCCAAGAAAACAAAATAAGAAACAGAAAAACAAAACCAAGGAGGCTGGTAGGGAGAGAGGAGGACGTAGATACTTCATGGTTGTGGTTGAGGTCGAGGCCGCCGGGTTCCTCTGCGCACCGCATAGGTTTTGAGTCCGAAAACAACGGATTAGTCAAGTAAATCAAGCAGGAATATCGATGGAAGGAAGGAAAGTTGTAATTGATGTGAAGAGAAGGAGAGAACAAGCAGAGGAAGAGCAGCGGAGGGTACCTGCCGCATGGAAGACCCATGCAGCCGATGAGCGGCTGCGAGTATTCTCCTCGGCCCAGGCGGGATTCTTCAGGGTCGCGACCTGTATCAATTCTGTCACTTGCACCTAGGGTGTAGCAACTGTGCGAGCGCGCAGGTGAAAGCCTACCGGTCAGAGGCAGGTACCAATCTAATGGTCGCTTACGGGTGCCAATTCACGATCACATTACTTCTAGGGCGCGGCTCCAACTATTGGGGACTTGGGAGTCCGAGTAAAGAGGTCGCAGAATCTACATACATACAATCCACCTTCCCATAAACCACAAATACTCCAGTTATCAACAAAAGAAATACGAAAACGTTCTAAAAGAAAAAAAAAGATCCCTTTTCACCATTAAGTAGGAAGTAAATCGTCTTAGCCATCAATAAAGCACATGCGACGCCGCTGCACTCGCCGGCGCCCGATCATCCCTGATTACGCCTATCCCGCCAATTCCGCCGACCCCTCCCTCGCCACTACTAGTCGAGATAGTTTCCACATCAACACTAACCTCCGTCCTCTTACTAATCCCAAAGATTCCCTCTTCACTCTCACTATCCGGCAAGCGCACCCTCTGGCCGTAAAGGATCGTGTGCGCGCTTCCCGCGCGGATATCGTTGCTGATGCCGTTCTGCGGGTCCGGTCGTGCGACGCCGGACTTGTTTATGCTCGAGAGCTGGTGGCCGCGGGAGTTCGAGAGCCCGCGGGTGCGTGAGCGCTCGGAGGAGTACAGCGCCTTGTTCATTACCCGCTTGAATAGTGGCTTCAGCGCCGGAAGCGACGCGCTGAGAATGCCGACGTTCACTTCGATCATCGTCCACATGCAGACGTCGCTTGAGTCCCCTGGTGGATGGATGGAGCATTAGTCGGTGGGGTGCGCGGGAAAGGATATGTATGTGTGTACGTACAGAGGAAATCGCCCGTCCGGCCGAAGTTGACGACGTACAGGCATTTGACGATCGAGGCGGACGCGGCGAACGTGCCCACCGAGAGGATACCGCAGATCATGAAGCGCTGGCGGCGCGGGATCTGGACGTGCCAGAGCATGGCGATCTAGGCCTTCCGTCAGCTCACGCACGCAGGTGGGTTCTGGCCGGTGAGCACCTACCGGTAGCACGACAAGGAAGAAGTCGGAGATGATGGTAACGATGGAATAGCTATATCCCAATCCCAGCCGCACTTGGGTGGACATGCAGTTCGCGTTCGGAGTGGAAACATCCCAGATGGCCCGCACGGGATAGCATTGGAAGATGATGGTCAAGGCGGAGGCGAACGAGTATGTAGACATGATCACGATGAAGCCCACACAGACGTGCCGGTAGAGCTTTGAGGCCGCGAGACGCAGCAGGAAGAGGCCGATGCTGACTTTAACCATGGCCAGACAGGGCACAGTGAGGATCTGCGTGAGGTAGTTGTACTGAAGGATATTGGTCAGCGAAGAACTAGGTAATACTCGGGTGCATGGAGGCAGTAGTCAAACGTACTTTGAGTCCTTCGGCCATCTCATCAGCCTCGAGGTTCCAAAAGTGTTGACCTGCGCCGTAATGTGTGGAGACCATGACGAGAACGTTCAGTAATATCGACAGTATCTGCTCACGCTCATTAGTACATACGCATATCATTCCATCATGCCGGGCACTCGGGACGTACGGTTGCGACTCCAATGCACCAGTCATCCGGGCCAACCTTGCCCACCATCGCACCTCTCACCCAGAATCGTAGGGGCACGAAGATGGCCACGCAGACCGTCATCGATATGGCCACGCCATTGATCTCGGCGACTCTGGTGACCGGAGGCCCCGGCGGCGGTACGAAGTTCGGATCCATGATGTCGAACTGCTACGGCGAGGAACAGTGCCAACAATCACTACCGTCGTCAGTGTAGTGCTGGAAGCCGCGGGTTCTGTCTTTCGTCGTTGACTGCAACCCCAGGCGTTCCACGGTAGTCTGCAGTCGTTGGGTTTAAGTTATATAGCGCCCCGCGAGAGCGGGCGGATGGGGGAGGGGGTGGGTGTGTATGTACGTGTGTATGTACATGTGGGGATCAACCAGACTGCGATGGTCTTATACCTTGAGATTTCCTGTTTGCGATGATGTCGAAAGCGATATGAACCACATCTATGGGATGGTGCGAAGCAGTGGAAGGGGAAAAATGCACTAGTTAATAGTGTACCTACATAGGATTTGTCTTTTCCAATCAGATGGGCCATGCAGACTCAGTGGCACATGGCGGCCACCACCAAACATGCATGCTTCAATCGATGTATGTGGTAACTACATAGTCTCAAGTCCGAGTCTCACTCCCTGTATGCTGCATCCACATATCTCCGTGCATATCATCATTTACCGGTCAAGAAGGGGGTGGGGGACATAAAGTACATACATACCCGCCGCTCATACATACGTAAAGCACATGAGAAGCCAAGTACCTAGCTTACGTGGGTACCGTAGACAGGTAACAGGTAACAGGAGGGAGGTCGTTTACCTTTAACAGCAACAGAAGCACACGCATGTACAAGGGTTTGGGTGCGGTGACTTTCGGTTTCTCCCCCTTGGTTTAGATGGATACCGCATCTCTCCTGCGCACTGGTTCGGGTAGAGAATTATTACTCCAGGTGCACGCCAAAAGGAGTTTTGACCTCAGTTCTGCATCATTGGTGTCAAGACTCAAGTGTGTGTAACCACTCGAACTGCGTGCTAAGCACGATAGTGTAACGATTGGTGGAGAAGCCTGAAGGCGCCAAGTTCAACACACGACACGACAGGAAAGACATTCATGGATGTAGTGAGTGAAACATGATCCGATCCGGATTTGTCGAGCCGACTGTGGGGGATCGGGTCAAGACAACTGCTAGCCAGAAGTGGGCACTCGATCATCCCCTCCATCGGTCTGTGGGGCGGCGAGATATGAAATGGGGCTGGCTGTGGATTTCCCGGACAATACGGCCTCTCCGCGTCCGTGTCTTCTCCCTCTCACATATCAACGACGCCCATAATACTCCCGCGGTCGGCCGGCCGGAAGTGATCGCGGTATGGATTGGATAAATCCCGCCCGGCGTCCCATCACATCCAGGAAGCTCGCAGAAAATAAAGAGAGGAAGTATCTACATAAGTACATATCTGCATAGCAAAACAATGGGGAATCGGTAGCGTGAGAGAATGCACGACTGTGTGTGTGTCACGATTCGTGCGGAGAATACCGGTGGCTTGTAGCCACGTTAGCTAGTGACGAAGTGGCGGTCGACTCGTTCTCCACAAACATTCCCCCCCCGAAAGAGGGGCCGCGAGCCTAATAGTCGGCCGCGAAACAGCATATGTGGAGTATTTAAATAATCAGCTGATTTCGTTCCAGTGGTCGGACCTTCTCCCTCCACTTTTTTTTGCACCGCCGAGAAGCTTGCTTGAATTGAAGCCCAGTTGTTGTTTTTTCTCAGCTCTAGGTACTCTACTCTTCACCGATGCCGCGCACGAACGAACGCATGAAACGTGAGTGCGGTGAGCGATGCGTTTGACGGAACGTCGGCGCGTACCAGCGGCGCTGCCTGTGGTGAGGTAGGGTGGGGCGGCCGTTGGTGGGGCGGCCGCTGGTGGGACGGCCGCGGGGCTAGCTGGGCTAAATAGCCGGGCCCGGGCTGTCAGGATGAGCTTACATAGAGTTCATATGCTACCGGTAGAGTTAGCGACGGTGGGAATCTGGATGGATTCTGTTCTGGAAGAGATGGGGAATTTTTTACGAGCAGTAGCTCGTGCAGTAGTAAACTGATTAACGCACAGGGCCTGCAGAGGATCGAGGGGATGGAGCGAAGGAGTGAAAGAGTTCCCTCGGGATACAACCGATGAACAACCTAACTACATTCTCAATTAGTATGCTGGCCGGTGAATCTGGCAGCAGTCAGGGGTTGGAAGGTTAGCCAACAAGAGGGGACTCTAAAGACGTGAGAGGGTGAGAGCAGCAAGCGGGGATCTCCCCGCCAGGTAGATGAATATAGTAGTGAACAATGTCCCTGTACCCTGAAAGGATGCTGAGGAAAACCGACTTCACCTTTTTGCATTTCACCTCAGACGGCTCCGATCAACGGATCAGCAGGTTCTACTCTACTCGAGTAGAGTTTAGTGAACACAGTCTCGGTCTCCTCTCCGCCGACCAGAATCCGTGCATTCTCAATCGAAGATCCCGAATATGGTAGATCAGTAGTACCGGTATCATATTTAGGGCGCCTAAGTGAACGTTGAATGTTGATCTTCGCAGCGCCTACGCCAGGTGTCAGTGAGGCCGAGCATCTCCCCGTGCAGCTGTGAGATGCGCCGGGATCATCACGACTCTTAAGGTTTGATCTCTACGGTTTCACTTTGCACGACACATACCTACACACACACACCACATGTAGCTGTTGCGAAGAGACGGTGGGAGGAGAACCTGAGAGAGGGTGTACGGTCATATATTAGAGTTATTATTTTCAAATCGTTCTGGGACGCTGTGAAACAGTGAAACTGTCGTCGGCGCATGGCCACAACTCCGGATTTCCGGTTCATGTGGACAGCGACAGTGACAGTGTATAGTATCATAGTAAACGACTTGCCGTTCCCGTCCAGTCGTGCGAAAAGTGTGCAGACGTCTACCGCCAAAGAGCCGAGCGGATCCCGCTCGGGGAGAATAATTACTAAATAGATGAATCCAATCTGGATGACGCGGAATCGTGAATGGTTCATGCCCGGGTGCGGCGTCGAGACGGGAAGTCGAAGTGAGAACGGAAAACTCGGAATCATGCAATAAATATAATGTAGAGTACCTGTTTCGCCACGGCTGCTATGGTAAATGCTGATCGGATGTATGTGCGTAGCTTGTGAAGTTGTTCGCCCAGTCGGCATAACGCATGAAACAATTATTCACGCGCGTGTACGGAGGATTGCCACGTGTGCGGTATCCCATCCCATCCGATACAATGAATCGTAATCGGAAGTCGGGAATACGGAGTACGGTTTAATGGAAGCTGGTGTCTCCAGCTGTTGGTGTAGCTGGGGCGAGACATCATCATCGAAAATGGAGCCAGTAATGTTGGGGTTCCCTCGAGTCGCCTAAAACATTCCCTAGTGGTTAGTGATGTCTCATTCGCTAACGTCGGCGTCTACGACGCCCACAGTTGGAGACACAGACACCCACACGCGCGCAACATCCGCCAGTGTTCTCGAGGAAGCAAAACGGAAGACGAAAGACGCCGCACTGTTGCAGTATTGTCACTGCAGGAGTAAAAGTCCCAATTGCAGATGTTAAGTATTGGACATGTTGACAGCTTACGCCGGCAGAGCTGGCGAAATCCCGGAACGGTCCGAAGAAGAAAGCCAGCCTTCCAAGTTCCCACTCGCCGGTTTGGGAGCTTTGAAGGAACTCACGGAAACGTTCCGTGCTTCGGCAGGCAGGTTACTAGACTCTAGAGTACTAACTAGTAGTCAACTGCCGGTGAAGAGAACCCGGGGTCTGGGTTTATGTAGGTACAAATGAGCAGTACATAGACGAAGGTGCATTGGCAGGAGTCGTGCCCAATCAGCACTAACAAAGCAGGTACATAGGCGGCGGCAGCATGAGGCCACTCCATCTATGTACATAACGCCCAGATTCCAATTGTCAATCCAAATCCAATTCAGGTACCGATCGGTATCCTTGGACTTTATTCTTTGCCTTACTTATACGCATCGATACCTAAGTTCGGTATGTCTCAACACTGGCCGCGGCTTGCCTATCCCATACCCGGCCCGAGGAGGACAGAACAGAACAGCCTCTCCCATTCCGACCGGCGTTCCGAAGGGCATGGGCTTAACGTAGAAACCCCGCCTGTCGAGTCCACGGGGCGTGAGGGATAACTAGTAAATGACATAGCAGGTACCGGTATTTACTCCTGAACCGCACATGCGCCGAGTCTGCGGTTCACGTGCGGATCCGGCGCCGCCGTAGTAAAGGGCGTGTATAATTCACTCACTGCTCTCACACGAAAAGGCGCTAACTGGGCTATCTGGTAGGTAACAAGTACAGTAGCCGCGTTTCAATCATGCACGGGCCCGCGACGAGCACGCATTGCAGATCCCGGCTCGATAATTAATAACCATTGCCATGGGCGGGGTTTTATATCAATATCATGGATCAATCAATCAATCAGTCAGTCAATCAATCTATCTCGGGGAATCAGTCCGAATCGAGCCATTAAACGGTTCGTATTTATGCTATGCTATCGTATCGTATCGTATCGCAGGAAATGACGAATCCACAAGCCACCACTAAATAAATAAAAAATACGGAAATAAAACATGGTAATAGGACAAATAAATAGATGGATAGCCGAAAAATAATATCCCCACTCATCCGAAACGTCTAATGCCATCCCCCATGCACTGCCACTACGCCCCAAAACTTAAATTTACTGGTAAGTGTAGCAGAGCTCGCCGTTGCGAATGTTCATCACTTTCTTGATCTCGACTCCGCTCTTGTACGCAAACTTCATGTCCAGGATGTCCGTGAGCGCGACGGGGCCGGAGTCGGGGTGGAACGGGATCCGGACTCCGCCGATCTCGGACAGGCGCACAGTCGGGTTCATCATCTGCCACTCCCAGTAGAGCTTGTCGAGGAAGGCGTGGTGGAGGTAGAAGATTGGTTCTGTTCCACGGGGGTTAGTTCGTATTCACCTAGAGATTCGCAGGGAGTGGGGGGGTTGTGGAAATACATACCAGTGCTACTGGAGATGAAATCCGTCGAGTCACCGCCGTGGATGTAGTGACCGGAGCCGTGGAACAGCTGAATGCCGTCTGCGGGGTTCATGTCCTGGGCACCCTGCACGGCGGCATCGTAGGAGAGGAAATCCGCCTTCGCCTGGGCGATTGCGACACGGGCGCTGGTCAACCACGGGATAGTATCTGGGTTCAAGCCGCGGCGGAGGCAGTGGGGGTTATGCGTGAGCGTCGAGCCGGGACCGACGTTCATGACGGTGTCCTTGAACGGGCCGTCGTTGACGCAGCCGCCGCCGGTCTGTCCGGCCAGGTACGGCCACGACGCGGTCACGTTCTGCTCCAAAACGAAGTCACCGTTGCCGCCGAACCCGTGGGATGGATTGTAGATTTCCCACTCCGCCATGGGCACGCCGCTGTCGGCGTCGATCCTCCAGTCCCAGTATGGCTGGGCGCCCGTGTAACCGCATTCATCGCGCAGAGCGGTCTCGTAAGACCACGTGAAGAGTCTGGTACACAAGATGTATTGTCAGCATCGGGGACGGTGCTGTTCGGTATATGGAGGGAGGGGGACTGTATTATACCTGTGCCACGCGAGGAAGAATCCGACCATGTGAACACCGCCGGTTCCTTGGACGAGACCATCAGAGCTCATGATGTGAACCGCATTGAAGTCGTCAAATCGGGATACCACGCCGAGGGTCAAGTTCGCCGGTGCTTTGGAAGGTTTCTTGGTCATGCAGACCACCGCGTTCAGGTACTGCTTGCGCTCGCTGATGGAAAGACTCCGCCTTTAGAAGTGGGGGAAATCAGTCAATAATCCGGGAAAGGGCCGATTCGTAGCAGAAACTCACCATTCCTTTCGTACTCTAGGGTTCTTGCACACCGCCGAGCAGCTCTTGGCTGTGGTTGTCTCCGCAGCCGGTGTAGGAACGGCGGTGGCAAGACCGGCCAAGACGGCCACGATTGTGAGGAAACGCATGCTGGGTTCAAATAGGTAATAATAGAGCGGTTTTATGTGACGATTCTATCGAGAAGGACGAGAAGTCTTTGGTTTAATGAACGTGGATGGGCAGGCAACAGATTGTAAAAGGGGACAAAGAAAGCAGGTCCTTTAAAACGTGAATTGCTGGCCGGTGGAGGATAAGAACGAGTTGCATGGTGGGGGATAGAAGCTGTCTTTTAACAGGACTGTACAACAGACAATCACTGCGAGGCTCGATGCCAGGGGAGATGCCAACATAGGGGGTGCCATCCCTAATTGGCATTCAGAACACACTAGGTGGAGCAATTAAGATGACCGTGGGCTTCTTTGACCGGATGGCCAAATATTCCGGAAATACTTCTTACGGAGTCAACGAAACTTACGACACCAGCAGCAGCACTAGGCGTTCGCTCAGATAAACCCACTTCCGTGCCGCTTGATCACTACTTCCCGCGGGAGGGCGTATGTACTAACTAGTCCCCTTTCCCCTCACACTCTGACAATTCTTGGGCGAACAGGCTGGGGTATGATAGTTAAACGTCTACCTTTTAGTAGCCATTGTCTCTAGATACACTTTCGCATCCTGCTCGCTTGCAATCGGATCGAAGCTATGTTAGCCGGTTGCAATATCGCCCAGCTGCGGCTAGAGCTCCTGCTGAACGCGGTTAACCCGTCTAACTCACCCGGGCCCTTTTGAGGTTTACAATCCGACCGCCTGCCAGACAGTAGTATCCATGATGCTCCTCCGACTGACCATGCGATCTCCTCAAGAATAAAGTGGCTGGTATAATCATATGTCCTCTAGACCGAGAGGGGGTACTTGCATAGGTTTACGAGGAGCCGGCCGGGATGATGGACTTGCAGGCCAGGAGCACTACGCATGATTGCCGCTAAACTGAATGCCGCGGCCATGGAACAAATCGAAGGATCCATGGATATATTTTTTCGTTCCCCACATACTCAACCAGGTACGGTGCAGCAGAAACCCCAGAAGACCGACCCCAGTCACCTTTACTAGTAGTCGGATTGTTCGAGTGGTGGCTTAGGGCATAGCGACACGACGATGTGATCGGGGGGTGAGACGTCGCAATATTATGCGCATTCAGGAGACACCGGCAATGGATATGCAGCTCTGTAGAAGGCAATTTGCTCTTCTCCAAATTCTGCACGAAAATTCTCAACGGGGAGCCCTGTGGAAAAGCTCACTTGCTATTGCGTCACGGGTTGGGAATAAAAATCGATTAAGATTCCGTAATGGGCTTAGGGCCATGGCGGATATTCCCCAGTAGGCAGGCAGCGAAAATCCGGGTGATTGACGTCGGTTAATACGCCGGCGCCGCCCCTTCACTCTATTTTGACTGCTGCTTTACACCATCCGGAGAACCCAAGCAAACTACTAGTCCTTCCGGTAGACTCAGCCCTTCTACCCCGTTCACGATTGTCTCGGTCAGAAGTCTCCCAACGATAGTATGGACAAGTCACGACTCCGTACATGCCAATTTCTCATTTCCTTCGAACTGCGGATGTTCCGACAGCTCGAGACAGGTTTCTGGACATGCGGCAAGCAGAAACGCGGAAGTACATCCATCCCTTGGAGATACTTGATGAATGCAGTCGGGATCTGACTCTAAAATGTGGGCAGGCCCGTCGGCACTCTGCAACCCCACGTACGATTTCGTTGGAAGACAAGGAATGCTCCGAAAGGGAAGCCAATAATTATCGATCAACCAGGGTTCGTTCTTGTCTAGGTATTTGGCTTCTACGACCGCCCATTGGAGCGCCAATTGCAGAACCCATCTCACGAGAGAACGATTCGATCGTGGAGAAACAAAGCTTGCCCTTTGACGAGAACCAATAGACCCCGGGGCCCCTCCAGTTACCCCGGGCAAGCCGACTGTTGAGACCAACACGCGACCGTATGAACAATACAATACAGTAGTCTCGTCCCATCGCAGGTCGAATAAACGTTTCGCACCCTGAAATCTCCCGAACGCATACACTTCCTCCTTCACATCTTCATACATGTGCGCTGTGCATTCACATGTGCATGCAAGTTACCAATACCTCTCACAGGTGCCGACTTCCGAGCTCAATCAATATCTTTCGCCACACTGCTGCGCCGCTGTGTCGCATCAATAGAGTACAATCTATAGGTAAGTACGTATTGATATTGATATTTATCTCTACATGGCGTGACTATATTCCTAGCCAGCTCGCTGAACCTTGTGGAGTCCAAAGTGTCGGTGCGGAATCGGCACGTTCCGCAGAGCACACACCGCAAGTCGGTATGATAATTCATGTCTCGGCCACGACGAGTGGGGGGGGGAGACGGCTGGGACTGACTCCCGCGGGTGGGCGGGGGGGCAAGTGTCAGCAAGCGAGCCGGCGGCCGTTGGTCGCGTGGGCGCGCGCGGCGCCAGTCTTTCTTCAATTGCGGGAATTAGGTGTCGTATCCCGGTCTGTGGCAGAAGGAGCAGGCGGGAAATACCCAAGGCATGGACGCATAATCTTTGTTGCCGCAACGTTCAGTTGGTCGTGGGTTCGGGTCCCATATACCCGAATAGCCGATTCGAAGACCCGGACATATGTACGGCGGGAGAAAGGCGAGAGTGTCGCCCGTCGCCGGTAAACGCAGACGGTCGGCTGGATGGAAACACTACAGTCGCATCGAGGTCCAGGGCGTACGTATGGTTCGTCTGCGTCCAGAATGTATGTAGGTACCACCGGAGGATACCCCACCCCCATGTGCTGACATGTTTGCGCATATGCTCGGGTCGCCGCCGATGTCGAGGCTGTGAGAGCAAAAGGAATAAAGGTATGTACAGTGACACCGGCAGTGACAGTACCTGCATGCGTTCCGGATTCGTAGGTATTCACGCGAATCGGAAGCTGTGAAACCTCACGGCCCAGACCCCACGACAGGATGGACGCATACACGCACTCCAACTCTTGCAAGTCCCGTATGTACCAATTAATTTCCACCTGTCCAATATCAGCAACTGCGCGGCGTAGATTCACGAATGAATACGGCCCGCTACCACATCTTCATTCGCACCTCGTTTCCAGAGAAGTGGGTCCTGTCGCTGTTACGGGTCGGACAGCTGCCGAGACCCAATGGCAGCCAGATCGTGATGCCCGGCATCGGAATTATCGGCCGCTCCGCCTTCCTGTGTGACTTTCCATGATGGAACGTAACAACAATTTCATCCCCACGACCAAGGTGCTACTAGAACCTCCAGCACCAAACTCAGGACTTTCTCGAGCCCCCTCCCCCCCCCACCGCGGGCTTGAATGCACATTTCCCAACAGCTTCTGGGAGTCCTTAGCGATCGTGATGGCGCTGGTACGAAATCGGTTTCCTCGTCTCTGAGACCCGGTGAGGAGTCAGCACCAGCTGGCGAATACTCCGACGAATCCTCACTCCCCGAAGAACGATCGTTAGCCTGGCGATACCCCCACCCAACCACCTTCCTACCACCAAAAAAGCCCCCATACCACGCGAGATGACTGGTAAAACAGGTTACCGTGATAGGTATCGATGGCCACCGGTACCGGTAGATTATCCAGGTGGGACCGCAACGTGGAATACGTGGGCCTTCGACGCAACTGCGCTGTCGGGGGCCGTAAACCCAGGCCCGAAAGTATGGTCCGATGCATCGTGAAAGCTCAGTCGTCTAGAGTGGCGGGGGTTCTGTCCACTTGCAGGTAATCCATTCGGTTCTTTGTTCGTAAATGGTACCGTGCCCGCATGCAAAATTTCCTGGTCGACAAAGGTAGTGATGAGCTATGTCGCATCCATCGGACACATGCCCGCGCTAAACCTATTCCATCAACATTCACCTGCCCCAATAATTCTCCTGCCAAGTCTCAGTCCCTGGCCCATCCACATGCCATCCATCAACTACGCGGGCAAAGTCGCAGCCTGCAGGTGTCCAATCCGAGTGCCGAACCGTGAAGGTAACCGAGTCGCGTCGCGTCGCGTCGTAGCGTCATTTCTCAAACATCGCCACAAAACCGACAAGTCTTTTCTGTTCAATTCCAGTCGTAAAGTAGTTCTCAATTATGAAGCAGTAGGAGAACATATCTGAGGTGGGGAATTTTCGACTATGTATGATGTATTCGCGTGTGGGGTAGAAACTCCAATGTGGGGTAGGTATGACTTAGGTACGTTTTCTGGTATGATTCCTAGGTGGGGCACTTATCCCGGATAACGCGGCCGCAAATGCGGCAACGAAAACTCTGGAGTTCCGCAGCGACTGAAGCGTCAGCTCAGCGTCCGTGTCGCGCATATTCTAGGTAGACGGCTTTCTGGTCGCGTTTAATGTGGGGTTGATTTCATTGTGTGTTGACCCCACTATGTGCGTAAGTGGCATGTACCGTACGCTGAAGAGTCGCGCGGTTCAAGATATCGCGGCGACCACGTTGGGGATGAAGACGGATCTGACGCGCACGAGCGAAGCAGCTTTATTCTTCCCTCTCGAAACTATTTTTTCGGATTTTCAACGAGTGAACTGCTTCAAGTCTAACCGGAGAATATAATACAATAGTCCTCGGAACGACTGTTTGGACTCAATAACCAAAGGACTCGATCCCCCCACTATGCGTAGCATTCCCTTCTTCCTTGTCCCGTTCACAATCGCTCCTTATTATCACTTATAATCATGGGACGTCCGTCCTTATACGTAGCTAGGTTCAGTAGGTCCCCAATGATGCGCCGCAAATGGCAATCGATATGATTCACCAACATGCACTCGGATGCCTACCATCTGATAGTTCTCCACGAAGTTCGTGGTAGCGAGCGACCAGTGGATATGGAACTTTGGAGTGTATGATGAGTCTTAAATACTGAGGGAAGTGGCATGGAATCATGATAGATATGAAATTGCTGTTTTACGCAATGTCGAATCTCGTTGGCTTGACTTGCTTCTGTTGCAACTACACCGCAGAAAATGCAGATACTTATCTACTTGGAGTAAATGTTCACAGTCGCGTGACTGCGTACGCACAAATGAGTGCAGTGTCTAGAAGATTTTTGGCGAGTCCACAGCTTTAAACCACTATGGAATAAATGAACGATACGATGGCAGCCACAGTCGAGTGACATATGAAGAAACAGCCATACGAAGCACGCATTCATAGTAACTCACTCGCGACATCGGCGGGTGATTTTATGTGAAGAGGTGGTTTTAAAAGCCGAGAACATGTATTCCAACATAGGAGACCATTAGTGATGGGATGATGGTACCTTCACATACAGTCGGCAACCTAAATGACGTCTTCGTTCCACCTACATACCTACTTCCACTCGCACGCCGCCGTGAACGCGCATCACTTCGCGAGCGACGACGACTGAGACTTCGCGAACCCTCTTAAGCTAAAGTTACAGTTCACGTTACGGACGAGAACAACAAAAACAAAGGAGTATAACTTGGTCTATTACCGGCCCAAGCTATACGCGCATAACATGGCCTACTAAACCCCCATGTTATAGGTACGCGGAGGTCTTCTTTCTTTCAAAGTTGAAAAGCCTTTCCTCTTGGCCATGCATGTGAGGTATTCATAGCCATAGGTCAAGTGTTGTTGCTCTGGCCGCTGTGTGAGAGAACGACATTGCCTTTGTGCGCGGCGAGCACCTGCAGTGGGCACTGGGCGGTTTGAACTTTGAAGAGCCGAACCAGTGACACGTTCGGCGCGCGAGGTGATTAACCCGTCTCCAGCGATCAGCGGGTCAAATTTTCTCGCTCGATCCATCTGATGAGCATGTTTTGGTGCGGTTCTAGCGGCCTGGCGACACTTCCACCCCGTCACCAACGATTTGCGTCACGTTTTCTCGATCGTTCCAAGTGACGAGCAAGTTTTGGTGGGGTCTAGCCGTCTGGCGGCGGCGAAACTGAATGTAAACTAGCCGCCCCAAACCACCTATAAAACCACCCGCCATCTGATCCTCCTTCTCTCCTTCTCTTTACAACCATCACAGCTTCCTTTCCTCCTCGGCTATTCATCTTTTCTTCCTTCCTTCCCACCCTCCATCGATCATTCCTTTCCAGCCTCCTTACCTCCTTCCTTTCCCCCCACCCGCCCACCCATCCACCCTCCTTCCTTCCACCTAAGCCCGAGCTCAATCGTCAAGGTACGTCGTTCTCTCTCCCCCCAACTTTATACTTCCAGGATAACCTTACAGAGCTATCCTGCTCAGCCGCAGCAGCGAGGAACTGAGGGATCCGTGCAACTGGTTACAAAGCACACTGTTGCAAGAGACGGATCCAACCCTCCAGGCTTAGCAGAAAAGATCTACGGACGGGGTTTTCTCTTGTGCTGCCGGCACAAATTCTTTCCCCCTTCCTCCGGGAGTTCACGTCGGTCAAGACTCGACTTGCCGACTTGCTCCCGGTGGATGGCCTCGCCGACACCGGGTGACAGCCGGTCTCGTGACGAGGAAGAAAAAAATAAGAAGTATAACTTGGTTACCATTCCCCCAAGTTATATGCGGAGGTTTTCTTCCTTTGCTGTGAGTCTGTGACAGCAAAGGTCTTTCCTCCTGGCCATGCATGTCATGTGTGAGAGACATGCCACATGCATGGCCAAGGCCCACCTCTCCGAAACCGGGCGACGGACGGTTTTGGATGAGATCAAATAACCAAAGAAGTATAATTTGGCCTACTACCCCCCCATGTTATACGTGGAGGTTTTCTTCCTTTCAAAGTTGACAGGTCTTGCCTCTGGCCATGCATGCAGGTCAGGCATGCATGTGCCATCGGCCAAATGTTGTTCCTCTGGCCGCCGCGCGAGAGAACGACATTGACTGAGTTCGCGGGTTGGTTGCTGCTAGGCGCGGTAGCACTGGGCGTACGAAGTGGCAAATCTGCGTACTCGACGGAGAACTAAATCTTCTCCGAAAGTTTGCGATCATTCTGCGTCGAGTACGGTGTATCGGCTTAATTGACTGCACTCTCGATCCACGGCTACTTCCCTTGTCCCTGGTTCATAGTCGGTGTGGCGGAGCGATGGGAGAGCTGTCGGTGACAGGAGGGAGGAAATGAATTTGGTATCCCATCGATCGCATTGCCGTGGAGTTTCGAATTCAGCTCAGAAATTGCCACTCATCCACCCACTCGGTCCCACCACCAGCATCCCAGATTAGGCTGTGACTAGATGGAATCGGTCTCCAGGTTCTAAGAAAGCGTTTAACGCATTGTATTGTGGTTCTGATGGTTCAAGACACACTTTCCACTAGAAGTGCAAATTCCCGTGATTTTCACATATTTCCACGACCATTCGGCATCTATCCTATATCTACAAATATATCCCTCAAGGAATATCCGCCTCCAACCTAGAAATACGAAGCCTCGACGAGGAAGCCGATCGTGAACTAAGTTATGATTAGCGATAGCCGAACCCGGCGACACAATTTATGGAATCGCTCACCTTCACATGCTGAAGAATGTGAGCAAAGTTCAGGGTGGCATAGGTATCCTGAGCCGAGTGAATGTAGGGCGAAGCGTCCTGCATGTTCTCATCGCACACGTAGGCAGCCGGGAATCCCGCCGAGTTGGCCGATCCGCTATTCACCGATCAGTGCCACTCGCATCAATTGTCGCTCGATTGCGAACTCACTGGTCGCTACATGCGTATCCGCACTGGTCGGTGACGAGCGGTAACTGGGTGTACACGGGGACGAGGGTTTTTAGGAAGTTCGTGAGAGGCGTGCTGACGAAGTCGGTGTAGATCGCGATAACATTGTTGGGACTATAGCCAGTCATGTCCTATCCACCCCACCCATCAGCAACTAGTTTCCCGTTCCACGCAGGACGAAAAGAAATCTTACCTGATTCATAATCGCAAGAACGTCGACGTTGTTTTTGACATAATTATTCATGATGTCCCGCGAACCCAACAACCCGCCTTCTTCGCCGCTGTAGAAGTGGAATTCCAACGTATTGAAGGGCTTATACTTGGCGGTAGCGAGAACCCGAAGGGCTTCTAGAATGGTGACAATCCCGGAAGCATTATCATCTGCTCCTGGAGCTCTACCACTGATGGTACTGCCGATGGAGTCAAAGTGTGCGGAAACGACCACTTTGGATGAAACCGGTTAGCGTACCATCCAGTTGCATGGGCAGGAAAACACGTACCGACGGAGCCAGATGTTCCAGAAATCTTCGCAATCACGGATGGCTGCGAGTAGCTGTGGGTGAATTTCGAGACAGTGATCAGAGGATTGCTGGCGGCGACGCTGACGACGGTGTTGTACATCCACGTTCCGGCCTGTGTTCCATAGGTGGATTTGTAGTACCGATTGTAGTAGCTACAAGTTGTGTCAGTGCGGCGCATCTTCGCTAAAGAATCACCTGGCCGAGCTTTACTTTGTTAAGGTCGTCGCCCAACTCTGCAAGTTTTTTGTCGACAACGCGGAAATCAACGGAGCTGCCACACTCTGGTGAGTAGGACCTGACGGAAAGCTATTCTGTCGCTTCCCGATCTTCCTTGCAGCACCGAGCTCTTCCAGTTCCTGACACATGTAAGCACATATGGCGGAAGGCGGAATTAACCAGTGAACCTACCCAAGTCTCGGTGATGTCGACAAAGTGAATGTGTTTCGAGATGAACTTATCGAACTTCTCGTCCTCGGTCACCCAAGTTCCGGCGTCATCCTCAGATATCTTAACCAGTCGCATGTTCTTCTCTGGAGGCGTAGGGCGAGACGGGCTGGCCGCAACAATGCTGGCGAGTGCCAGCAACGGGAAGATGTTCTTGACGAGCATGGTGACGGAGAAAGCGAGGGATATGTAGTTTCAATGAATGTCGAACGACCGATGATCAATGAAGACCACACGGATTCCTTCCCATCTTATTGAAACCGAATTGCGGGCACCTTATCTTACCGAACATCATGTATATTCGAATCGTTTGGTCTATACCGCGGCGCCGAATCATCTGGGGAAGCGTTGTTGTGACACTGTATCCGGGACCTTCCAACGGTAATTAGCCATACCTGACAGGGAATTAATCCCCGGCGCTATGCCTTCCACGCAGTTCTCCATCTCAGTTCAGTTTAGCAAGCTGCCCCACCGTTAAACCCCTGTAGATAGTTATCTGTGTGTCGATCTCCCGACTTCCTCATGTGGGGAATACTTCGAGATTGATATCGGATATCGGCGACGTGCTCTGATGTCGGCCATCGAGTCAGGGATCACGATCCTTAGTACATGACAAGCTTCCTGATGGCGGAAACATATAAAACGGTTGGGGTGGCGTAGGCAATCTCGTGCCTTGCATGGCAGGGACAGCGAAATGACTTGTGCCCAATCGAAGAGAGTTCAACGAATGTCTTGGGTCGTGTAGCAATATGAGAAACGACGGTATGGAAAAGGGAGTCTGGTTCTAGAAATGGAACTTATCCCAACACTCCGATAAAATGCCCGAGAAGCGATGGAGGAGGAGTAAACGCCGCGCCGGGGGGCTCCGCCCTACATACTTCAATCGTCGTCAGGTACATGACCGGCAATGCGTGACGGCGCAGCTGGAGCCTGGAGGAATAGGAAACGAGCGGAGAATCGCAAATAGGGAAGCTAAGCTGCAGGAATTACCGAATTATCCCCATCCCATGCGTCCGACAGAGTGGTTGTAATTGATCGACATCGTTTGAGCAACCGTCCTTTTATGTTCTGCTGGCCCGGCGATCGTGCCGATCCCTAGGCATTTGAAAACCCCTTCGGAGGTTCCGCCACTACCCATACTGTTACCCCGTTGAACACTGGTCGAATTCTGAGATGTTACCTATGTTGACAATCAACTTGTCGGTTAGCTTTTATCGTCATCAATATGATACAACTAGAACGGTCTCTCGAGACCTCGAGTCTCGGCCCCTTAGTTGTGAATGTGGAAATCTCATTCCGTCATGCGCAGTGCTTGCAAGTTGCCATCGATCGGGTTGATTGCACGGCGGAGGTAAATTTTAAGTCGACCAATAAGAGTGCCGGACGATGTAGTTATTGGGGCACGGAGTCGGAGGAGGGCTGATGCTCGACAGATGATTGGGCTTGGAGATGTCAAGGAACTCCGTCCATGCAAAGGCATCGAGCCGGGGTCCATAACTACCGCCGTAGTCTTGATTGAGCAGCTGCTGACATTCTGATGAATCAGACACGGTTACGTAATTGCGTGGAAACCTGGACACGCTAAGATACTTAGCCAAAGGGCTTCAGCCTTCGTCGCCACAGAAGCTCGACGAGAAACTGTCCCAACCGCAAATAAACAGCTTTTATTCCGATACACCACAAAACAATCACTTTCCTACGTGCCGCTTACCTATGCGCGCCAAATATGAGTCCTCTCCAGGCCGCCGCCGAGAAGATACCTATGTCAGCTCAGCGCAGTCGCGTCTAGCTATCACATCCGGACCGTCTTCGGCTTCGTTTCGGACAGGACAGTGACAACAGGGCAATGGCGGCCAGCTTGGGCACTGGCAGCTCAGCTCACAGTCGGCTTTTCAGGGTGTCAGCTGCCTACGAACCCTTCACCGAGCTGCCTGACCAACCCCCCTAGCGAACACGGCACCGTGCTGCCTGGCGAACCCGCCGCCGAACCTCAGAAAGGGTTGCTCGTGTATTTATTCGAGATTGTTAAAATTAAGCTATCCCAAGTTGCTAATAGGGAACACGCTGCATTCCTGAGGGCTACTGAAGACCACCGAAGCCGCGACTGAAGCCGCGAGCGAAGTGACAAAATCCCGAGCTATACTCTTATTTTGTCGTTTTACCCGTATGCGAAGGTTGGCTGCTGATGCGCGGGCTGAAAGCCGCACAGCCTACTTAGCTCTCCATCTCCCTGCAGGACCGGCTTCGCTGGTTCATCACTCGTCATTCGGTTTTTCTCGCACCTGTTGTGCCGTGGTTGACGTCGGACGACTAGCAACCAGGGACACGCCGGAAAGTAGCCGGGAATCAAGAGGGGGGGGGAGCACGTACCTCAAAGAGTAGACCTCGGAGTCGATATCGGCCCGTGAGAACTAATTATAAGTCAGTAGCATGAATCAACAAGCAGTGTCTGGTTACCGGCCTCCCATCTCCTCCTCCATCTTTGTAGATTCCTCTTCCTCCTCGGAAGCAGACTCATCTCCTCCTCCTTTCCATCCTTTTTCCCTAGCCGATCAGAAGGTGTGGGATGGCGCGATTTGGAAGTTCGCGGATGGGATTCTGGCTATAGAGTACATAGAACCTCGTTATTGCCTCTGAGAAGGCGAGGAGGTTGGTCTTCTTTGGGACGGTAGATACTATCACCGACTAGGAGCACGTCTTTGATGAGGCGAAGAAGGCGAAGTTGCTGCCGAAGGCTTGATGACGTGGTGGAATGGAATACGCGAATGCGCATTTGTTGCTTCAAATAAATCACGATATATCGCTCGGATTGCAGGTGCCGACGTTTCGAATGAAACTTTATTTCTCCATCCCATATCATCACACTACTAGTATAGCAGGGAGTGGTTGCATAAGTCGAGTGCATCCAAGACCATCTCAATACGCACTCTGATGTCTGCGATGCCATTCCCTCGTCCTTTCCTCCATGGTATCGTATCAGGGAGTTGCGCGAGTTGTGTTGTTTCAAATAGATTTGCGTTTTCGTCGTTATGGGTTTGGTCAGGACTTGTGGCTTGTGAGATCCTCGATGTGGCCGTCCGAGAGAGAGAGATCTTCCTGTTTTATTTCGCATGCGGCCTATCTAGACTATGGCGAAAATGTGGCCGTTCGTTCGAGACGTAGTTAGCAACTCGTTCGAAACGACGCCGAGTGACTCTGATAAAAAGGTTTTATCGTACGCCACGACCACCACCACCACCACAACGTCGATTAGTGTCGTCGAAATACTCGGTAGAATGAGGCGAGCACTGCAGCAGCCCCAACTCCAACCGTTGCCTCATGTTCAAGTATGTAGGTACTGGTGTATGAAAAGCTCCTCGGGAGAGAGAGAACCAGTACAGCAGCAAAGAGTTAGATGTAAATCGGTCCCGTTTTCTTTATGAGAATGAGAGGTCACTAGTCTAAAGGCGAATGATGGATGGCCTGGAGAAGGCTGCTGTTTGGGCTAGGTGTGGCGGAGGTGAGGCAGAGGTGAGTCGGTTTGACGGGGGTGCACGGGGAAGCTTTATGTATTCGCACTCGGCATGAATGAATATACGATAAAAAAAAGAGAAAATTAGCGAGGGAATGGTGATACTTACTTCAATCTGAATAGCGATAGACCGGCAAGGGATCTCAGAAGGCCATCCATCATCCCTCGAAACATGGGGAAAGGGAAAATATGGCGCTGAGGGCTTCCGAGATGGATAGGGAGAGGAGGTTGAGATGAATAGGCGGGGACGTGTGAAAAGCGGTTCTTTGATGTTTTCTTCGTGGGTACGAACTCTGTCATCCGTTTTACCCAGACGGAGGGCATGGGAGACGAGGTTGTCGCTAATGACCATACTAGTAGGTTGTCTAGATTTGCTGTATGCGAGTGATATTAAACACAAAACGACAGCATCAACGGGAGCAGCGACCGAGATCGAGATGGAAACCGCACCGTCCTCAACGCCGAAAGATGCGCCAGCTGTCGGGGAAGATATAGTACTCCAGCGAGCATGCACGCTTGCCACACCCCGTACGCCCACTGCTACCCCGCCTCAAAACAACTCGCGCACCAAGTCAAATGTTCTTCTCTCGCACAGCGGCCAGAGGAACAACATTTGGCCAATGGCACATGCATCTCACTCATGCAAGGCCAGGAGGTAAAACCTTTGCTCTGAAAGGAAGACGACCTCCGCGTATAACATGGGGGGATAGGTAGTAAACCACGTTATACGCGTATAACTTGGGGCGGTAGTAGACCAAGTTATACTTCTTTAGTTATTTATTTGCTCGTCCGAAACCGTCTGTAGCCCAGTTTCGGAGGCATGGGCCGTGGGCCACGCATGTGGCATGTCTGTCACACATGACATACATGGCCAGGAGGAAAGACCTTTGCTCTCTCACAGCAAAGGAAGAAAACCTCCGCGTATAACCTGGGGGGATAGTAAACCAGGTTATACGCGTATAACTCGGAAGTTATACTTTCTTTGTTTTTTTTTTCCTCGTCAACACGAAACCGTCTGTCACCCGGTTCCGGAGAGGCCATCCACCGGGAGCAAGTCGGCTCTCACCCGACTTGGACTCCCGGAGGAAGGGGGAAAGAACTTCGCCGGCAGCAGAAGAGAAAACCCCGTCCGTAGATCTTTTCTACTCAGCCGCGAGGGTTGGATCTGTCTCTTGCAACAGTCTATGTAGACCGGTTACACGGATCCCTCGGTTCTTCGCTGCTACGGCTGAGCAGGATAGCTCTGTAAGGTTATCCTGGAAGTCAAAAGTGGGGTGAGAGAAGGACTTACCTCCAGGTTTGAGCTCGAGCCTAGGTGGAAGGAAGGAAGGAAGGAAGGTAGCATTACTGCCAGTATCCCTATCGTTGGTGGCGGACCGTGGAAAACAATTAAACTAATCTAGGTCAGTAGCATGAATCACCAATTAATGTCGGACGGGAAAGAAGGAGAAGACGTTTATGAATGGAGAGAGGAAGGAGAAAGGGAGGAAGAGTTCGGAGGAAAGGTGGGTTTTATAGGAGTTGGTGGAATTCCAAGCAACCACTTCTAGCGCACTAGCCTCGACTCAAAAGTTTGTTTTGCAGCAAACACTGCTACATTCCAAGGTGTTGACAGATATTTGACATCAAACAACGTCACTCGACGTCCGAGTGAGCACCAATGAACAGATTCCCACAGCGAGGAATAGCTAGAAATGCGCAAAGAATTATCAAAACAAAATGTAGCGACAAACGTACCAGCAGTTACTGATTAAACAATAAACCCCCCCTCCCCCCCCCCCCCCCCCAAAAAAAAAAAAAAAAGAATAGCGACAAACGTGATATGGTGGCCAGCACGTTATCGAGACACTACAAGAAACAAGAACTTGGTTATATGCTCGTCGAAGTACTAAATCGCAACCACTCGGTCACTGCACGCTCCTCACGTAGAAAGTCGTGAGTTATATGCACAGCAAAAACGCATGGGAGCTAGGCAATGGTAGAAGCTGCGGTTCCGAGAGGTATAGGGTAGGTAACTTTCACGGATTGAGGATGTTCCGGCGAGTAGTGAGCAAGCGGTGAAGTGGAGGGAATCTACCAAAGATCACATAAGCATTGGGATATCATCAACAGGTATCTGACAGTCTGACATCTAATGCTACGAACATGGATTCTCACTCAAAAAGTGAAGAAAAATTATCACGTGTGACCTGACGAATACAATTCATGTATTGCCATGATCGATCTAGGTAGGAGGTTCGCATGCAACTAATCATCAAACAACACAAAACCGAACACGATTTCATATGTAGATGCGTCGCATACAATCAATGAGTAAACAAACAAACCGAATACAATTGCAATGTCGTACATTAATTTATGTTCAATCATAATTACAGAATTAAATCCCATATGCTCATCCCCCTGCCATGACCCCGCCTTCTTCCGTCTGTATACAAGCCCTTCTACCCCGCCTCCGCGCCTTCCGCTCCCGCCGAAAAATATACACAGTCCCACCGACGACCGATTACAAGCCGCAGAAAGAGGACGCAACCTGCGCATAATCCGCAGTGACGGTTCCCACCTGGGTAGCCAGGCCGCCGGTCAGAGTGTTCATGGCGGCCCTGCTGAGGACGAACCCGGTGCCACCGCTGGCCACGTCGACGCCGGTGATGTAGACGGTCTTGCCCTGGTAGTACAGCTTGAAGCACGTTCCGCACTGCGCCGAGTTCCAGCCGGTGATCACCGCCGCCGCGCCGACGTTCGGGAAACTGGGCAGCTCGCCGAGAGTCTCGTAGCCCTTAGTGTACAGCCCGTTGGCGCCGTCGGAGCAGGCCAGCGTGAGAGTCGACTGCGAGGACGTGTCATAGGTGGTATCGTAGCGGACCGAGGCGGGGGTACCGGCCGAGGCGACGGCGAAGGTCGAGGCGAAGAAGAGGAGGGCGGAGGTGAACTGCATTTTGGCTTTGGAGTGGTTTTTTGAATGAGGAGTGGTTGGTTGAGTGAGGAGGTTTTATTAGATTGGATCGGATGGAATGAGGATGTTGATAAGGTTGGATGATGAGCTCGAGATGCTGTTCTTGTTGTGTTGTTGGATGTGAGTGAGGTATTATTCATCGAGGTACCTATCGTTTCATTTATACCGCTTTCCATCTGGTCTTCAGCACATTCCATTGTCGGGCTTCGGCACAATGAAGTGACATCCGCATCCGGGAGTTCCGCAGCTTAGTATGCGAGTATGCGGAGATTCTACGCTGATTTTTCCTCATCGAGGTATCTCCACGATCGCGAGGGCCCTGTGATACACTTACAGCCCTGTCGCCCTAACGAAATCGGGCCCGCCTTTCCGACAAGCCTTCCGCGCCGGATCGTCACGGAAGTTTAAACCTGATGTTGTGATGTCATCAGCGTAGGCGGGGTGCGGTTGATGTCGGAGGGTATTCAACGGCGATGACTGCGCATGTATTCAGCCGGAGAATGCCATGTTCGGGACGTTGGGTAGGGTACATCCTAGCCGGCGGCCGACGGCGGGGATCTGGTTGTCAGCTCCGGCTACCAGCGACGCTATTTTTAGCAACGCGGCGGAAGCGTGCGGCAACGGATGTTGCGGACCGCGGTAGCTGCGGAGTGAACACATCACATGGACTACTACACAGACTCATTGCTACATATTGCTAATGCATCCCACAAAAAAGCAGTGCGCTCTCTGACGGGAATCTGAAGCCGCACCGGCGATAGAGGATATGCTGATTCTTGATCTAATCAGAAATGGTGCCGCGACAAGAATAGAAGCTGCACACCTTATGCTAGATGCTGCATCGTTCCGCAGATGGTTCCGTCGTTCCGATCTAGACAGCATATGTGCGGGTGAGCCTTATGTAAGATGGACCGCAAAAGGAAGACTTTTAAAATTCCGGCCAAACTTGCTATTTGTGTGCTCATCCAAGTGCGGCTCCGTCAGCCTGTACACGACAAATGGCCCGATCTCGTTCAAATACATGGTGAGATGTTTTGTTGGCCGGCCAACAAACTTGAAATCACCAGTCATAGAACAACGGATTCCACCCCCGCCCCCACAAGTGACTTTCCGCTAATCTATAAAATCGAATTATTAGTACTCATAGAGCTCACCGGATCTTGTGGGAGCAATTCTTCGTCGCAAACACCTCCAACAAATCAACTTCCCAATATGCTAAGGTCAGTTTTCTTCAAGTGTAGAAGAAAAAACCGAACTTCCTTTAAAACTACAGTCACCGCAAAGACCATCGTTCAATGATCAATCAAATTGCGATCCCGCCATAAAGTTTCAACTCGATCCTTCAAGCACAGCCATGAAGTTGAAAGATTTACGCCCTAAAAAAATGTTTATAAGCAGCAGTCTCCAGCGTTGACCCAAACCATCATCTCATCTCGCCAGTCCGACGAAATTCCAACACTGAAAACTGCGAACGGTACATACAAGCTCTCCCGAAACCTGCCACACAATCACAAAATCTGCCACACAATCACAAAACCGGCATGGAAACTGAGGGCTTGCACCACCGTACGGGGGACTCTACCCCCAACGTAGCGGCATCTACCCAATTCGGGACGGCGGGGGATGAAAAATTTCTTGTACCAGACCCTTTTAACGACCAGGAACCACGGCCACCGCGCACAGGCCGGCGTCGAAAACCACCCAAACGGGAACGGGTGAACCCGCAAGACCTCCATCCAAGGAATGAGTGAGCGAGCGGAGACTTGCAGGACCAGGAAAAACGGAGTAACATGTAGCGAATGTTACCGTTGAACTGGCCCTGTGTATCCGCCTTCATTCTGCCCGACCATACTGGACACTCGTGGAACAATACCGGAATGGTGGGCTAATTGGTAAGTCTTGCTGTTCTTTGGAATTTCCGTTTCTTTGTGTGGGTTGCGAGGTTGTCTTCTGTATGTCTTGCCCGAGGAAGCAGTACATACATTGGGTGCTTGGGGTGGAGAACGTGAACTCGTGCTGCGTAATGTGGGAAGGATGCAGGGGTAGAGACTGGTGCCAAAAACTACTTGTTATCTAAGTAGTCGAGCGTTTGTTGAAATGCTCCAAGAGCCACAGGACTTCAACTTCGCATGGGCCGGTAAGGGCGGGGATACTAGAAAGTTAGCCTTTAGACAGCGAATTCAACGAGATTGTATAAAGCTACACCAACCGACGTGCAACACTTGAGTGTGGCCGTTATGCAGAATCCCAGCTCTCGACGTAGTGATACCCACCTCTGTTGCTTCGAAGAGGCGAGATTTGCCCAACAGTGCTTTGTACAGTGCGTGCGACAATGTTCGATTCTTCGACTATTCCGGGACGAAAGTTCGGAAAACCGTTTTCTGTGCGGACGATTGTCGGGATTATGCATTGCGCCTTGGTAAGCGAGACAGGTATCACAACGTCTGTCCTCCGGATCCGCTTTCTCGGTGTCCACGAAACTGACCCGTCGGTGGAAAGTCTCGCTCATTTACACAGAAAATTCTTCCAGGATCTCTGAACTGAGCGTGCCTTTCGAGTCGCATAGCACGGAGAGTGAAACAGTCGTCATGAGATGTCATCTTGAGCAGATATAAAGCGTTCTTGTCAGGTCTCCATCTCGAACTAAACCGCACAGACAACTTGAATCAGCACCACCCGTCAAAGTCCAAAACCATCTCCGAGACAGGTTCACCATGCGATCATCCTGGACCATGACCATGCTTCTCTCGGCCGTCCTCGCCGCTCAGGCGTCGGTGAGTTATCCCGCGAGGCATATTCCGGCGCGGAAAATACCGAAATGCTGACGACACGAAGCCTACATTGGAGAAACGGTCTTGCAGCCGCGACCGCACTCCCGCCGCACGGAGTGTCTGCGAACTCTTCCTGTCGCCGGGCACGAATGAGGCACGGAAGTGCGAGCGACTGGTCCAAGAGATAGCGGCCATCAACTGCTTCTGCAAAAACGCCGCGGCCGTCGTCTACAGGCCTGATATCGATCACCCGTGTAAGCTTCCGTTCTGAGGGAGCGAGGGAAATGCACATGCTGTGCTTTACCGTGACGGGTTTCTGACCTTTTACCGTCATACATAGGGTGTCTCGATAACCAGAGTTGCTTGGCATGAGATATGTTGTGTGGTGAAAGCAGGATGGAAGAAGAATCTGGGGTTGCGGCTATTTTAAGTAGATTTAAAATCAAAGAGCAGAAGTTTCTCGGGTGAGTGCAAAATTCGCCTGTTGACTCATATTACGTGCAATCTATATAGGTCGTGCTACGTATTCCTATTGTGTCTGCCATCTGGGGAACAAGTTCGAGGCAGCGACTCACTTTTCACCTGGGGATACAAGATATAGGTTGGTTCACCAAGAAACGCGCACAATGGTGGCAGACTCAAAAAAAAGCTCCAAGACTCGCTCTTATACTATTCCACCACCTGCGCAAGCTCCTCGGATCTCCCCTGCTTCAATCGAGCCAGGAATCGGCCGCATATGAATGATTTCGACTCCCGTAGAAACGTATGCGAGTGACTTCTTATGATGTGCTGCGCCCCCCGGGTGGCTTAGCGTGCCCAGAGTCGCCACCACAGTCTTCCAGGGATGCTTCGTTGCCTCGATCCTCGCGCTCGCGGGACTGAGAACATCGCAGATATATATCCGATGCCCGAATCAGTCCTCTTTACCTACTGGGTAATTGACAGTCGCATGTATTGTACATACAGTGGGTATGTAAGTACCTCCAGCAGGCGTGCATTTCGAGATATCTAGCCTAGTGAGCCCCCATGAGATCCAAGATTCACGGCCGATGGTCACTTTCACAGCCTTGCAGTAGGTCTCCAGGGAGACTGAGCAAACTATCAGCCCAAAAAGAGGCCGGGGATCTTCAAGCTGTATATAATGGCCTTTCTCTGTTAGCACTTTCACTACCTTGCTCTGCTACTAGGTAGTACTTCCACTGCCCGCCAAGACCAGAAATTTGAACTGCGAATCCCGAGCCCAACGGGGCCCCACCTTCTCTACTGGGAGAAGCTAGCGGCCGTGGTGTGAGGAGGAAGGCATGCCCCGAGGCTCGCAGCCTTCGAGTTGCGGGTAGCGGTGGCGGTGGATGTTGTCGCCGCCGCCTGGTCGCATCTCATGCGTGCGCCCTTTTAGCGGCTACTCGGTGTTAGCAATGCAATGCCCCGAATGTACTACGGTATGTAGTCAGTGCGCAACGCCGCCTTCGAGTGATTCCGATCGAATGCGTATGATACATACGGTTGGATGCAACCAGATTAGAAATGCTTATCGCAATGTATTGTACCTAGTTCGTTGGACTCTGGAGTGCGAGACTCAGCCTTCAACGCAAAAATCCCCCCCTTGTATTTTTGCTGCATCCATGGAGGTGCGCCGCAAGGTGGATAGCTACATACGGCATATCCCCCACATTCTCGCTTTGAACGTTCCCAAACAACTGCATTCTTTGGCAGAAATACTTCGTCGTTGGAAGTAACGGGATAATCCTGTAAGCTGGAGTTCCAGGTCGGTTTCCAAAAAGCGCTCGCCTGTGATCGTCTGGCCACTTAGCTTCGTTCTGCGGCCTCCTCTAAGGCCTCCAGGACTTAACTTCACATAGGGACGGTATCCGTCGGTACGAACCCCGCAGAGCCCGGCGTGAGTAACCATTCGATGGTTGTTCGGATGCTGTTGATGAAGAGGGGGAGGGGGCGAATGCGAAACGTAAAGCGTCTGGCTGTCTGAGGTGTCGCGGGGATGGCCGCTAGCGCTAACCCAGTCATCCCCCTGCTGACATGCATCCACCAATGATCGACAGGGCATGACGCGCTGCGATTGGCCCCGTCAAAGCTTCGACCAAAACAACCCAGCAAATGCCCGCGCCTATTGGGCCTCTTTCCTTCGACAGCAACGTCGTGGCGTTCGCGCGGGTAGAAATCGTGGCGAAGGATAGGATAGGGCATCAAATTAAACGTCAGGATCCGGAGAGTGGGGAATTCGACATATGCTCCCGCCAACCAACACATGCACCCAGCTCGGAGAATTACCTTGAACACTAGCACCCGCTTGATGGAAAAACGCGCGGGGATCGCCCCTTGAGGTGCTGATATATCATCCTCCGTTACTTCAATCACAAGACAGGAGGGAAGCCACCTGCTACATACGATACAGGTATGTTCGCGAGCACATAGGTACATCTGTACCGGCAGCAATCCGCGGACTCTCGTTGTAGGTCCACCTCAAGCTCTAGATGGGCCCGCAGACTGATCGGCGGCGGCAGAAGCTAGCCGGTACGTACATACATGGGGGGAAACTTTCCTTAATCACCGGGGAGATTTATCGATACCAATCGTGTACCTCCCCGCCCCAGACTGAAGACACAGTCCAAGTTTCGGGTTAAAGTTCACTCCCATGCTAATTTCGGCCCTTGCATCCTGAAGGCTTTGCATGTGCAGTTCTCGCCGTCGACCTTCCCTCGCGGCACGTTGCTTTTTAGACTCCTGATGATATGATAGACCTGTATGAGCCTATGGCGTATGGCATGAACCGCCGGGTCGAGCCGTGTTGGTGAAAGCGCCGGGGGTCTGGTAGGTTGACTGACTGGCCCATCAACGCGTTCGATGCCTCACTTCCACTACATACAACATTCTGCGAGCACAGGAGAACTGCAATGCTATAAAGCATTGCCGGCCCCACGACATGATTATGCTTCTTTTCATCACACAACACAACCAGCACAGCACAGTACAGCGTTCGGGATCTGGATCCTCACACAATCTTTCACGGCAGCAGCAGTAGTACCACAGAACTTCACTCTTTTTTAAAGTAGCAGAAAGCCAGCCTTTCTCTTCTCTTCCATCTTTACACTACTGCTATATTCCTTCCTTTATAACCACTCCAACCGTCCATTCCCACAATGGTTTCTTTCCGTTCCATCATCGCCGTGGCTGCGGCCATTCTCCCGTTCGTCGCTGCCCTGCCAGCTCCCATAGCTCCTCTTTCCACCGGCGATTTCACCATCAAGGCCGGTTCGATCGTGCAGGACAACTACATCATTATCCTGAAGGACGAGGTCACGGCTACTCAGTTCGAGGAGCACAAGGTCTGGGCTACCAGTCTCCATCATAGACGTCTCACCCGCCGTGACGACACAAGCTTGACCGGTATCAAGTACAACTACCACTTCGGAAAGCTCACGGGATATTCCGGAGCTTTCGACTCGGTCACGATCGAAGAGGTTAATACTCCCCCTCAGGGTTCATATTCAGATAGTGACACTTTACTAACTGAAACCAGATCAAAGCAAGGGATGACGTCAAGATGGTCGAGGAAGACAAGGTCGTGGTTGCCTACAACTTGGTGGAACAGCGCAGAGCCCCCTGGGGAATTGCACGTATCTCGCATGAGTCCGCATCCGCCAGCGACAACAGCTCCACCACCTCCTACGTGTACGACTCCTCTGCGGGAGAAGGCGTCACCGCTTATGTCATCGACACTGGTGTGAACATCGATCACAAGGAATTCGAGGGCCGCGCTGAGTTCGGCACCAACACTGCTGGTGGATCCGACGAGGACGGCCAGGGCCACGGCACTCACGTTGCTGGCACCATCGCCGGAAAGACTTTCGGTGTTGCCAAGAAGGCGACCATCGTCGCGGTCAAGGTTCTCGGTGACGATGGATCTGGTACCAACTCTGGTGTCATCGCCGGTGTCCAATGGGTTGCCGAGGATGCCTCCAAGAGGGGCGGCAAGGCCGTCGCCAACATGTCTCTGGGAGGAACTTTCTCTGCTGCTTTGAACGAGGTTGTCGGCGCCGCCATCGAATCCGGTATTACCTTCGGTGTTGCTGCCGGTAACGAGAACGCCGATGCCGCCGACTCATCCCCAGCCTCCGTCTCTACCGCCATCACCGTTGGTGCCACCGATCCCGATGACAGCCGTGCCGTGTACTCCAACTTCGGTGCCAGCGTTGACATCTTCGCCCCCGGCACCGACATCGAGTCGGCCTGGATCGGCAGCACCACCGCGACTAACACCATTTCCGGTACCTCGATGGCCTGCCCTCACATCGTCGGACTCGCTGCTTACCTCATCTCTCTCGAGGGTCTCGATTCCCCGGCCGCCGTTGTCAAGCGCATGAAGGCACTGTCGATCGCCGGTATCGTCACCAACCCTGGTCTGGACACTATCGACAACTTGGCCTACAATGGCGCCGAGGGACTCGCTGGTAACTCCACGCTCCCCAGCCTCCCCTTCCGCAGGAGGTCTCTGTACACCAGATACTAGATATTTAGATCCATGCGAGCGAATGTTTGTGTTTCATGCTTTTTCGTTATGGGGATCATTTAATCCTCGGGCAGGATTGGGCTTTCTTTGGCGTATATACCATATTATACTATACTTTGCTATAAATATAAGGGGACGAGGAGAGGAGTAGAGGGATCTGGGAGGGTGGATGTATGTAGCTATCGATGTCTGAGTTAGAGATACATTATTATGACAGGTCATATATTACTATACCTAGTCACGAACCATGATTCGATGCGTGTGTCAGAACTGTGAGATCGCCTTGCGACATACGTACCTAAGTGGTTTTCCATGCGTCCGCCATTCCGGATCCACCCCCCGAATTTGAAGCGGCTAAATGCACATTCCCAGCGCCCACCGTTCCGAGTCGCCGTTCGCGGTACATATGTCGGGACGGTGGACACGACGCCGGCGCGCGTCCGTTTGATCCGTGCGTGATCGGCCCGGTTAAATTTTTGCGGCTGCCCCGGGAGAAGGTGGACTCTGAAACCGCACCGATATTGGCGTACTATCGGTGGCACGGTTCGTTCATGGACAGGCCCCCGGCCGTCACCGACTCCACGGGATATAAATGGAGTGGTGCGGAAGCGGAAGTATCGCCAAGGGCCCGGAGAAGTCCGAAAGATGGTATGTACGAGGTACGAGTCTCGGAGTGCAGGGCCGGCCACGCACGTGGTGCTTCGACTGTTTTGCTGGAGACCGGGCGGATGTGCCGGGACGTGGGCCGTGTCTTTTTTTGGTGTGATCGTCAATTGCTTGCGACCTATACGTGCCAATACACTCACCGTTTCCATGTCCGCTGCCCGGCCCGAATTTCGTCAGGCGGCCCCGCGTGGCTTTCCCTGCCCCCCGTCTTGGCCTTTCCCGAAAGTCCATGTAGAATACACCAAAGAAATGAAGCTCAGGAAAAGAAGGTCCGCTTCTCACTCCGTCTTGCCTTATGTCTCTCATCAGGAGATTCCAGGAAGAAGGGTATGGGAGAAACAGGGGGGTGACCCCACCGGTGCCTCAACCTCAGCACCCTCCTGATATTCTGTTTTCGCCTCCTCTCTGCCTATCTCTCTCTGCTCCCAGAGCTCCCACTCGGACACCTCACTTACTGCATTTTCCTCGCCGACCCCCGGAATTCTCTTGCCCACAATACTGGTGGTGAGAAATTTCAGGATGGCCTGACTGCACCGCTTGTTTACGAAAAGCTTACGTATCTCAAATTAATTCTTGCCCCTCCCGTCTCCTTTCGAATATCTGTCCTCAGGATCTGCTAGCGTTTCCATTCCGGACAGCATTCGAAGAGGAGTTGCCGGGTCCCGGTTTTGTAACGACAGCATCCGCACCGAGCATCAAGGCGGCTTTCTGTTTATTGTCGGTGGAGGGACTACCCCGTCCTCGGCTGATAAAACCCCGCAGCGCAGGCGTGTCGGGACGCAGGCCGGGATCGGATCAAATTTCTGGCAGGTTTCGGGCTGTGACGGTACTTTTTCCTGGTGAATTTTGCGTCGGCCCGTGCCTTTGCCTCTTCCATTTGGCCTGCGTGGTCCCACACTCCAGATGGTGAGCGAGGGTGCTGGCGGTGGCGGTGATCGAATCTCGTACTGGCTGAGGTAGTGTGTAGCCCCTCCATTCCGCGGGCGGCGGGGTTGTCGGCTGCCCGCCTGGTCCATTCGCCGGCCATTTCGTTTCCAGGATGCCTTGCAGGCCGAAAACTATCTGATATCGATGGCGATCTCAGGCTCTCAGCTCTTTTCTGGTATACTAGGGCTAGTATGTAGTAAGGTCCGGTTTTATTAGAAACTTGGGTCATAAATCAAGACCAGAGGTGTCCAGGGAATTCGTTACGGCTGTGGTTCAATGCAAAAGTGAATCGCAGCGATAGGAATCTATGTAGCTCCTCGCCCCGATATTGAAATTTGAGCCTGACGGGATTGCGCGCAGTATGTATCACCCTTTCTCGTCTCGCTGTGACTCTTTACGCCGGCTGCGGTTGAAGCATCAAAGCTGCAAATGTCTGCTCGTAGAGAGTTCATCAAGAAAAAAAAGCAAACGTGCTGGCCACCATCCCACCTTTATCGCTATTTTTTGTTTTTGTTTTTGTTTTATCAGTAATTACCTGCGCGTTTGTCGTTATTCCGCGCGGTGGGAACAAGTTCATACTCACTCACTCGTAGCTCGAATGACTGCGTGTGATGTCAAACATGTGTCGACAACTTGGAATGTAGCGGTGTTTGCTGAAAAGCTAGCTTTTGAGTCGCGGCTAGTGCGGTAGTATTGGTTGCTTGGAATCACAATCAGCTATAAAATCCTCCTTTCCTCCCGACTCTTCCTCCCTCTCTCCTCCCCCCATTCAGAACAATCGCTATTCAGTCTTTAACCACTTCCTCTCCTTCTTTCCTCCGGGCCATGCATGTCATGTGTGAGAGACATGTCACATGCATGGCCAAGGCCCGCCTCTCCGAAACCGGGCGACGGACGGTTTCGGATGAGATCAAATAACCAAAGAAGTATAACTTGGTCCTCTACCACCCCAAGTTATACGCGGAGGTCGTCTTCCTTTCAAAGTTGAAAGGTCTTACCTCCTGGCCATGCACGAGTGAGATGCATGTGCCATTGGCCAAATGCTGTTGCTCTGGTCGCTGCGCGATACAACGATATTTGGCCTGCTTGTTGGTTCGGCCGTACTGTCTAATGCGGCGAGTGACCGCGCGTGAAGGTGTGTTGTTTTCTCCTTCCCCTCCATCCTTGCATCACCGGCTGCTTCCCGGCGTGTCCCTGGTTCCTAGTCGTCAACCACGATTTGGAAGTTTCGTTGCTCCCATTGGGATACTCCATGTTCCATCAAATACGTCCTTCTACCTGACCGTGTGTGGGAGACATTGTGGCGGAGCAATGGAGGAATCCTATTGGCGGCAGCAAACCAATGTGGTTAGTAGCGGTGGGAATCACCGTTAGCGGCCGTGGCGGGGTCGACTGTGTGGATCCGGTGGGGTTTTACTTTATTCTTCTTCTTCTTCTTCTTCTTCGTCTTCTCCTTTTTTGATCAACCTCTACAGAATAGACGATCAACCTTTATCTCCTTTTTCTTCTGTGTGTGCTATCCTCACGATCCCGCCTCCGGCCTGGAGGGGTATATATTAGCAAAAGAGCCGTCTGCAAAGTTTCTCTGCCGAGGGTGTGCAACCTATCGACAGCTGCAGGGAAGCCTCGCGCGATGCCTGCGTATACTTCCCGGATGTAACTTGCAGTCTTTCCATTGGGTGCCGTGTCGCAAGATGACAGCGTATTACTTAGTCGACCGCTTCGGTGTCCGTCCGAGATCCATCCGTGTATATCGGTAGCCCTCTGTGTTGTACGTCTTCTACGTGCCTGTGCCGTTTATTAACCGTCCATGTTGGCCATCTGATGAATGACGAATGATGAATACTAGAAACGACATCCCGCCGCTGCCCAGCTGCCGTGCATTCTTCGGCGTTCACCCACCTATCCCACCTCTCCCACCAACTGGCCCCGTCCAAGCAAGAAATATTATGGTATACTCGGAGGATATATTCCCGGTATAGGTAGTACATTCGGGATGTGTTCTGCGGACTGCACTACTCGTAGTTGACGTCCACCGGTACTTCCTATGTAGGACGTCTTCCCAATGCCGCCTCCGGCCTGGAGGTTTGTCAGCAAACAACTATCCGCATAACCGCAGTTAGCAACTAGGAACTAGGAGGAACACGAGAAGCAGCTGTGTATCGAGGATGCAGTCGTTTAAGAAGCCAATGTCGTAATCTCGCACAGCGGCCAGAGCAACAGCATTTTGGCCAATGACCATGCATGCTTCACATGCATGGCCGGAGGAAAGACTTTTAAAAGGAAGAAAACCTCCGCGTATAACCTGGGGGGGTAGTAAACCAGGTTATACGCGTATGGCTTGAGGGGGGACAGTAGCCCAAGTTATACTTCTTTGGTTTTTTTGTTTGTTCGTCCGAAACCGTCTGTCCCGCGATTTCGGGGAGCTGGCCTTGGCCATGCATGTCTCTCACACACACATGGCCAGGAGGAAAGACCTTTGCTGTCACAGACTCACAGCAAAGGAAGAAAACCTCCGCAGATAACTTGGGGGGGATAGTAACCAAGTTATACTTCTTATTTTTTTCTTCCTCGTCACGAGACCGGCTGTCACCCGGTGTCGGCGAGGCCATCCAACGGGAGCAAATCGGCAAGTCGAGTCTTGACCGAATTGGACCCCCGGAGGAAGGGGGAAAGAACTTGTGCCGGCAGCACAAGAGAAAACCCCGTCCTTGGATCTTCTCTGCTCAGCCTCGAGGGTTCGATCCGTCTCTTGCAACAGTTTACTTTGTGGACCGGTTGCACGGATCCCTCAGTTCCTCGCTACTGCGGCTGAGCAGGATAGCTCTGTAAGGTTATCCTGGAAGTCAAAAGGTGGGGGGGGGAGGACGTACCTGAAATGATAAAACTCGGCGTCGATAGCGGACCATGAAAACTAATCAATCAGTCAGTAGTATGAATCAACAAGTAGTGCCGGACGGGAAAGAATGAGATGAAGAGGTTAAAGAGTGAATAGCGATTTTCTGAATGGTTGGAGGAGAGAGGGAGGAAGAGTTGGGAGTATAGCAGTTAAGTAGTAAGGAGGGATAGAGGTTCGGAGGAGAGAAGTTATAGGTGTAGCGGGTCGGATTCCAAGCACCTTACCCCCCACACCGCTAGTACCAGAAATTTGACCGACACTAGCGTGTCAACAGAGCTTCGAGTGACGGCCAAGTATGCAGTTTCTGCTGGATGCAACGATGCCCATGAGGGAGTTCTTTTTTTTGTTCGGAATTCTTCAGCTGGCTGTGTCCGATGATAGCACATCAATGTCTCATCTCCTCTGGGTTCAGCTCGATGTTTCCATCTTGCGGTGCCCCGCTCGTTGGAGCCTTGCCCTGCGAAAGCCGAAGCTTACAGGAAAGCACTCGCCAGATCACGAGCGAGACTTCATGATTCTCTGCCCTCTGATTGTCTTTGTTTAATCATTCCATTCGACCTTAGTAGATCATGGCGGATTAAATATCCCTTTCCACCTGGCTGTCACCGACCTCTGGCCGCGAGCTCGATACCGATTACCTATTGCTCTGCGCCCAGCGCTTCCTGCTCCCTCCCCGCTCAACTCAACCTGACAGAAAGTAAGACAGAAAGAAAGAAAGTAGGAAACGGAAAAGGAGAAAGAATTAATGAATAAGCTTTCGTAATTCCGATCCTCGTCCCGTTTAACCTCCCATGAGCTCGACTAGGACATGTAGTTCCTCTTCCCTTCCACCCGTATTCGCTATGTCCTCCGCCGGCCGGCCGTCTGCTCGCTCATTCTGTATCCTCCCCCAGGGGCAGGAGGGAAGGGAGGGAGGCTCTCAGCAGCCTGTCTCATTTCTTCCGCTCTCGCCACTCCCTCTGCCACTGCGGCTCATGCTCATTCTTTCTTCGCCCCTGCCAGGAGGTATGTAGGGTCCGCCGTCGCCGCTGCTATGTCTGAGATTTGGCTCGGGGGTTCTGGTTCGTTTTCTACTCCGAGGAGGGGTATCCTCCGGCCCCCGTCCGTGCTGGCGAGGAAACCCAGGACAGCCGTACTACAGTCTTGGTTCGCGAGATCCTTGATCTTGAATCTTTCCTTGTCCCGGCCCGTGGCTTTATGGATCCTCGTCCACCTAGGTTTCTGTTGTTTTTTCCACTGTGGGCAGCTCTTGAACAAATGCCCCCTCGTCTGGGTCTTGTATCCATACTTCCAGGCGCTGTACCATGAAGGCGAGGTTTACAGGAAAGCACTCGTTCGATCACGAGCTAGACTTTATGAAGATCTACATACTGGCTCCTCCGATCAGAATCAAGATTGATTTGGCTGGTTCAGATATCTGTAGACATTCATAGACTTTGAACGATTCGGTAGATGCGAATCTGGATTTGTGTGTCATGTGAAAACGTGTGTTGCCGTCGTGAACTGGCTACTTTGTTTTGGTGAGGCTAGTGTTTGCGGAATTCTTGAATCGCTGGTTCTACCCTTCATTCGCCCTCGTTTCTCACCACCAACGGTAAGTGCGACTTCAGTAGGATTGAGCCAACTCCACCCCTTCTCCTTCTTCCTTCTCTCCTTCTTCCTTCCTCACCACGACAACAAATCATCTCCACCTTCGTCTCAACAACTCCTGGTTCATCAATCTCCACGTTCGTCGCAACAACAACTCCTGGTTCATCCATCTCCACTCCTCACAACCCCACACAAACAATTCATCAAGACAAACAACATGTCTAGAAGATTCACCACCGCCGCCTTCCGCAGGCTCTGCAAGAAGACGCCTAATGGTAAGTTCTAATATTTACCCGACCCCTTCGATCCCCCAGCTAACCACGAGCCCTCCCCCCTCTCCAGGCCCCAGCGTCATCCAGAAGCTCCGCAAGAGCGCCGCCCAGCACGCTCTTGCCAAGGCCACCGACGACAAGGCCAAAGAGTTCCTCGCTCAGCGCAAAGCCACGAGGGACGAGACTACCAATAAGAAGCAGGCGTTCCTCAACAATGAGAAGATCAGATGCACCAAGGAAGCCGAGAGTATTAGGCGCGAGCTGATGTTGAGGGAGAAGAGGAGAGTGGCTATGAAGAAGGCCTGCGAGGAACGCGTCAGCCTCTATCGTGCGGAAAACATCGGTGCTCCTGCTTCTGGAGCTTCGGCGTCTGATCCTGGAGCTTCGACTTCGGCTGCTGCTCCTGGAGCTTCTGGAGCTTCGAAAGTTACTCCCCGTTCTCGCAAGGCTATGCTGCTCGGCAGAGAGGATAAGTTGCTTCTTTCTCAGGTGAAACCGAAGGATAGAGGGTTGGTGATGAGGCGTGATCGCAATTAAGGCATCTGCTAGTTATAATTACCAGTACACAACTGTATGGGGTACTCAACAAAGCAAGGCTGTTAAACATCTCAACTTCTCGTGACCATAAAAAACCATTAGTAGTCTGTGACACCAATTTTTTTTACCATGTACCAACATCGCCATGATCTAGCTACATAGGTCGCATTTAATCAATGATTAAAAAAAATCTTTTACTATCGTACTGGTGTAGACAGGCGGATCCCGGAGATCGCTAGAGAGGACGCAGCAATTGAGGTGCCCGAGCGGGAGCCCAGGGAACTGGATTTTTAACAGGCGGAGAGGGGTCGAGTGGGGTCGAAATGGGGAGGGCGCCGAGGTTGAGGAACTGGCGTCACTCCCACTATTCCTCCTTACACCCTCCTTCATGGCATCCCCTGAATCCTGATGGAGAGGCAGAAGGCGAGGCGGAGCGAGGAGCGGATCTTTCATTTTCCGAACTTCATTTTCTTGGTGCATTCTACATATATCTACGGGAAAGACCATGGGCAGGAGAAGCCACATCGTGCCCCTTGACGAAAACTGAGTTGGACGGTGGACATGAAAAGCGGGCCGAGTATATTTTCATGATCCACGTAAGACGGTAGGTCTCATGCAGTTACCGATTGAACAAAAACTTTTACTATCGTGAACTGCGTCACTATCTCAAAGAACCTCGAGCCAAATCAAGACTACGCCCTTTTAATTGCTATCTCGAAGAATTGACCAGTAAATCAACCAGAAATCCCCCGTGATAACTACCGAGCCCTCATCGTGCAAGCTCAGGCTTGGCAATCGAACCAGCATCTGTACGCCTGGATCGCATCGTTGTGCTTTCCATCTAGGGTAGCATCCTCGCGGTTGGTGGCAGAAAAGATGCGGAGCTTGCAGTCGTCGGTGCTGTGTACATATCATCATTGGTCAGCCACCAGCCCCTCGCACACATACACACACAGCAGGAAGGCAACAAAACAACGTACAGATAGAACGTGCAGCAACCGTTCGTAACCCTGTAGCTCGAGACCTAGTACGCGCGCACTGTCAGCACCTCATTCACTCATCGAGGGCGGAGCGGAGATGCTACATACCTGGCGGTAGATCGGCAGAGGCACCTTTCTGCAACCTGAGGACATGGGCTCCAGACTGTGACACTTTCCCTGGAAGTGGTGGTGCTCGCACATGCGCAGCTGCGTCCAGCGGATCGAAGTCTGGGCGTTGGCGAGGCCGAGAAGAACGATCAAGAGGAGGATCGGGGCGAAGACGTGGTGGAGCTTCATTATTGTTTTCTTGGTGCTTGATGCTCGCTGTAGTTTTGCATGTGTCAGCGGCTGGAAGAGCGGGAAAGGAAAAGGAAAAGGGGATATACTATTTGTCTATGTATCTGCCTCTGTTTGTCGGTTTTCGTGTGGTTGTAGAAGAGGAGACGAAGTCTTCCGTACAGAAGCAATTTGAGGGTGGGGTGCGGCGGCGAAACGACAATTATATGTAAATTGAATATCGTGGACCTCTCGAACCTCCGCTTACCCCAACCCTAGATTCAAAATTCCAATCCCTTCAATTGCTTGTGATCGTGATCATTCTCTAATCCCAAAGGCCAAAGCCGGTGCTCTCCTCCCAACACCTCCATAGATTCACATTCTTTACTTCCCCATTGCGTACATACATGCCCTTCTCGTGTGCAATGGGTATCGTGCAACGAGCAAGTGCTCATTCCTTGTCCCAGACCAATGTTCACCCTTGAACCTTCATGTGTCGATGTATTCTGGTATGTTACCCGAAAGATAAGTAGAAGCCCCCTCCTCGCATGAGAATATTCCCCACGTCTGCTCGCTCAACCCCCGGTCTATCCGTCCAGGTACCGAGATCAACAGCAGCGATGGGCACCCACCATTCCAGGAGTCTGGTATGTATGGAGTACCCAGGCACAGGATCGATGTGGATGTTTCACCCTTACATGTGAGCCATCGGTGCGGCAGCGTAATTCCGTAGCGGAATACCCGGTGATTCCGGGGAAGTTCTAGTAGGGGACCGAGGATCCGAACATGGATTATCACTCGTATTGACTATCTGTCTATATTTGGAGATTTAAATTTAATTTAGCCACGGTTCGCGGGGAGCTATTTAGTACATTTTATGCATAACTGCAGTCTGTATGATCCCATCGATGGCGATTAGAAAGCTTCAGTAGTTTCGCGTTGTTATGCTTCAAAGTTCAATGACGCTCCCCGTTTTGTTCTGTTGCTTTTCGCTCACTGCCATGACTTTGATACCCAAGTACCTACTCCTTACATCGTAGAGTATCGGAAGAGAACATCGGAATGCAACAGCTCTGTCGGTATCGGTAAGCCAAGCTCGACTCTCGATCTTGGAGAATGTAAGTTGAGATTCGGAACAAACCACATCTCGATCTAGTATCTAGTCACCAGTGATGGGTCATGGCATTGCGGAGTGCAATAGTACCGGTAAGCTGGATACCGCAGTGCTTTGTACTGTGCTGGCGGCGAGTGACTGTTTGCGGTTCCACGGGGACCTCGCGGACCGAGAGGAGAATATCATTCATTGGAGCCGGAATGTAAAACGCCATGTTGAACCGCCCTTCGTTTAATCTCGATTATCAAGAGTCCGCACCTCGTCCCTACGGACCTACGGTTCCACTCGCCAACAAGTATTGCGTCCTTGCTGGACCTGTGAGTATATACACTTGATAGAATCATCATCATAATCATCATCATCATCGTCATCATCGACAACAGGCCACCCTCCATATCCCACAGTCCACGGTCCACAGCCGACCGAATCCTCTCCAAGTCATCAACCTTCCAGCATTCGACAGTTCTCCCTCCTTCACATGAAGGTAACCATGCCCGCACATACCCCACCCTCGTCCATTGCCAGACCGACAGCGCCGCCGGGCCGGAGTCAATCCCGTCCCATCAAAGAATGCACCAAGCTTCGAACAGCTACCACGAATCATGCAACCTGAAGTCTCCGAGTCAGCAAATAAATTGTGAGCAGCCTAGCTATTGCATAAGTAACCGCAACAAGTCCCAAAACAAACATTAAAGACCTGCGGAATCAACTTTGTGCGATGCAAGCCAAACCAAACCCGAACTAAAAACCAAATACCAAAGCGAATGAAACTCCCACCCAATAATGATAAATAAACGAACGGTGATGATGCTGGATCCGCTGAAAGGATAATAAACAACAAAGAAAAGTAAAAGTAAAAGTATGTACGCAGGGTGGGTGGAGCGCTAGAGCTAGAGCTAGAGCTCTTCCTCGATCTCCATTGCCGAGTCACCACCCCCACTCCCACCCCCTCCTCCTCCTGACGAAGACGACGCCGACGCACTCCCCATCCCCGTCGGCCCGCCCACGCCCACCACGCCACCCAACACCGCCAGCCTCTCCCTCCTCCTGACATCCTCGTCCGCGCCATCATCATCGGGGGCCACAAGACTATACAGTAGTTCCCTACGTCTCACACCCAAATGGCTCATGCCATACTTCCCACGCACAGCAACCACCCTCTTCCTATCCTTCACCCCGGAGGGCGACGAAGACGGCGTCTTGCTCACCCTGCCGCCATCCACAACACCCGAGACACTCATGCTCTGCGGCGCGAACTTGAACACAGGGTCACTCGCCCTCCTCGCGCGGGCGTGGATCGGCGAGGAAGGCGCGAGCTCCTGTTCGCGCAGCTCCTGCAGCTCCGACACGAGCGCGGCGATATCGGAGTCGTCATTCGAGCCCTGCTGTTGCGGGGGTGGTGGTGTGGTATTGGTGGGGGGCGGGGCGGCGGATGGCGTGAGTGTGGTCGCCTCGAGCGCGTCGGACAGCTCCCGCTCCCGGTCGCGCTCATCGATCCATTTCGTTGCGGCGTCGATCGAGTCGAAGCGTCGCCGCAGGAAGTCGCCAGTCACAGTCAGGAATGTGCGGTGCACGTTGATTGGGTGCCGGTACAGGTATTGGATTGAGGCTGGCAGTGGGTCCGCCCTGGGTACGCGTGGGCTGTTAGCGAGTGGAGAAGTTTGAAAGGGGGGGAGGGGGAGTGGGCTGACGGACGATAGTAGATGCACACCCCGCTGGGGACCGGAGTGGATCGCGTAGATTGCTGGCTGCGAGGCGCCGTGTCGGGACGTCCGGATGGTGGTGGTGAGGGGCTGTGGGGCCATGGTTTTTTCTTTCCTGTCTTCGTTTGCCAGCGGTGTTGTTGTAGCGGTCGGTGATGGGGTGGCGAAGGGGATGTAGTGCTGGTGCGGGGTGTGTCGTTCGCGATAGCTATATTGAACGGAACAGCCAGCCAGCGCGCAGGCTGATGTCGGGTGACGTGTGTGACCCCGTCCCGGCTGATTTCACCTGGACAGGGATAGTTCAGTGCAGGGAACGAGGAAACGCACGGGCCATCCCTTCCAATTACCGTGGTCCGTGATGTGGAATGTGGAGTGTGGCCCGAGAGCGCGGGGATTGATTCGCCGGCTCGGGAAGTCTGCTTAGAGAATCTACAGAACTCGAGCTCCGGGATTTGCTATGGCAACGTCTTCATTCGATTGGGATGCCACTACTTAGTCAGCGGCAGGTGATAGTGATATACCATGACGCGGATGGGGCCTAGCCACATTGATGGTATGCTACCAAGTACTTCGCAGTGCGGAAGATACCTTCGAGTACAGTCACAAGATTTCCACCAGAGTTCAAGCTCATCGGACCCCGGCCTTGACAGCTACGCAAACCCGAGACGACGATTACTTTCGGGCACCATGCCGTGTGCGCTAGACTGGTCACGTTGAGGTACCTTTTGAAGAAGAGGAGGGCAACGACGCGCCTCTACAGCGCACAACCGACAACTTGAGCCCTTTCGGAGGCTCACTTTCAAGTATTGCGAGGATAAAGGGATTTGGACTGTCATTTCTGATTCGGGGGTTTGGTGGGAATTTCTTTGTCAAATGCTTTGTTGTATGTAGATACCTCAGCTGGCCATAACCTTGGGGTTCTATGCTGTGTGAATTATCAATCCATCAACCGGAGTTCAAAGTGAAGCCATATCCTAACTCGACGAGCGCAGTACGCATTCAACAGACGGAAAGAAATACGTGCTGAGGCGATTCCCATGAGTACCGTAAGGATTACTCCTTCTGTCCGGGAACATATCCTTTATACTCTACCTACAGTCTACATGTAGGGTACATACAGGTGACAGGAAATTCATTTGCTTTATCGCGTCGTAGTGCCCTTCACATTTCAATTTGAAGAGCAGTGACTACTGTTTAGACTTGGGTTGTTACTCTAGGTCGTCACCCGCCGCAGCACACTGCCTCAGCAAGCTACCGTAATAGGCGTTCGAGTACCTGTAGTTACAGCCTTACCAGGCTCCAGTGATATCCACTGCATCCAGCCCTGGAAGGTATCATGTATGCATAAACTTAAGCTTTCATACTTACTTGAGATGTACATAGCTCCCGCGCTTTCACTGCCACTCTTCACTGCCACTCGCCACTGCCATCCTTTCAGCCTTCAGCCTTCAAGTGGCGTGATCAAGTGTCAACCGCACATGTCATCACTCGCCGACCTCAACCTGAAACCCTTTCCGTGGGGTCCGAGTCCGGGCTTGCCATCTTCCCCGCTCCGCCGGCCTGCCTGCCATCCTTCCCCCACGACGCGATACAAGCTCAGGCTCAGGCCCACATAACGTAACCGGGTGGGGTGGGGTCCCATCCGCCCGTCCGCCCGCCGCTGATCCGCGCGAACGCCGTTCACTACAGTGGGTGTGGGATCTCACCTCGCCGCGGTCGCCGCCATAGGGCTGGGAAAAATCATACCTGGTAAAGGTTATTACATACGGTAACTAGCCGTCATGTAGGTACCAACAACTCTACTCTGCATGATTGACGGGGAGTACAGTTATATATGGATACGGGTACCTATGCCTAGATACCGGCGATCGGAAAATCTCGGATGGATGGATGGATGGATGGATGGACGGGCGGAGGAACGCCGGCGATGGATGGGGAAGAAGCAATTATACAAAAAGTATGAGATATGGATGTAGCATCACGCCATACCGGTATCCTGCAGAGTTTCCCGCGCGTTTCTCGTCAACTGCCAACTGCCAACAAAACACAACAAAACAAAAGGAAGAAAAAAAAACAGGAGTGGATGTTTTACAACATCTCTATCGCCGAGCGGCGGAAGACTCACTGCTCGGAAGACCCAGAGGAGCAATAGGAGGAAGATCACTCCATTCCGAACAGTTTTCGTTTTCGTCCTCCGCATTGCATGAGTGAGTGAGGATCTCCAGTCCTCAATAGCATGCGCATACCTCATACCTTATCCCGTATCCCACGAAAACCACATGTGCTGCATCGATGCATCGAGATCTCTCGGCGGTGACACATGAAGCATGTTGAAATAGAAACAGCCCGTGAAACGCCCGTGCGCGTCGTCACGGCTACGGCTACGGCCATCCAGGACAGGACTCTGGGGATGAATCATGACATGTGTAATTGTAAAGAGAGTGATGAGCCGCCGCGCATCGCATAGCATGAAGCAGCTTCGGAGCAGAGCGGCCGGCTGGTACATGGATAGAGTAATAGAGTAATAGAGTAATAGAGTGCCTACATATGATGTACACACATACATCCCACAGTTGGGTGCGAAATTCGCCTGTGGTGGGGTGGACCCGGAACCAGCGTCTGCGTCTGCGTAATACTATCCAGCCATCCGAAAGCTTGGTATATGTACTCGGGAGGAGAGTCTGGGGTAGTGTCATGATGGGGCGCGTAGCATATGTAGGTAGAGTAGATCACTCCAGATAGCCGAACAGTGGTGTTGATATAGAGTAGATAGAGTATAGTATGCGGGCCCTATATTAAATTCTCGACAACCCGTGCGTACGTACGCACGCCTGCATGTTTTGCCTTGCAGTGCCAGATACATACCTTGCTTGGAGTCAGTTATCGTCGGTCGTATACGGTTAACAGAACTCAAGCACGAACTACATACCCGGCGCACGCGAGACTCACTCACATGTCGATGTCGATGAAGTCGACGTCCATGGTGCTGGTGACAAGCTCCGGGGATAATCTGGGATAGCTACGGTAGTTAGGTAGTAGTTACCGTGCTCCACACATGCACACACTCATGCACACACTCACAGGCACGTGCGGATTTATCCTCCCTCCCCCCTACTACCTAGCCTGGCGTTCCGTTCTCGTTCCGTTCTCGTTCCCCACCCGCTCGCTCCCCACCCGCTCGCTCGCTCGATCGATCTCGGCATGTGGAAACCGAACGTGGAGACTCCCGTCCTGAGAAGAAGGGTCTCGTCTCGTCTGTTTAGCGTACGTGGAGTATGCATACAGACCCCGCTGCCTACCAACTCCAGTGAGTGCGGGTCTATGACTCACAAACTAATCTACGTCCCTCGGCCCGCGGCCCGCGGATATCGTGGGACCATCAGTTCGACCATGGACAGGTCAGTCATCGCCTGTGCTAATACATACCCGTAGATTGCAAGCACGAGCACCTAGATACCGGTAGTCGACCTCCAGCTGCAGCCTGCAACCTGCAACGGACGCGTGCCGTGCATCGTAGTATCGTACGATACTCAGGTCCGGGCCCGGGCCCGATATCTCGCGAGTGGAGTGCAGTGGGCCAGCATACCTACTTTAAACATTTGCCATCACGTTGCAGAGATGTGTCAATCGAGCCTGTGTATGTAGATACCCACGAGTTCCAGTAGCTGAAACACCCCCGCATTACGGTAATCATGATCTGCAGCCCTTTTCCACATCCCACCGGGCCCACCCACCCAGCCACCACTATGGGTACTATACCTCTAGAGACCAAGCTCACTTCCACGCACCCGTGATCCTTGGTCCGTGGTCCGTGGAGTCACAATCCCGCCAGCCCGCCAGTCCCGCCAACCCGCCCGCCCGAGGCACGCACAACCGCCATGCAGCCGGGAAGACCGGAAGGCCACACACACGCACGCGGCAAGCAAGGTTCGGAGGTTTGTGTAATCGAATCGAGTCATGGTCATCACGGTCATCACGGTCATCATCATCATCATCCTGGTCCCCCCCAAGCTAGATCACGATAACCTTAATTCATCGACAGTCCGCACTCCGCACTCCGCAGCCGCGAGGATATACCGGTATATACCGGTAGGTATGCATGTGGCTGGAAGGTATGGCATCTGTGAGACGGTGGACGATGGACCTGTTTGGACCGGAACCTGCGAGCCTGAAACTTGTCGGCGACGCAGCGGGGGTGAGTGGGTACATACACACGTTTGGTGGGCGCGCATACATACATACGCAGCTGTTTCTCGGGGGGAAACCGGAAGATAAGACTGTATGTAAGCACCAAAAGTGCAGACACGACGGAAGACGGGAGTCGCCGTTTCGTTTGAGATGGATGATCTGACTCATCCGGCACGCGTATATCTAGCGCGCAACATGTAGGCAACGTTACTTTGAACGACTCCGCAAATGCGGGGTACGGTAGAGTACGGTTCTGGAGTCTGGCCACCTCCGCGCCTCCGCATCTCCGCATCTCCGCCCACATTTTCGGTTCGCTCGGCCATGGCCCATGGGTGGCTGTTGTCCCGCCGGAAAATCTCACAGAAGTCCGGCCTTGCTGTCGATGCCGATTCCTATGCTGGAAGCTACCTAGATGTGTACTCTACCTGTGTACCCGTGGTTAAATGGTAGAGTAACTAGAGTAGACTTGCCACATGCGGAGTTGGGGTTTGGGCCAGACCCTCGATAGGTTACATGATGCCTGCCCACCGCCGCGCGTAGACGACCAGAAATTCCGCGAATAAGAGCCCGAAGAATTGCGTGCGAAGTTCGAACTGTGGGTCGGGGTCGGGGTCGGAAGCGTGGACTCCGTAGCCGTTAGTTACTCTACTGGCGGTCTGGCACTACAAGTCTACTCTACATACAAGTGTCGCGACATGTGACGTATGCATAACAAGGTACCCAGTACTCTAGGGAGTGTAGGTACGGTAGTGTAGTCACAGCACCCGAGAAAAGTTCGGGATGGACATCAAGGATTTAATAATCTCGGAGCAAGCATGGTCGGTCATCGAGGCGTCGTTGAAAACGCGGTATCTATCGAGCAAAGTGAAATGAAGTCGAAAGACGGTGGGGCTGCGTCGCGAGAGAAGTATCATGACGGCGATGATGACTTCTGAGGTAGCTACTCTGCTCTACGGCGACTTGCCTTCATCGCGCTGCGAGGGATGTTCCTGGCATGAATCATCGGGTCACAGGAAAAACAACGCAACGCAACCCCTCCGACTGGCAGCCCTCCGGAGTCTGGCGACGGCGCCTATAGTAAAACTGCCGCTTTGGCTTCGGTGGGTTGGGCGCTGTGACCGGCATATTTTCTAGAGGCTCGAAAGTTAGCAGCCACCAGCTCGTTCGTAAATCGTGAAAATTCGTCGGCGCCAAAAGAAGAAAAAGAGAAAAAAGAAAAAAAGAAATAAAGAAAAAAAGAGTCACATCGAGATTCCAAGAACCAACGTCGAAGGACGACACTGCGCGTAACTTCAACCACGACCACAAGAATTTGGCGAGTCGGGTTCTGTCTGAATGCGGTGCTGCGCTGGTGAAGGGATCTGTGGATGTTGTCGTCGTCGCCTCGGTGATGGCGTCCTAGTTGCTTTTGGTGTGGTGTGGGATTCTGTTCGTCCCAACACTTCCAGTCCATCCCCAAGCTGCAAATTTAGCGAGATCTGGGGAAGGAGAGGCTGGCATGCCGCAGCGGGCGCAGCTCTGGCTGAGGTCTGAGCTTTCGGTCCCGCAGCAGCCTATTCCCTTTGTTGCCTGAACGGCTCCACGAATCCGGAAGTTTTACTCTTAAACACAACCATCCGAGCCGAAGGGATGTGATACGGACGCAGTACGGAAAGAGATGATGAAGAGGAAAAAAAAAGCCTCAAGAGTTTTAGCTGTAATATGCGAAAGCACTGTGTGCATCGTGAACGAGTCTAACCGGGGTCTCGCAACGCAAGCGGTAGAGTTCTGGAACGAGCTGAAACGGAAGAGGCGAAGTGTTTTCCCTGCCGCTGTCTGGGGGGGCATCATCTCTGCTGGACGGCATGCTGGTTATAATCTCCGGTAGGTTGATGACAATTGATTGCTTTCAGGCACTGTGTAAGGGTGTATGCGTATGAGATGCCGGATTTGACTGCGATTTGTACCGCCTCACTCGCCGGGAAGCAGGATGCCGTGGGGACGTTTCTCTTCGCAGGGCCTGCCTAGTCACGGAGCCAGGAAACAAAGCGACACACGATAAATGCCTCACGAACCGTGCACGGCGGAGACAGCGGCGGCGGCGGTGAAGGGATCGCCGGGGGAAGGAGGGAAGGGGGGGGCTGATCGCTGTCTCTCGACGGTGCTTCAGACCGGCAGACGGTTGTGGAAGAGTTGCCGCTCGCGTCCCGTTACCTGCGCGATCAGGGAGGTTCGTTGAGAAGCCGACCGGGACGCCTCGATCGAGTCCTACGCTCTGTCTCTCTCCTTCTCTCTCTCTCTGCTGGCAGGCCCGTGAAGACTGAGCACGCAGCACGCAGCACGCAGCACGCAGCACGCAGCACAGCCAGCAAGCAAGCGCAAATAGCAGCATGTCGACCGTTGAGTTTGCTGCATACATAAGCAGCCGGCACGCTAACGCAAGCGGCTCTGGCCCCAATCCTGGCCTCCGTTCCCTGAACTTTGGGACCTTCTGGGATCCAAGCTCAAGGCCACCCCTGCCGACTCTGCTCCGGAAAAAAAGTAGTGCCTCGCAATTAATCCCGAAAGCTCCCGATCGAACAAGTGCAAACGTTCCAAAAGAAAGCTTCGTTTTCACTGCAACTTCTCTGGCGGCCGACCGGAACCCCGTGAAGCCCAATAACCCCCCACTCCTGCTGCCTGTCATCCGTTCCCAACTCACTCATCCACCCCCCCTTCCATCTCACCAGCTTTTCGTCGGCGTCGTATCCACACGTTGGAGTAGAAACCCACTTCGTCGCTGTGCTTGCTCACTCACTCAACTTCTCCCCCTGGCTTCCGGTTCAGCTTCACCACCCAACCCGAATCCTGCCCCTCAAACCCAACCCAACCCAACCCAACCCAACCCCACTCAAACCCAACCCCAACCCAGCCCCAGCCCGCGCTAAGTTCGGGATTTATCGGTGTCCCATTGGCGGAGACACCGAGAGGCGAAGGAAGCAACGCTGCTGACAGGAGTCAAGTTGGGAATCGAAGGGTGTTGCAAACCGCACTGCGACTCGGTCTGCTCCACAATCTTCAGACAGACCCATAGTCAGACAGGACCAGCCCATCCATCCAGGCAGCGAACCAGCCAGAGGACCGTGGCCTGTCTGTGCTGCTGTTGTTGTTGTCGTTGCTGCTGTTGTTGTGTCAGCATTGTTGGTTGGCTACGGTATCCTCGTACATAGGCGCCTCTTCGGGTAGCACGCGACTATCGTCCATTGCATGCTTGTTGTCCTTCTGCCACGGCCCTGGACCACTCGACTCCATCACGAAGTATGTACCCTTGTACAGGTTTTTCTTCTTCTGATCCTCTCTTTGCTTTTCCATGCGTATCGAGGACCTCTGGGTGGTTGTGGTGGTGGTGGTTTGTCCCGTCTCCTTCTAGCCACTGCGCATAAGACATCTACCTACAGCGGTAGCTACTCTACTTTACCTGCTTGGCTAGTGGCTCATCCGGGGGGGTGGGGTGGCAGTGTGGAGGGGGGGGTGAGAGGGGCGAGGGGGAGGGGTGAGGGGGAGGGGTGAGGGGGGATGCAGAAGAGAGTGTGGAGTTGGCGGGCTGATGATTATGGTGACAAGGTACAGAGCTCGTGCATGCTCCCGACACCTCCGACAGAAAGTATCCGTACACTCGACCCAACTATCCTTACCACTCAATAGTCGCACAGCCTGCCCCCTCTAATCTTTTTTTCCCGTGGCCGCAGTATTCGCGTGCAAGTATAAGACCATGCTGCCTCCTCGACTGTATTCGGCTTCCGCAACTGCAACTGCTACTGCTATTCCCTACTTCTCCAAGCCATTGCTTACCAGTCTCCGTCGTCCGCCCTCCACTCCTGCTGCTGCTGCCCTTCGCACCCAACGCTCCACCTCCGCCGCCACCTGCCTGTCGACCGCTTCCCCGCCGTCGTCCACTGCCTTTGCTGCTCGCCCGCCGCCCTCTCTCTCCCGCCGAACCCTCTCATCTTTCGCACGAGCGAAACACGTTTGCCTTGGTCAGGCCTCAGAAACAAGTCAACTACCCGCAATGACTATCCCTACTCGCTCCTCTTCGACCGATGACCATGATGCGTACGTCATATGCTCCCTTTTCAATGTTGAAGTTCGAGTGAAACCCGCCTCGTGCTTCCCGCCTCGAGTACTCGCCGACCTTCCACCCGCCGAAGCGGGTGGAAGCAGAACGGCTCCACGTCACAAGTCACGATGCTTCCTGCCTTCCTCCTCATTTCTTTCTTTTAAACACCGCGCCCGCGTTTCATCGTTCCCCATACTGCTCCCCATACTACTCTCCATTCTACTCTCACACACAACACTGCATTCAATCACTGCCCAGATGGCTCCAGACTGCGGAGTTCCGGAAATCGTGCTAACTGAAGTTCCCTCCAACAGCGTCTCGTCTTTCGACTTCAGCCACATGAAGTTCCAGATCGACGGTTCGAGCTCGTCGTCCCCTCACCCAACGACTATCGACTTCGATACCTCGTTCGACGAGGCCGCTCGCAAGGCTCTGCACATCCAGGGTCTCGTGCCTCCGGCCGTCGAGGGTTTCTCCAAGCAGGAGCGTCGCTGTAAGTTGCACCGACCGTACCTTGTCTCTTCCTTAGTCCCGGTCGTCGTGCACCGTACGCCGTCGAGAGCGTTATTCCCTCAGCGCTGGTGGATGTCTCAGAGCATTGCGCGTCTCGGGAGAGTGAATCCGTTAGGTGGCGCGGGCTGTGTCTAGTGCGCGGTCTTCCCCGACATGTCTTCCCCGTCGCTACGGATGTCCCAGTTGCGTAGCGTTATGCGGGGCACCCCTGGCTCGGAACGGTGGCCACTCACTACCGCCGACTCTGTGACTCGATGCCGAGAAATGCTGCCGAGAACCTCGAGCTAATTGATCGCATAGGCATGGAGCAAATCAACCTGAAGAGCACCGCCATCGACAAGTACAGCTACCTGTCGAATCTCCGCAACACCAATGCCGGTCTTTTCTACCGCCTCCTCATCGACCACATGAAGGTTTGTCTTTCGCGTCTTCTCTGCCTTAGTCCGTCCGGTCGCTAACCGAACTGCAGGAGCTCACCCCCTACGTGTACACCCCCACCGTCGGCGAGGCTTGCCTCAAGTGGTCGCATATCTACACGAATCCTGAGGGTCTCTATCTGTCGTACACGGACAAGGGAAACCTCAAGGACGTCGTCGCCAACTGGCCCCAGGAGCTCGTCGAGATTGCCGTCGTCACTGATGGATCCCGTATCCTCGGTCTCGGAGATCTCGGAGTGAACGGCATGGGTATCCCCGTCGGAAAACTTGCCCTCTACGTCGGATGCGCCGGTATCCACCCCGAACGCACCCTACCAATCACCCTCGATTTCGGTACGAATAACGAGGAGTTCCTGAAGGACGACCTGTACATGGGCGCGCGACACAAGCGTGTCTCCGAGGACGAGCAAAAGGAGTTCCTCGATGAGATGATGACCGCCCTCACCGATAGGTGGAGGAGCATCGTCATCCAGTTTGAGGATTTCAAGTCTCCTTTCTGGTCCCTTGAGCGGTATCGCAACACCTACACCGTCTTCAACGACGACATCCAGGGAACCGGTGCCGTTATTCTCGGCGGTCTGATCAGCGCCTTCAAGAGGTCCTCCCTCCCCATGAAGGATCACAAGCTCGTCTTCATGGGTGCCGGCTCTGCCGCCACCGGTGTCGCCGAGCAGATCTGTGGACTGTTCACTCGCAATGGCATCCCCGAAGAGGAGGCCAAGAAGATGTTCTGGCTCGTCGACTCACGCGGTCTCGTTACCAAGGATCGCGGTGATACATTGGCCGATCACAAGATTCATTTCGCTCGCGAAGACAACGATGGCAAGCAATACAAGTCGTTGGAAGAAGTCGTCGAGAATGTGAAGCCCACTTGTTTGATTGGACTCTGCACAATCGGAGGTGTCTTCACCGAGCCGATCGTGCGCAAGATGGCCGAGCTGAACACCGAGCCGATCATCTTCCCCCTCTCGAACCCTTCCAGCAAGTCGGAATGCACTTTCGAGCAGGCCATGAAGTGGACTGACAACCGCGTCATCTTCGCTTCTGGATCCCCCTTCCCCTCTGTCGTTGTCGATGGCGTCGAGAAATCCCCCGGTCAGGGAAACAACAGTAAGCACCCCACCTTCTGTGTATCCGATGCACTTTGATGCTAACATTTCTCCAGTGTACGTTTTCCCTGGTATCGGATTGGCTACCATTCTCTGCGAAGCCGCCCACGTCACGGAGAGCATGATCTACGCTAGCGCCGCTGGTCTCGCCACCTCTCTGAACGAGGCTGAGATTGCGCGTGGTGATCTCTACCCCGAGCTCAAGAGGGTTCGCGAAGTCTCGGTCGTCGTTGCCCGCGAAGTGATCCGCGCAGCCCAGAAGGAGGGTGTCGACAGGCACAAGCTTCTCCAGTTCCTCTCGGACAAGGAGTTGGACGACTACATCAGGTCGAAGATGTACGACCCCAAGGTTGTCGAGCTCCCCAGCCGCAACGTCTCGAGGGGTGGGAGCCCTTCCCGTGAAGGATCTCCCAATCACGATCGTGGACGCTCAAACCTGTAGACTGCTCTGGCAACTACTACAGGCAAGAGATGACAGGATGGGCATAATGTTTTAGTGGGACTGGTTTCGTCTTGTTCATGTCTTTTTTGGGCATTGTTTTATCGGGGTTCATGGGGTGTTTTTCCGCTTTCTTTTTTTCTTTCTTGTTTGGGGATTCAACTTTTTAACGGGGTTTCCGATTTTCTGGTCTTTTTTTTCTTCTTTTTTATCCCCTCGGCTTTTTATGAGGCATGGCTTGGCGATACCTCTTGTTTTTCTTGTTTCTTGTGTGTTATTCTAGGGATCGGGATCGGATCGGGCCGGGAATACCGGTATGGTATGGTTAAATGAGGGGATGGACATCGCAGAATCGAGATAGAGTAGAAGTCGTCAAAGCAAACTGGTCGCAGTACCTATACTTGGAAGTGCCATTGATACAGTGAAGCTGTTGCGTGAATGCTGTGTGAATGTTGCGTGAATGTCACTCGTATCACCAGGGTAAACAAAGGAGAATGATGATTATACATGTGGTGCCCGGATAATCTTGCCGGTCCTAGAGGGTCGGTGAGGTCAGTGCACGGACAGTCGGCGCATCTAGGCGCACCATATGTACTCTTTGTAGACCCCCACATCAGACGGCAACATGCGCTGCATACATACAAGGATAGATGGATGGATGGAAGCTCGAAGAGTCCAGAAGGCGGGGATGGCGGGGATGGTGAGGGTACCGTACATGGCACTGTAGCATGTTCTACCGGCATATAGGAAGCACGTACTCTCGTCGGTAGACGTTGACTACAGTAGGTTGTGCGGTCAGCAGTAGACATCCCGTATATACCGGTACATAGCATCCGTGTATATAGCACTGTAGTATTGCTTGGAGCGGCGCAGGTTGGTGGGAGAGCCTGAGGGGTGGGAGTGGCGGGCGAACGCCGAACACAAAACACAAGCACGGCAGCTGGGATCTCTGAGAGACCGAGTTTTCGCATTCATCATTCCACACTCGGTATTCGACCGTTGATTCGGACCTTGACTCCTGCTCGTGGGAGGGCTTCATGTGGAAAGTAACAGACGTACTCGCCACCAGCTCGCGTTTGTCGCTATTCTTTTTTTTGTTTTTGTTTAGTCAGTAATTGCATGCACGTTTGTTGCTATTCCGCGCTGTGGGAACTTGTTCATAATCACTCACTCGGCACTCGAATGATTGCGTTGATGTCGAACATGTGTCGACACCTTCGAATGAAGCGGTTGTCTACTGAAAAGCAAACTTTTGAGTCGCGGCTAGTGCGCTAGTTGTGGTTGCGTGAAATCGCACTCGCTTCACCTCTAAAATCACACCTTTCCTCCCAACTCTTCCTCCCTTTCTCCTCTCCCCTCCACTCATTAACTTCTTCTCCTTCTTTCCCGTCCCACTATTTGATGGTTCATGCTGCTGACTTTAGGTATTTTTCACTGTCTGAAACAGATACTAGGGAGAAACCGACACTAGGGATACTGGCTGTAATGGCACAGTAATAAGCGACGACGTGTTTTACTTGTTTCGGTACGTCCTCTCTCCCTCCTCCACCCCGTCCGCTTAGCTTAATACTTACTTGTCTTCTCTATTCGGCAACAGGGCTTAGATCCTCCGCTGGCTTGCCCGGTCACCTAGTAAGTCCTTGATATTCCGGGCCTAATAAATTAGGTCCCGTGCGGCGGATGGCCCAGGACAGACTGGACGGACCATTCCTAGGCCTGATCGGCTTTCTCAACGACTGGAAGAATCCGCCGATTCCCATATTCCCTGATATGGTTGAGTAATATAAACCCACCCTCTGTTTACTTCCAGGATAACCTTACAGAGCTATTAAAGAAGTATAACTTGTTTTACCAAGTTATACGCGGAGGTTTTCTTCCTTTCCTGTGAACGACGGGCAAAGGTCTTTCCTCCTAATGTTGTTGCTCTGGCCGCTGTGCGAGACAGCGACATTGACTTGGTGTGTGGGTGAGTTAGTTGCTGCTGCGGCCGGTAGCAGTCGGCGTACCAAGTGGCAAAAGTGCTGACTCAGCGGAGAACTCAATCTTCTCCGATAGTTGCAACTTGGCCGTCGTTCGGCGAAGGGTATGGAGTATCGGCGTAATTGACTGCACTCGTGATTGACGGCTACTTCCAGTGTTGCGGTCCACTGCCGGATGCTACTTAGTCATCAATGACAGCTATGATTGTTGCTGCTCTTCTGGCCGCGGCGTGAGAGGATTGTTGATATGAATGTGAATTGTATTGATACCATGTAAATACAGTCTATACTACGGAAATAAAAGAGAGGGTACCCAAAGAATACCTTGCGATAATGGCAAAAAGTAAGCTCTTGGTGCCGAGGCCACAAACCTAGCTACGGCGGTCCACTGAGGTCTACCGCCGCCAGCGATTCACTTCCAATCACTCGGTCGCCTACCACCGCCGGTGTGCTGCAATAATACTAGTAGAGTAAGGGGCTGCATGCGAAATAAAACAGGAAGATCTCTCTCTCTTGAATATCCATCCACGGCTGCTTCCCGTGTCCTTAGCTAGTCTCTATTCTTTAATCACGGCTACGAAGTATTATTTCTCTGGCAGCTGCAGTGCGCGAGAGGATCCTATCGCTTGATTGACAACGCTTTCGATCCACAGCTGCTTCCCGGCGTGTCCCTGATTTTAAGTATTCGTCAACCATGGCTACGAAGTCTCGTGGCCCCCCATTGGGGTAATCCATGTTCTATTCAATACTCTTTCCTGCCATACTGACCCTGTAAAGGGCACGGGTTCCCGCCGACCGGCTGCCCTAGGCAGTGGGCACCGGCCATGGAGACGCCACGGGGTGCATCACCCATCACTCGCTCGGAGCCATAAATAGTACAGTCACTCGTTATGCTTTGGAGCTGAGGCGAGTCGAGGAGGAGGAGAAGGGCGCCAATGCCGAGGAGGAAGAGGATGAAGCTGAAGCTGAGGATCCAAGCGACGTAGAATAGCGGACCAGAGACTTGCGATGGAGGGGGGGACGACTCGAGGGTGCGGGGGGCGGAGCGAGCAGTGGAGGCGGACGTGGTGGAAGAACGATCGTTACCTCTTGCTAGCGCTGCCTCTGCTTAGTGCGCTCACATACTGTCGGGAAAGGCCAGGGCGAAGGGCAAGGGAAGCCACATCGGGCCGCCTGATCAAAGTTGGGTTGGGCAGTGGCGTGGAAACGGGGGGACGTGCGGGTAGATAATATTGCTATGATTTAGATAGGTCGCATGAAATCAATGAATCAACAAAAAAAAGCTTTAGAAGATGCTCAGTTTGTCGCACATTAGTTGCACCGCTGATCACTCGATCTGCGTGGTCTAGTGAATGTAGACGGACGGTTAGCTTTCAGGCGTGTGATATTCGGCGTGCGAGGTGATCGACCGTCTGCGGCAATTAGAACGTCACGTTTTCTCGGTCGTTCCAAGCACTTTTTGGTGGGGACTAGCCCTCTGGCGGCGACGAAACTGAGTGTAAACTAGCCGCCCAAAAATAGCTATAATACCATCCCCCCTCTGCCCCTCCTTCTCTCCTTCTCTTTACAACCATCACAGCTTCCTTTCCTCCTCGGCTATTCATCCTTCCTCCTTCCTTCCCACCCTCCATCGCTCCTTCCTTTCCACCCACCCTCCCTCCTTCCTTCCATGAGCCCGGGCTCAATCGTCGAGGTACGTCGTTCTCTCCCCTCCCAACTTTATACTTCCAGGATAACCTTACACAGTTATCCTGCTCAGCCGGAGTAGCGAGGAACTGAGGGATCCGTGCAATCGGTCTACAAAGTAGACGGTTTCAGCAACAGTAGACGGATCCAACCCTCGAGGCTGAGCAGAAAAGATCTAAGGATGGGGTTTTCTCTTCTGCTGCCAGCGAAGTTCTTTCCCCCTTCCTCCGGGAGTCTAAGTCGGGTGAGAGCCGACTTGCTCCCGGAGGATGGCCTCTCCGAAACCGGGTGACAGACGGTTTCGTGTTGACGAGGAAGACAAAAACAAAGAAAGTATAACTTCCGAGTTATACGCGTATAACCTGGTCTACTACCCCCCTCCCAGGTTATACGCGGAGATTTTCTTCCTTTGCTGTGAAATGCTGTGAGAGAGCATTGAGCAAAGGTCTTTCCTCCTGGCCATGTATGTCATGTGTGAGAGACATGCTACATGCGTGGCCACGGCCCATGCCTCCGAAACCGGGCTACAGACGGTTTCGGACGAGCAGATAAATAACCAAAGAAGTAAAGTACCCTGACAAAAAGGAATGGACAAAGCCCGTTTTACACCCAAACATACCCTCCACCTGGTGGAAAAAAATCGTCTCTTTCACAGAAGCGTTAGAATCACAAGCTTCTTCATCAATAAAAACTTTGACGACTTTCATCACGGATTAGGGCTATATGACGTCATATTATACAGGAGTTGAAAAATGACATGACATTTTGTATGGGGCTCCCATACAAAAAGCTACTTGGCAACCATTAACTTTTCCCCGTATGGTATTGCTCCACAACAACGGTTCGGAACTCCGTGAGGAGTTCTCATATCGTTTTTGGTGTAGTTATAGAGGTCTCCCGAGGGTCTCTGATTTTTTTCGATACGTTGTGGTTGTAGCGGTGGCTGAAAATGGCCATTTTTGGTGTAAAACGGGCACTGTCCAATCCTTTTTGTCCTAGTACTGTATAACTTGGTCTACTACCGCCCCAAGTTATCCGCATATAACGTGGTTTATTAACCCCCATGTTACACGCGGAGGTCGTCTTCCTTTCAGAGTAAAGGTCTTACCTCCTAGCCATGCAGGAGTGAGATGCATGCGCCATTGGCCAAATGTTGTTGCTCTGGCCGCTGTGCGAGACAACGACATCGGCTTCTGAATCGACTGCAGTCTTCTGCACTCTCGATCCACGGCTGCTTCCCGGTGTGTCCCTGATTCTTGGTCGTCAACCAAGGCGACGAAGTATCGTGGCCGCCAATACTACTCCATGTTCTATCATATAATTATGCCCTCCTCGCCATGAGTGACGGACATGACCGAAGTCAAATGTTGCTGCTCTGGCCGCTGTGCGAATGGATGATATCGGCTTCGACGGCAGGTTGCACTCCCGATTCACGGCTGCTTCCCGGCGTCAGAAAAGGTCGGGCTCTTCTCTTCCGCTGCCGGCAAAGTAAAACTGCCGCCGAGTGAGGACGCTGTTTGGTTTTCCCTTAAGAGCGTGTGAGATTCCATGATTCAAACTAGGTATATAGCGCATTGCGTCGCCGGCTCTGGTATGCATGCTACCTACTCTACAGCGTGGGAGTTCGGAAAGTCACGCCTTGCGTATGTAACCGGCTCGCTGGATGTATCGCTACATACCAAACAAAGTATTGCCGCGCGTCTTTGTAGTCCTACCTACTGGGACACATCACTAGCCCGCGTAACGGATTATTGTGAAGTCGTCGTAACTTGAAAGTTGTCGTTCTTCGTGATGATTCTAAACACTAAACTAGGTACACTACACTGCAATACACTACACTACACCCTACATATATACACGGCAAAGACAGTGACCTCTTTATCCCTCCTCGTGGTAGCAAGCCCTCCCGCATCCCTGCGGAAGAGAAGAAAATAATCCCCAAACCCTTTTGCTTCCCCCCCAGCATCTCACTCGCCGCGCTGCTCCTTCGCCGCGCGATCACTCTTCCCACGGATAGTAGTACTAAGATCGCCGACCGGCAGATCAATGGGAAAGTCGACCGAGAGCAGCATAGCAGCCAAGAAGGCGTACCAAGCGAGGCCGGAGACGACTAGGAGGGTGCCGCCCGCGCCGTGTTGGAGTGTTGCAGCCGTGGCGGCGTTGCCCTCGCCCACGTTCCAGTACGCCGCCGTCAGCAGCGGGAACGCGATCGTGAGCCCGAGGAATATCCCAACCATCAACACGTTCGTTCGCACTGAGCAGATCAGGTAGATGAAGCTGAGGAGGCCCATGAAGAGGAAGTAGAACGCTAAGCGCGGAGGTTAGTAGGAGCGCGCGAGGGGAGGGACGGGGCGTGTAGTACCAAAGCTGTTGTAGAAGTCCACGCCGACACCGGCTTCGGTCACGAAGGGGGAGATGGCACCGAAGCCGGGGGCGAGTGTTGCGCCGAGGGAAAGCCAGAAGCCGGCTGTGTGGATTATTAGTATTTTTGCTGCAGGAGGATGGAGACCGTTGCCAGGTGGATGGATGCATACCGAATGAGCAGAAGACCACGAACGAAAATGTGTTGCCCAGAACGAACTCGAACAGTCCGCCGACCAACATGAGGAGGCCTCCGCAGAAGAAGTGTACACCGCTACACCAAACTAGTCAACACCCTTTTCACGCGAGTGATGCAGGAGTGGGGGAGAGAGGATGGACATACTTATTCGCAGAACCGCTTCCGTCCGCTCCTCGCCAGCCCACGAGTTGACATGCCAGTGGTGTCAAAGTCAGACACATTCCAGCGAGGGCCCTGCATGAACACGCCGCATCAGCACACTAGGTACATACACATAGCATGGAGTTCGTTCCGGTAGGAATGCATACACTGGTGTAGGATTGGCAAACGTCTTTCGGAGGTCTCCCTTGACCACGTTTGGCGGTGAGAAATACAGCTTCTCGAACAGCTCTGGTGTCATGGTGATGGTATCGCCGCGGCTCAGTTGTACGCCGTCCATCTTGCTGATCGTGTCGGTGCTGCTGCCGTGTTGTTTTTCTGCTCCGAGGGTGGTGGGAGTCATCGTACTCGCCAGGTTGTGATGTGTAGGAAGGTAAAGGGAGAGGCGGTGGAGGAGGTTGCGATTGAGGGCTTGGGGGGATGCAAGCACAGTTGATGGACAGAGGTTAGAGATCCAAAAACACGTACGACGCGGGGGATGTATGAATGTATTATAATCGCCAGACGCAAGAGGAATCTCCGTACGTGCGTACGAGCGAGTGTATGAGTGTACCGTATAGTAGCTGCATATCCATGTCTTATCCACAGGATTGCACGTCCCCCGTCCCCCTTCCCCCCTCCACTGACCCGGGGCGTCGATTGAGTGAGCTGCGCATGCGTTTCGCCCACAGCTCCATCCATCCATCCAACAACTGCCATGTCCGCGCGCCCGCTTAGCCCAGATAGAGAAGCGGCATGTGTGGGAGAATAGTACGTATGTGGGGTAGTTCCGGGAGCTGGTGGCGTGGTGAATCCGGAGAAGACACTATAATGCATGGCCCGCAGAAACATGTGGGGGCCAGGATTTCGCTGGGGGTGGTGAGCTAGGGGACGCCAGCTGTCAATATACATAGATACATAGTAGAGAGCCATGGCTACATACGATCAGACTCCGGGGGTGGACATGGTGGTTCATGGCTGCCATGCAGATTCCTCTCGGTGGCGCTCGATCCAGATTGTCCGTATGGAGCAGCAGCCTACCTACATAGGTACGGTACTTGTTGGTTTGGGGGGTGGGGGGGGGGGGGTGCAGCCGTTGGTACAGTACTATACGGGAGGTAACCAGTCTTCCACAGACGACGTACGTATTAGGTATTCGCTGAAAGTTGGTCGGATCGACATTGCAGGAATGGTACGGTCGAAAGCCATAAAATACATAGTGCGAAAGGCCAATGTGCATCCGGGAAAAGGACGGAAAAAGCGATGTGTGGGTTGGCCATATACATACCGTAGCGGATGGACGTTGACCTCTCGCACTACCATTTCGATCACGTTGACGGTCCTAGGCCTAGGCAGCACTATGTATGCCGCGGTGCGGCGCGACTGGGGGCTGGTAACAAGTACATCTGCTTATCGCTTTTGCTCTTGCGCACTTGGCTGGCTGGCTGGCTATCTGATCACTTCCAGCCACCATACAATTTACGCGGACCTCACATAGGCATTCAGCATAAACAAGCGAATCCCCACAGATCATCGGCCCACAATAGCTAGCAACCCTGGGGCCTGGAGTCTGGAGAAGCACCAATCCCACAAGCCCGGGTCGCGCCAAAGTCCGATTCGAATCCCGGGTGTCAGCATTCCGTTGTTGGATGCAGCGCGCTGCGCGACCCCCTGATTAACGGACGAAAGGAACGCGTACGAGTACATACGCGGAGCAATGGATGCGGACGGAAGGATATCGGTGGTGAGGGTCGGAGAGCTCTGCGACTCCGCATCGGAGACGTATTACTCGCTGCGCTGAGAAATTGCTGTATTCCGTGTTCCCATCCTTCCGACTATGATGTAGGTTGCTCGCCCGCTCGGTCGCGCGCAATCAATGTGGCTGGTGACGCGAGCCATCACGTGCGATGAGTGATATTGTGTGTACTCTTAGCAGTGGGCGTTGGGATCTGCCCCCCGGATGAGATCTCTTCCGGCTAAAAGTCCATCGAATCGGAACCGTTCCATGCAACCTAGATTCATGTTAGACTTCTCGGCTCGGACGGCTACTGCATGCCGAGAGCACCGATGTAGTTAGTAAGAATGTGGCTGCCGTGGTTAGCTCAGTGCGGGGAAGAACCCAACTTCAAGTTCGCTCATCCGAACGAACCCAACAACGCTTGACGAATATTCTCCTCCACATGTGACATGTATTGCGACTGACCTGCCCGAGGTGACTCCCCAGAATCATCGGTACATAAAGAGTAGAGTATCTACGGCCAGATTTAGTGGCCAAAGGTACCTATTCGTATGTACCAGCTACTTCCTCCCCTCCAGCCCACCCACCCTCCACCGGTGGCTGGCCGGCCCATTTCCAAGGACAGAAGTGGCCATCGCTCCTTGCCTTCTGCTCGTCCATTTATCTGCAACCAGTATTCGCGCACAGGGTAAATACCGGGGCAACCCCGGGATCCGGTCCGCGGATGAAACGCACGCCGAGGATTGCGTTAAACCCACTTGAAACTTCGCAGCAGACATCAGGAATCAGTTCTGTGCGTATGTAGGCAGTGTGGCTGCCTTGGATCCCAATGCACTCCATATATGTGCGTGGATCTGTAGACTTTTTTAAGTGCTTTGCCGTTCTTTGCGATTGTGGATGCTGTTTCGATCTGCCGTTTCCTTGCGATTGTGGATGGGGCTGTCCCGATCAGCCCATGGGCCATGGTACAGTGGCTATGGGTTATTGTCTGTGATCAGGGAACTCGAGTCTCGAGCCCGGGAGACTGACTGACCGATGGCAGGTTACCTATGCGGCTTCAACAATCAATCTAACGGCTCACTCACTACCGGCACCTAAATACCTACCAGTTTCTCGCCTCTGGGACTTGACCACCAACCCCCCCCGCCCCCTTCTTCTCTTCCACCTCCCCTGCGGATATCACAGCTACTCTATCATATATGCGATATCCGCACCCCTCGGCAGCGCCGGTTTTCATAGCGCAGGACCGGCTCGGTGGGCGGTGCGGCTAGGAGACGATCCAATCGAAAGCGGTGTGGGGTGCATTGCATGATGGGGTGCAGAACCAGCCACTATCGACCATATTAGTAGGACCGGACGTGATGCAAAGGACTGGGGTCTCGGTCACCGGCTTTTCCGCTCGAGATCCACTCTGGCTAGATTTCTCGGCAATGCTGGGCAGCAAGAGTGATGACGGGTGGCTGGCGGCCGGTGTGGTTGGCTAGAACCTAGGCCAAGGGGTCCCGCGTGCAATTCTGCCCGGATGATGAGCGGTTGGGGTTGGCGGGCACGTATGCACCCAGGTGCTTGCCACAATGAGACAATTCAACACTTGGGGGAGGCTGGTTGGGTCTCGGACGGATGTCGTTAGACGTCGGAAGTTCCAGAGTCCTATGTAGACTCGTAGGGAAGGACGCGCGCCCACGACGGTGATGGAGGAGGAGGCGGAGTTGCGAGGGCTCTTTGCCAATGACTCTCTAGGCCTGACGAGAAATGAAGCGCACACAGAGGATATAGAGGGAATGGGGATGACCGTCTATTCGATAGATGATGTTTGAGCAGGAAGGAAAAGAAGAAGAAGAAGAAGACGAAGACCCCGCCATGCCCGCCAACGTTGATTCCAGCCAACGCTGATGCCCAGTGCTAACCACATTCGGTTTCTCCCGCTGACAGGAGTTCTCCTTCACTTCCTCCTCTCGCCGACAGCTCCTCTCGCCGGAAGACCCTCCATCGCTCCGTGACTGCGGATACTTATGAGCAGCGGTACTAGTAGGGCGATGTCTCGACGCCATGCTGGCAGTGATAGGTATCACCGCGTGGGCATGAATCTGCAAGAGCGTTGAAGACTATTACTAGGCCTTCGATTACATGGAGTTCGGGCATCATGGATTCGCTCTCTACGCTCTCTCGGACTATGTAAGTACCGGTGTGAGACGGACGGACACCCGCCTCTTCACTTCATACATATGTACCGACAGGCCTCCAACAAGAACCCCCGGTCTCCTCACTGGCAGCATTCAACCCTGTAGTCATCCGACGCTGCGCCCACACACTGTAGCCGAGAATACCGGTAACTGACAAGGCTCTTCCCGACCTGTACTCTCTCCAAGCTCCATGTCGGAAGATGTTAAAACAGCGGCGCAGCACGGCCGGGCTGCGGCATAATGCCGAGGACCACGACTATACCGCTGACGAGGAGGACTGCCACATGGGTATAACTCTACCATGATAGTAGTTCCTGATAAGATGGTAGATCGGGTAATAGCATATCGCGTAAAGGCGTCTATCGCGAGCAGGGTTACTTACTTAAGCAGTTAGCCCGGATCATGCAAAGCACTCGGACACGATCGGACTGAGTACCGCCGGTATCGCAAGAATTCGTTTCCACTCCGGTTTCAGGACACAGTAGCAAGGAAAATTATTACAAGAGAAGTATTTGATAGAACACGGAGTATCCCAATGAGGTCCCCGATACTTCGTAGCCGTGGTTGGTAACTAGGAACCAGGGACACAAGAAGCAGCCGAGGCCCGTGGATCGAGAGTCGAGACTGCAGTCGATTTACGCCGATATAATCCTCTCGCGCAGCGGCCAGATCAACCAAATTCCGCTTAGGCGGCAATGCCTCTCGGACATACTGGCCAGGAGGAAAATAGTATTTGATAGAACTTGGAGTGTTGGGGGCCACAGTACTTCGTAACCCAGCCGTGTTTGGGTACTATAAACTAGGCTGAGAAGCAGCCATGGTCCATGCATTGAGATTGCAATCGATCAAGCTGATACACTGTACTGAGTTACCTAAGTTGCTCTGCGGAAGAGCCCACTCGCCGAATGCTTTTGAAATCACTCGTTGCCAACCTTTTTACAACAGTTAAGATTGGGTCCACAGAGGGAGGTGTAACAAATTTAAAAGCGCCGGAAATATAGGGTATAACTTGGGGGTAGTTGGGGGGCACGATACTTCGTAGCCGTTTTGGCGGACCGATGGAGGAGCGGTGGGCGAGAGCAGGACTTGTCGGCGGCAGTGAGGAACCGTACCTGTGTGGTTAGTAGGGAGCGTCAACATTGGTGGGTCCAGCGAGTCGTCTGCTCTCTTGGTCGTTCGCTCTCATTCTTCTCTCATCCATCATCTACCGAATAGACGATCAACTTTTATAAAGTACCAAGTCAAAAGTTTTCGTACACCTCCCCAAAAGCGCCACCACACCACAGACATATATCTCTATAACACAACAACCACACTTAAGAGAGTACTAATAATTGGCATATATTATGAATATATACTAATAAAGCTTCAATGAGATTTCCAGTTCGCCAGGCGGATTATTTTATGCGAAGTAGATGGCTTGGCGGATTTCCCTTTCACCGAGGCAGGTCATTTCCCGCCATAGATACAGCAACCATAAGATAGTATAAAAAAATGTGGACCATTAGAAGGTCTTCTAAATCAGGTAGAGAACCTCGATTGAAATTGGCACATAATTCTAACTGGTGGTGGTTGAGTAATGCCGTATGGGAGAGAAGTTGGTGTTGAAACTGGTTGTCACGCAATAATTTTGTATGGGGCCCCATACAAAATCTGAAATCACTCTCCAACCCGTGCACAACACCGTACCATGCGCCACCAATACGAA